TTTTTTAGTTCATTTATTTTGATAATATAAGTCAATTTATATAAGTTCTAAGTGAAAAATATCATTTTTAAAATGAAAATTTCCCGTTTTTTAACAAAAAATCCATTTAAAACAAATGCGCTATTATTAGTCTGGTCCCTGTTTTTTCCGCTATCTGTAATTTTTTTGTTGATGTTGTGGAATATAAGGACTATCTATTTTAAGGAAATAAAAATTATATGAAATAATGATTAATTTTGTTGATTAACAGAATTCGTAAAATATACTTATAAAAAAATAACTTTCAAATCAATTTTGATTAAACAAGATTAAAATGGCAGAATAAAAACAAATAATAGAGTAAAAATATAATAATAAACATAAACAAAGCAAGATCATCGTACACATTAGAACAAAAGAAAAAAATTTCTCAAACCCAATATCTTATATAAAATATCTTTATTTTCAATATCAAAGAATATGGGGATTCTATACACGAATTTGAAAAGGTAAGAAAAATGCTTCCAGATATTGCAAACTGTTCAAACAAGAAAACACGAAGAAGAATTTTTGGAAATGGTAGGAAGCCCAGGTTTAGCCAACTGGAACAAGAACTTGTTAATTTTATCAAATATTGTAAAAGAGATCGAATTTTGATGTCAAAGGAAATGGTCATTAATTATATAAAACAACACTATCCACAAATTGAGTTAACCAACAAAAATTAATGGTTTTATGGCTTTTTCCGAAGATACAAATTATCTTACAAGAGGATAACACGCACTTATATTCAAAATTCACAAAAAGAAAAAAGACGAGAAATTGAAACAGTTTTACATCTTACAAGTATTGAAAAAAGGATATTTATGTACCAAATGAAGCAATTTTAAATATAGAAGAAACCAGAATCGAGTTTGATATGGTCAGAAAACCACCATTGAAACCAAAGGTGTCAAACATTTGGATATCACAACTTGTGGAAAGGAGCATTTAAAAGCAACATTCATTTTATGTTCAACAAAACGGGGAAGTGTGTTAACACCTTTTGTTATATTTTTTAAACTTCGAAATGAACCAAAAATCGAAGGTGTGATAAGCACGGTATCACAAAATGGTTGCAACAATACCCATATAATGAATAAATGGGATCAAAACGTTGTAATACCATATAGCAAAAAAGTTGGGATTGACTTGATATCATTTGAATGGGTAACTTCTCTGTTTATGTAAAAAATAAAAAGTTTCCAACTGATGATATTAAAATCAACCTGTTTCCAGCCAACTATAACATATTTTTTGCAGCCTCTTGACGTCTTTGTGTTTAAAGAGTTAAAAGAACGTTTCAGGGATCGGATTGGATGAGTAACAAAACAGTTGCAAAATTTACTACAAAAAGGGAAACGGGAAAATGGTTGAAAAAGAGGTGTTTTGTCAGTGGATTGTTGAAGCAGTCAATATGGTTTCTGAATATACAAATAAAAAATCTTTTCTTTTGTGTGGACTTGAATCAAAACCACTTGAAAATCGTTTAAATGTTTTATATGACCCGGTTATTGATGTTATTGATAAGTATTTATCAATAGTTTAATCCAATTTTGTTTTTTTATTTAAAATATATAAAATCAAATTTTTAATAAATTTAAATAAAAAATAAATTATTGTTACAGATTAGGAAACATTAACAATCCAAATTGTAGTTTTAAAAATAAAGTTAATTTTAAATGTTTATTTTGTCTTTAGGAAAAAACAAATATTAAAATAAATAAATATTTTTTTAAAAAAGTTGTTTAATATATAGTATTATTTGTAAAAATTATGGACCTTCTTTCAACAAACTATGGTACATAATTTACTTTTTTGCCTTTTTTCGTCGATATTACCATTGATAAATAACGGACATTAACAATGATTAACCATATTGCTGTTTTGCCTCATATTTTCATTTGATTAACTAAATCATTTCTGTGAACATTTTATAAATAAACAAAGTATGTCTAATCCTGCTAAGAAATCGTTTGAATTTGTTTTACTTTTTCGTTGAAATCCTGTATTTTTAATCGAATTCTATAACTGAATTGATTTTGAGGGTTAAAAAGTTGATATTGTTTTTTGAATGGAAATAATAAATAAAAAAAATAAAAAAACAGAAATTTTATATAAAGGAATTTCAACAAAAATTTGGTAAAGTACCAACTATTTGTATACAGTTTACATATCAAAGCAAAGGTTATGTGTCATCACAATCTTGGTTTGAATATGAAAATTGTATACATTAAAATAATAATAATGGATTTGACAATCAATAATAACCAAAAATATTAATGTTATTATTTTTTTAGTTACTGTTATCATTGAATATTTTATTGATAAAGTGAACAAAAAACCTGTAGTATTTTCATAAGTTGTTGACATAAATCAAATTAATCATTTAAGTTTTTAATTGAAAAACAACAATTAGTGTTTATTAAAACCGCCTTACCAACCTAATTATTAGAACATCCCAATGATATTTAATGTCATTAGTCATCATCATTGGGTTGAATATTATAAAATAAAAATTGACAACACACAAGTTCATATATACCTTTATGGCAAAAATAAATTACAGTGCATTTTTTTGCAAAAAAAGTAAACTGGAAAATTCTAAAATGACATAATAGGATATATTTACTTGTCAATTACAACGTCATGGTGATTTTAAAGTGATTCCATGAGAATTAAGATTATATTGATTTCAAATTAGTTTTTAACAAATTTAAATACAATATGATTTTTTTATTTCAACCCAATTTCACTGACTTGCAAAAAATGAATCCTTTTAAAAAATAAAATTACTTTGATTGTGGGATTAAAATTAAAACTTTGGCAATTGATTTTTTGTCATCACGTAAAAGGTATGAAATATTGAAATGATATTGAGTCAAGTTTTACAAATAATTTCTAAGAAGTTTGTATTTTCGTCATTAAAACACACAGATGAGTTATCTTAAAACAAAAATAATATTCTATATTTTGAATTTTAAAATGTGACACACATCAAACATAAACAAAATGTTTTGGTAATACCATTTTTTGTTTGTAACAACATTTGGAAAAAAATATATTCAATAAATGTATCAGTTCAAACAACGTGATTTTATTACCAATCGTTAAATAATCAAAATAAATATTTTGGTATTTTTTGCAGTCGGAGTATTGTTGTAATACAATTTGGTATTATGATATTCAGTTGTGGTTGTTATTATTATCACTTGGAAATCTTATAATTGTATATCTTTAATTGGGTATGATATCAATTTATAAATGTTGTTGTTATTTATATGTAAAAGCAGTTTCACTATCTTAGTCTATGTGAAATAAATTAAAAGTTATTGATTCTAAATATGTAAAAAATTATATAAAATAAATTATCCATCTTGGGTGTTAATATATATATATTTATTTAAAAAATAAAATACTTTATTAAACAAAATAGTTTGTTTTGAAATGAGTTTTTATTAAAAGTTATTAAGGAGCAGTGATATATACTAAACTCCTTTGTATGTTTTGAGGTTTATTTTCACTGAAATTTCTTTGTTATTAAAACAAGTGGTTGGCCTTTAAAAAATGAATTGGCCTTGTTCAAAAACCAAATGATATAATAAATTTCACTAACCCATTTTAAAACATCAATTTAAGTTCAAAATAAAACATCAAACATTAGAATCTAGTTTGTTTTAAAATATTAATGTTTTATTAAAAAATCTTCTTGATCTAATCGTTTTTTAATGTTATTCACCACCAAATAAAAACTTTTCAATACATCATATCCAGAATATTTTAGACTTTATATTTACAATGCACATGCTCTACACATATCATTTTTATAAAAAACAAAATGTTTATAATTTATTTTTATTATTAAAAAAAAATTAAAACATTTTTATAATAAAAAGAATTAATTCTAACTATATTTTTAATAATAAATACTAAAATAATAACTTAATTTTAAATATAATACAAAATAATGTATTTTAATAAAAATATAATATAGTTATTCTAATTATTTTTTTTAAATATAAAACTAATAGTGTATTCATTTTTTTATTAAATTTAACTAAATTATATATTTTAGTTTTTTAAACCATAAAAAATAGATATTTTATTTAAATTGATTATGTATTTTTTTTTCTTCTTTAAAATGATTTTTTCCCGCTTATTTATATAGAAATGAAGTCTTTATATATGCAAAAAAATTAAAAAAAAAATTTATTCGCAGTCTTTTTCGTAGATTTTTGAATTCAACCAATTTCAATTGAAATTCAAGGAGAAAACGAATTCTTTACTAAAAACTTTAAAAAGGAACTGAATTTCTGCGAATTTGTGAGATTACATTCGAAATGGATCGAATAAAAAGAATCGCTAAACCCTCATCATAATTGAGCTCCGCCTCTTTAAAAACATTGGTTTTTTTATAAAGTGTTTTATTATAATTACAAAATTTGGAGCCTGTTCCCCAGTGAGGTTTTTAATGGTTGAACTAGGAAAAGAAAAACAAAGATAATCAATAAAAAACAATAAAAATATGTTTGAGGATATATTCCCGTCTATCAAACGAATATCTCTATATTATATATTTTATTAACGAACCATTTTAAGAAGGAAAAAATCCGAAGAAGAGAAAAACGCGTCAACACGCAACACTATTTCGAAATAATTAGCCGAAGAAAATGCATGCAAAAACAGCGAATTGCATAAAGCAAAAATGCAGTTTTTAGTGTTATATAAATACAATCGGCGTTTAATTCTTTGGCAGACCAGAATAATTGATTCTTTGAACAATTAACTTGAAAATGTAACACAGAAATAATTTCATTGCCAAAATGCTTTGATTGCCTTGTAAATTCCTTATCCTGTTTTCTGTTATAATTTCGAACGTCGTAATAATTCGCCAATTGAAAAACTCTTAAAATACCAACCACGTCACGGACGAACCCTTAAGGTATATAAGCAAAAAGCACTAACCAACAGACATTCAAAACATGCAATCAGTCGACGGCAATCAAGCTGCAGTCTATGTCTCATACGCGATGAGTGATGTCTCATTCATCTTCCCAATCACCCCATCATCCCCAATGGCGGAGAACGCCGATGTTTGGGCTTCACAAGGAAGAAAGAACGTTTTTGGCCAAGTCCCAGAAGTCTTTGAAATGGAGTCTGAGGCCGGTGCTGCTGGAGCTGTCCATGGTGGTTGTGCTGCTGGTTCACTTGTGAGCACATACACATGCTCTCAGGGACTTATGTTGATGATCCCAAATATGATTAAGATTGCTGGTGAACATCTCCCATGTGTCTTCCACGTCTCAGCAAGAGCTTTGGCTGGTCAAGCTCTTTCTATCTTCGGTGATCACTCTGATGTGATGGCTTGCAGATCAACCGGGTTCTGTTTGTTGTCATCCCACACCGTCCAACAAGCTCATGATCTCGGAATTGTTGCTCACCTTGCTGCTATGGAAGCTTCCCTCCCATTCTTGCACTTCTTCGATGGTTTCAGAACTTCTCACGAAATTCAAAAGATCCACCAATTGTCTTATGACCAAATCAAAAGTTTGGTTGTTCCAGAATACGTCGACAGAGCACACAAGAGAGGTCTCAATCCAATTCACCCAACTCAAAGAGGAACTTCACAAGGCCCAGATGTGTTCTTCCAAGCTGTTGAAAAGTCGAATGCTGATTATGACAAGATCCCAGAAATTGTTCAGAAGTACATGGACAAGGTTGCTGCTCTTACTGGAAGAAAGCACAAGATTTTCGAATACTACGGAGCTGCTGACGCAGAAAGAGTAGTTATTGCTATGGGTGCTGGTGTCCCAGTCTTGGAAGAGACTGTTGACTACTTGGCTACTAAAGGTGAGAAGGTTGGTGTTTTGGCTGTTCACTTGTACAGACCATTCTCTGCTAAACACTTCTTGGAACAACTCCCAGCATCTGCTAAGAAGATTGCTGTTTTGGACAGAGTGAAAGAAATTGGCTCATTCGGTGAACCACTTTATCTCGATGTCGCTACTGTTTTACTCGATGCTCAAAAGATGTTGACCATTGTTGGTGGAAGATACGGACTTGGAAGCAAAGAATTCACCCCAGTGATGGCCAAGGCTGTCTTTGATAACTTGAAACTTGAGAAGCCAAAGAACCACTTCACTGTTGGTATTGATGATGATGTGACTCACTTGTCACTTCCTCTTGGAGAAGGATTCAACCCAATTCCAGCTGGTACCACCCAATGTATGTTCTGGGGTCTTGGATCTGATGGAACTGTCGGTGCCAATCACGACGCTATTAGAATCATTGGTCAAAACACTGAGAAGTTTGTCCAAGCTTACTTCTATTATGATGCACACAAGTCTGGTGGAATTACTGTGTCTCACTTGAGATTTGGTGACAAGGAAATCAAGTCACAATATTTGATCCAAAACAGTGACTACACTGCTTGCCACTTCCCGAACTACGTTCAAAAGTATGATATGGTTGAGACTGCTAAAGAAGGATCAGTCTTTGTCTTGAACTGCCCATGGACTGGTGCTGAACTCGAGAAGCAACTCCCAGGCTCAATGAAGAGAGCTCTTGCCAAGAAGAACATCAAGTTCTATGTTATTGATGCCATTAAGATTGGACAAGAAGTCAAATTGGGAAGAAGAATTAACATGATCATGCAAACTGTCTTCTTCAAATTGGCTGATATTCTTCCATTTGAAACTGCCGTCAAATTGTTGAAGGAAGCTGTCGTTAAGACATACGGAAAGAAGGGACCAGAAATTGTCAAAATGAATCACGACGCTATTGACAGAGCTGTTGATGGCCTTGTTGAAGTTAAGATTCCAGCTGAGTGGGCTACTGCACCATTGGAAGCTAAAGTCCATTTGGATGCTCCAGAATTTGTCAATGATGTTTTGATCCCACAATTGACCATGCACGGCAATGAACTCCCAGTCTCCAAATTCGCTGAAGATGGATTTATGCCAATGGGAACTACCAAATACGAGAAGAGAGGTATTGCCACTGCTATCCCTGCTTGGGAATCAGCCAAATGTGTCCAATGCAATATGTGCTCGTTGTACTGCCCACACGCTGCTATTAGACCATTCTTGTTGAACGATGCTGAAACCAAGAACGCCCCAGCTTCATACACTTTGGTCAATGGAAAGAAGCCAGTCGATGCTTACAAGTTTAGAATCCAAGTCTCTTCTATGGACTGCACTGGATGTGGTGTTTGTGTTACTGCTTGCCCAGCCAAGTGTTTGGCCATGACTCCATTCGACAAGATTGGTGCTGAAGAAGCCAAGAACTGGGAATACTCAATGAAGGTGACTGAGAAGACTGAAGTCGCTGATAGAGCCAACATGAAGGGAGCTATGTTCAGACAACCACTTTTGGAGTTCTCTGGCGCTTGTGAAGGATGCAATGAGACTGCTTTGGTTAAGTTGATTACCCAATTGTCTGGTGAGAGAGCTGTTATTGCCAACGCTACTGGTTGCTCATCAATTTGGGGAGCTACATGGGGAACCAACCCATACACTGTTAATGCTGAAGGAAGAGGACCAGCTTGGGGTAACTCATTGTTTGAAGACAATGCTGAGTATGGTTTCGGTATGTACAAAGCTACTCAACAAAGAAGAGCTTATCTCGAACAAATTGTGAAGGAAGCCATTGCTGAAGGAAAACTCTCAGCTGAACTTAAGACCCTCCTTGAACAATGGGTCGAGAAGAAGGAATGTGACGTTGAATCTGAGAAGCTTTACCAACAAATTAAGCCACTCTTGGCTGCTGAGAAGGACAAATCAGCTGTTCTTAAATTGGTCGAAGAGAACTCTGATGTCTTCATCAAGGTCGTCCAATGGATTGTTGGTGGTGATGGATGGGCTTATGATATTGGATACAATGGTGTTGATCACGTCTTGGCCTCTGGACAAAACGTTAACATCTTGGTCCTTGATACCGAAATGTACTCCAACACTGGTGGACAGAAATCAAAGGCTACCAACTTGGGTGCTATTGCCAAGTTCGCTGCTGGTGGAAACAGAAGACCAAAGAAGGATCTTGGAGCTATTGCTATGTCATATGGTGATGTCTATGTTGCCTCTGTTGCTCTTGGAGCCAACCCAGCTCAAGCTTTCAAGGCATTCAAGGAAGCCGAAAGCTACAATGGTGTCTCTATTATCATCGCTTACTGCCCATGCAAAGAACAGGGTGTCCCATTGAACAAATCCATTGAAGAACAAAAGATGGCTGTTAACTCTGGTTACTGGTCACTTTACAGATATGACCCAAGACTCGTCCAAGAAGGAAAGGCTGGCTTACAACTCGACTGCAAGGAAATCAAACAAGACCTCGAGGAGTTCTTGAACAGAGAAAACAGATTCGCTCTCCTTGGAAGAACCAACAAGAAGGTCGCTGATGAATTGCACGCTCAACTCAAGAAGAACATCGATGAGAAGTTGGCTAGACTTACTGCTGCTTCTAAGCTCTAAGTAAAAAATTTTGATCATTTGGTTTTAATATTATTAAAATATTAATATAATATTTTTTATTATAAAATATAATATTTTAAAATAATTAATTTAACTAATATTTATTATTTTTTTGAAATTTGTTTTTTATAAATTTATTTTATTGGTTATTTATTATGTTATAATTTATTAATAAAATATAGTTGTTTTTGTTGCGAATTATCGTTTGATTGTAGTTAATTTTATTAAAGTAACTTAATAACGTCAATTACATTTTTTCAAACTGTTTTTCTAAAAGTCTAAAATTCTCGTTACAAGCGAATTGTTCATGTTTGCAAATATCTTTTAAGAATTTGGCTGTCTTTACTAAAAATGATGAGAAGAATCCGAACCACATAAAGATATCATCCGATAATTTTTTTTCTAACCTTCTTGTTATTTTATCCCTTAGTCTTTGGTTTCTTAACAATTCACCAAAACAATTTTCAAATTCATTTCCTTCAAAAATTAAAACCATTTTTCTTCCCAATTCTTTGAGTGAACCAACATTGTTTGCAACCTTTGTTGCGATAATCTCGTCTTTATGTTTGGTCACTATGCTTTTGACTGCATTTGCTGCTTCCACCGTCTTTGGTTTAAACACTTTATCGTTGGAAGCCATGACACTATCAAACTTTGCCATATTTTCTAAATATCTTATTAAATATTTTTCGTATTCGTCCAAAAGTATTTGAAGTTCAGGTGTTTGTGGTTGGGAATTAATGGCAAGTAGTTCTTGTTCTTTTCGTTCTTTTTCTCTTTTTTCTTTTTCTTCTCTCTCTTTTTTTTCTTGTTCTTCTCTTTCTCTTTGTTTTTTTCCTTTAAATTTCCATTCTCCAGATGCTCCCGGTTGTTCAAAATCATCATCGAAGTCATAGTCATCCACAAGTTCGTCGAAACCAATTGAAAGTACCAACAAAGTAAAAACAAATAACATTAATTTAAGACGTATTTTTTTCAAGTCTGTTTTAATATCTAGTTGACATTGAAAATATTGTTAAAACGTTTTACAAGTCAATTTCGAATTTTTGTTTCATGAATACAAAAAATCAATTCAAAGTAATTCCTTGTTTTATTTGAGGAAAAGAATTACACTTGAGTTTGTTTAAAGATCTTTTCAAAATATTAATCAATTCATTTATTATTGTTTATTATTAATAAATATTAATATAATAATTAAATATTGTTCATATTTGATATTATACGATCAGTTTGTTTAAACCTTATCTGGTCTCTAACGTTATCTGGTAAATTTTAAAAAATAAAAATTTGAATATTTCAGGAAGCCTTCCCAAAAATGCCCGTTGTTTATAGAAAAAAAAGTGTTATTTTTTTTGTCCACTAGATAATGTTAAAAGACTGAATCGAATAAATGACTCATTAATAACGACAAACCAATAGAGTTTGTGGTAAAACGTTATCCCAGTTGTCACTGTTGTAAATTTTATTAATTTATACCGTAATGAATGTTTAATAAACCGGGAATTCGGTAAATAATAAAACATTTAGGAAAAAATTGAAACAAGTATGTTTTATATTTGGTACTAAATCCTGATATTTTACAAATATCATTGACCAAAAGTCCCAGCACAAAGTTGGCGACAAGACAACGTTTTATGACTAACTCTATTATAAACAATGACTCATTTGATCATAACAAAACAATGTAAAATACAAATCAAATACGATTTCAGAAGTTAAAATATGAAGCATTGAATTTATTGAAATCGTTGTGGTTTTTAACATTAAAAATTATACTTAACAAATTAAAATTAAAGTAATAATTTTATTCCATCAATAACACATTGACAAAATGTGTTTATTTTAGAACTATTATTCTCAATTTTTTCATTGTTGTTAATTTTCAAAATGAAACTACACTTTACTAATATAATATTGTAAATATTAGTTAAAATTATCATTAATAGTTTAACTATTTAATATATTGTAGTTTTATAATTGTTTATTAACTTTTTTAACTAAAATAAATTTAATAAAAAAAATTATCATATAAATATTAAAATAAATGAAAAAAAGTGTTGTTCAGTTTGTTTATATATGTTGCTTATTCTGAACGAAGATGCACTTTTTAGTTTAAATATAAGGTTTTGTTTTTGAAAGTAAAATAACAATTAGAAATAAGCGATAATGAAAATGGAGAATTTACAAATTATCAAAATAAAAAAGTCAAAATTTTGAATGGTTTTGATCATCCAAATTAATATATAATATACATTTGAACAAAAAGGTATATAGTTGGGCCATTAAACCTTAGCCCAAATAAAAACTAATTATTTTCTATTGTTATATTAAAATAATAAACTATACCGATATAAAAGTCAATTTTCTAAAATATTTGTTTTTTTAGTAAAAACCCGTGTTTTTAAAGAAAAATATAGGAATTTCTTTGGGCTAAAGTACATTTCCCAGGCTAAGGTTCATTTTCCCTACTGTATTTTCCATTATCATTAAACAAACCATTTTAATACAACTGATTTATTTTATCAACAAAAAAAATTCAGGCTGTTTAATATTTTGAAAATTAATAGAAACTGTTCTTTAATGTAATATATCTTTTAAATTTTAAATAAAACAAACGAAAAATTGAACAACAGTGTTCAAACAAAATAAAACTACTTGACTGAATGTATTTAACTAATTAAGTCAACATTTTTTATTGTGTCAATATAGTGTGAATAAATCATTTCATAATTATTTTTTTTATATTTTTTGGTAAAATAAATTAAATAGTATAAAACAAAGTAAAATAATCATTTAAACATCAAATTATAAACAAATTGAAAAAGAGAAAAACAACAACATAATTTGTAAAAAAATTGTTTAAATGTTTTTAAAATGTTCCCAAAGATAGTGAATGGCTGAATGAGCAGAGAAATGTGGTAAACGTTTCAACAATTCGAAAGCCATTTTCATTTGAGGGGCATATTTTGTCAGACTTCCAAGGATTTTTAAAAGGGAAAGTTGATCGTCTGGATCTCCAACGTGTTTGTGTGTTTTTCTTTGTAATTTTGGAATCAGTTCAATTAATTCAGACAAAATTGTATGTAAACTGTGGTCGTGCATTAATTTTCTTATTTTCTCGGCCATAAAGAAAACCGCATCAATATTGTTTGAAAGTAGTGCACTTTCTATTTGATTCAAAATTCTTACTATATTATCGTGAACAGTTTTAACTTTTTCTTGATATTTTTTCTTCAAAATTTTGTCGTATTTTGGATCACCAAATTTTGAAATAATATCACGAAGTTGGTCTCGAAATTCCTTGGTTGAAAATTTCATTTGTTTAACCGCACTTCTTTGTTCGGGCGTCAAAACAACAGTTCTAATTGGAACAGCTGGTTGTTCAAAGTCATCTTCTTCATAATACATCCCATTCACCGAGAAGGATAATAAGAAAATTGTGAGTATATACATAATAAATGATTACACGTCTAAGTTCTTCTTTTGAATGAAAAAACGATCAGAAGTAAATGTATTTGACTTCTTTTTGTTGTTCTCTAAAAATTTGTTTATTATTTTTGTTGAAAAAATAGCAATAACTATAATTATTAATTTAAATTATTTTGTTTTAAATTATTTTTTGTTTTGAATATTAGTCCAGTATTGATAAATAATCATATTGATTATTATTAAAAAAAACAAAACAACTACCAATAAAAATTAAACCAATCTGTTCAACATGGGCTGATATTTGTTCATTCAATATTGTATTTTAATTTATTGAATTGATATGAACATTATTACTTCTATTTTTAAACAAAATTGTCAGTGTCGAATTGATAATAATTTTATTATAAAAAAAGTAAAATACCAATATCAAAAGTTTGTTCGTTTGTTATGACAAAAAATAAAAAAAACACATAGACAATAACTAAATTTTGTGATAATAATTATTGTATATAAAAATAAAATATTCATGAAAAAGTAATATCGTTTTCCAATTATTATTCATTATAAAAACAATTAAAATTTAAGTTATGTATTGAATTAAGTAAAATTACAGTGTTTATCGAAATATTAAAAATGCACTTTTTTAATATATTGATTTTAAATAATTTTGTTTCAAAATCGAGTATTATCAAATATCAACTGTAACGCTTAAATAAATTTTGAATTAGTAAATTCAACAATCATAAACATTTTCATTTTGAATTATTTTCACAAAACTACAACCATAAAAAAGCAATTTTAAGGTAATTGGGTTTTAATATTATTTAGTATTCTAAATAATGTTATAATAATTTATTATTTGGTTGCTTGTTATTTAATCATCTTATTCTTTATTAATTTATCTATTTTGTAACAACCCATTAAGAGCATAAAAATGATTAATTATATGGTCTTGGAATGTCCCTTATTCGACCTCTAATCAAATCGATATTTCTATCGTTTTTATATTTTTCGTGTTCTTTCAACTTTTCAACGAATTTCAATATATAGTCAGGTCCACTGGCTACATTATTAATCGCTCTTTCTGCGAGTCTTCTTTCATCTGTTCCCATTTTTAATTTAGACATTCTACTTTTTAATATTTTTTTGGAAAAGATAAATCTTTTCATAAAATCTTCAAAGTTTGTTCTTTGGAATATTTTCAATATATTTGAAGCCATAATTGAAACGCCTTTGGCGTCGTTTTTGGCAAGAACTTCTTTAACTTCGTTGTTAATTTCAATTGCACCAACAATGGCCTTTTCAATGTTATTTTTAAGGGAACATGCTGTCTCCTTTTCTACCATGATTTTTGATATGTACTCAAGGTTGTTAACCAATTCTGAACAAGCAGCTTCCATCTGTCTTAGAATTTCAATTGATACAAAATCAAGTGCTTCTTCAAATTCAACATTGGGTCTTGTCGAAGGTTGGTCTCCCAAATCTTCGAAGCCTAAAGAGTTGCAAGAAAAGAATGCAATTATCAATATGAACATCTTTGGTTTACAGGTACTAAATATGAATTTTAAATATAACAATTGTTGATCAAAAAAATCAAGAGATCAATTCAAAGTTAGGTTCATGGTGTTTCATGAACACAATAAAAATAATTCTTTAATTATGAAAACAAGAAAACTACTTTTTTAAAATGGTTGTTTCTTATAACTATTGAAAACAAAGTAACAATTCTACAAATTTTATCTGTTTAAATTGTAAATACTTAATAATAAATTGAGGGCAAAGTCTTGTCCAATCAATAAAGTCACTTCATCACTATTTTTATTTCTTTGTTATTTTATAACAATATATATTCATTCAAACACTACTATATATTATTTATATTTTTTTGTTTAAACACAATTTCATTTGTTTGTTTTTTTGTGAAACATAAGAAGAGTGAAAATAATATGAATTAGACCATTGAATATGGATACTTGCATCTAAAAGCCAATATTGGGAAACTTCTGTCATTTGAAAGAATTGGTAATTGGGTGAAGGCCTCGAAAAAGTTCAAGAAATATCTTAAACCCTGACAAGTTTTATCAAGTGAATTTTCAAAGAGTCTCTTACTATTTTCATCAGTGTTTAGTCTTCCAATTTTCCTGGAAATCAATTCTTTTGAGTCAACAAGATCCTTTAAGTTGATTTCAAATCGGTGTTTTCTGAATATATCAAGTAAATTTTTTGCCATTTCACGTACGTACTCATTCTTGTCATTGCTTATTCCAAATTTGATTTCAATCTCCAATTGTTCAGCAGCAATAATAATGTTTTCTACAGCCTTAATAAACTTAGTATTAAAAACTCTTGGATGTTCACTTAACCCAGTTAATAAGTTTCTACTGTGTATTACAAAGTCACTACATGTGGCTTCCAATTGTTTTAACAACTGGAAGACGTGTTTATCAATGTGTGTGACTGAGCCTCTTAATCGAGTGGCTGGTTGTTCAAAGTCTCTTAAAGCCAAAGACCCACAAAAGAAGAAAACACAAATCACAAGTTGCACCATAAAATATACTTTCAAAGTACACATACACTTTATAAATGTTAATCTTCACTTCACCTTATGTTTATACAACAACCAAATAACCTTTGTTTTCAGAACAATTGCAAACAAAGATCCTAACATTAATCGTTAAAGAAACAACTCCCACTTGAAGTTATTTAACTCGTGTATTGTAAACAACCTTCACAACGCTCATTTTTTTCAATTATGTTGATTCATATCGGAAATAAAGAACCAAATTATTATACTTTATTAAATCTTTATCCAATTAATCCAACTCCGATAAAAAAGAATTAATGAATACAGAAACCATGAAACTAAAAGAACACAAAAAGTATTCACTTCATCTTGCACGTTCTTCTCGACAACACTGGGTTTATTACTTCTCTTTGTTTCCTTCACTCTTTCATTCTTTCCCTAATATTCGACAACTATAATATGATGGTAACTTTACTATATATTATTAGTTATTACAACATCGAATTAAAACACCAAGTGTTCGAGCATTTGAGTGACGCTCTGCATATTGAGAGGTGTTGGGGTTTGTTGAACGTTTTTAAGGAGGAAGATGAGAACTGCGAAAGTGAAAGCGATGAGCGTTTCAAAGGTGGACAGAAGAAACGCTGCGATTACAAGAAACACACAAAGAGCGCAAAGTACAAAAGTTAATTTGTTGCTCTGCTTTGTGCAAGACGAGAACAAATGTTGTCTGGTCGATTGAATTTTGATGAGAATCCACTGAACGCAAAAGGTAACAACACAAGACACAACAGGGACTATCATCTCTTTTTAATAGTTATTTTTAAGAAGTTCAATAGTAAAATCCAATTCAATGATTTTGCTAAATTCGTTTTGAAGTTTTTGTTAATTGTTTGGTCGTTGATTTTTAATTAGTAAATAATTAATAACTATTATATAGTACAAAATAGTATAATTATTATAATATATTTTATAATAAAATTATAATACTATATTGATATATCATCACACATTTGTTTATACTAATTATAATATATATTATAATTAATGATAAATTATAATAATTTATAATAATTTTTACTACATAAATAAAAATAACTAAAACCAAACATCATTGTATAAATAACTATTATTTTAATTATAGAAAACCCATTTTAACCAAATATAAAATTCTCATTTTTTGTCACCCGTTTGCAAATAAAAAAACAGGACAATCTCTAAAAAGCTTTTTCGAGTTTGAAAAAGTGCAATAATGAAATCAAAAAAAGATTGGTTAAAACTATTTGTTTTTGGAATCTAGTTACAATATAATTATTTATTTGTTATATTTTCATGGTAATTATATTATATTAATAATAACAAAAGCAAAATAAAACAATGATAAAGACATTGTTTTGGTAATACCCATTTGCATAGGATTTTCTATTTTTTTAACAAATTTACTTTTGTTTTGAATCTCCCTTTATCAATCTTACTTGAAAATAATTATGAATGATACTACAAAAGACTAAGATTTTTTATGTTATGTAACGAACTGCCAAACCATAGTTTTTACCCAACAAAAACAACAAATCTTCTGGTCTTATTATTTTTTTTTTCAAAAAATCATTATAAAAATGGCAATTCAATAATACAAATTGAGAGTATTGTTATATTTAAAATGGATTAATTCAAGATATCCCAATTTGTAAGTTAATTTGCAGATTTTGAGTATTTTACTCAATCGACAAACACAATCATTCAATAATGTAATCATTCAAATTTCTATTAAAGTTAAAACCCTTTACTTTAAATAACTAATGAACCCAAACAATGTAAAGATTAATAGAAGAAGATCACATTTTTAATAACCCAAAGAATATTATAGCATTACTGTTTTTGGAAGTATTGAATCTAATGGAGTGTAACTAAAGAATAAAAAATAGAATCAATCATCTCAATGAATTAAATTAATGAACATCGCCTGGGAAGAACAACAAGTACTTTTGAAACAACGAGACACGGTCCACCGCTCTCCATTGAATGTGATTTTATGGGCGCTTGGGCAATTTGCAGTCGAAGTCCCCACTGAATTTACTGTTTGTTTTCATCTTATCAAAGACAACTTTAACTTATAAATAGCATAGAATTAACACCATTTTTATTGCTTTGTTAATTCAAAATGGTCTCCAATATGTCGACTCACTTGCTATCTATTCTTCAGTCATTCTCTGTTGTGCAATCATTGGTGGATTAGTTAATCTTCTCTTCATCAGTTATTGTGTTCGGTTTGGTCGAAAGAAGATCGCCATCTTCTTCATCTCACTCTTTTACTTTGCATTAGTACTTGTAGCATGTTGGACTAACAACGTTGTTGCTTTTGCTATTCTTTTATTTTTCTCTTCATGGATAACACAGTCTCCTGCTGCTATGCATGGCTCACAGATTCCTTTTATCTCTTCGATCGATTTGCAGTTTGTTTTTCTGCCTCTGCAATTAAGTGGACTATTAATGTAATTATTAACATAAAATAAACACTCTTTAGTACTCTATAAGTATAATATTTATACAACATAATATTAGATTATGACCTTTAAAATGTCAATATTTATTTAAATAACAATTCACAAATAGCCAATTCGCTGATCATCTCTCAATATTAATATCAACGTTGGTCAACTTTCTGTATATATATATGAAAAGAGCATTCTCCTTTGCTTCATTCTTTAGTTTGAATGGACAAGCACTTTCAAAATTGCAAAATGGAGTGGAATTAGAAAAACCCATTGGAACATATGCAGTGATGACTGGAATTATTATCTTGGCTATTATACTCCTTATTCCTTACATGTTCGTGAAAGAACACGTTTCCAAACCACCAATTAAAAATTTCAAGTACAATGCTATTTACATATTTAATAACTTCAAAATAGTATTGGGAGAGATGGTGAGAGATAAAAACTTTATTCTATTTTTAGTATGTATCATTGGTCTTCAGTATTCTTCTTTGTATACAAGCACTCTCTTCTATACTGTTCAATCGGATATTTATCACGTGACCAATTACAGTTTGTCAATCAAAGAAAACACTTACTTCTACACATCAGTACTTGCTATTGGTATTACTCCAATAATCCTTCACAAATTTGGTCCTAGAATGATGTTAGTTATAATATTGATATGTACACTTGTGTTGCAGTGCTTCTTACAAATTGAAGTGATTAACTCTAATTTTGGATATATCGCCATCATTTTTGGCGGGTTTGCTGGAGCCAGTGTTTGTTTCTTCTCTAGTATTATTATATTATTATATTATTTCTATTATATATAAGCATATAAAAATAGAATGGAGTGTATTCTTAAATTATGATATTATTTATTATCTATACTATTTATACAATTACATCAAATAAATATAGAAGTGTTTAGTAGTATACTTTAATAGTTAAATTAACCATAACATTAATAAAACATTTCACTTGTAGACTAATGTCACTTTAAGACGATTTGTATATGAAAATAGTACATATGACACTATTAGTATGCACTATGGTGTAGTTTACATTCTTACTAGAGTATTGAATTCATTAACAACACTCTTTTCTATCATCTATCAACTCCAAGAAAACGACTTATTCTACATTCGATTCTTTGCAGTGGTAACAATTTTCTTTGTCTTAACTATCATAGGACTTGTATGTGTAATCTTTCTAAATGATCATCATGAAGAATATTCTGTAGGGCTCCGACCTCCATATATAAAGAATAAAATTATTGTTGAAAAGGAGTGAGTAATGTAAGCCTATTTGTTTCATTCAATTTATTACTATAACAATTACTATTATTACTAATTACTTTATTATAATATTATTACTACAATACAGTAATTATTTAATAGTTACTTTATTATATAATAACTAACTAAGAGATCAAAATTTGATAGTATTATATATCAATAATTTATATCATATTAATCTACTAAAGCCTCGATTTTCTTTCGCTCTTCTGTTAGTCTTAAGTTCTGTGCACTTGTAGTGAATTTTGATTTCATCGACAGTTCGACTTGTTGTGGTTTTGTGACTTTAGTTTCGACTGAAAGTACTCCATTTCTGTCGACAAAGAATATATTAGTGAACTCGATGTCTTCTGTCTTCGGTAATTTGTCGAACACGAACGTCCCGATGTTTCTCTTGTTTTCATACATTGTCACTGTTATCGTATTCATCCCTTTAATATGTGTTTTTCCTGTTAAATAGTGTTTTTCACCAAACAAAGTGTTCTTTGGAAGGACTATTAAGAGTTCATTTGATTTACTTTTAGGATTATAAATCATCGTTTGGATATCATAAGGTGTTCTATTCATTATTGAAAGACTTCCTTTCTCTATCTTTAATGTCCTTTCAATCGTTTTATTATCATTTATTCGCGTAATCTTCCCAAATAATTCATGCGCGACATACACGGCTCCAATTGCTACAACATCTCTTCTATTCACCGACTTCACTACCTTCCCTTTAAAAATTTTCTCTATCATCTCTTCTATAACTCGAATCTGTGATGACCCCCCGACTAATACTACACTATCAATGTCTTTCTCATCTATTTTGGAATTACTTTTACTTATGCACTCGACAACTATACTCTTACATTTCTTAACTATACTTTCCATGTTATTTTCAAACTCAATTTTCGTCACTAGAACACTTCGATTCATTCCAATCGCTGTTAAAGAAATCTCCACCTCACTATTGCGACTTAATTCAACCTTCGCCTTTTCACTGATTTTCCTTAACTTATACTTCATCGACTCCCAATGACTCTTTATCGTATTAAACATTTGCCGGTCTTCTTTATATATCTTTTTCAATATGATATCACTCAAGATGTCGTCGATATCAATCCCCCCAATATCCATATCACCAACAGTAGAGTCGACTCTGAATTCCCCAATTATACCTCTCAACAGAGTGACATCTAATGTCCCTCCTCCAAAATCAAATACAAGCACATTCCCCTTTCGGATTTGTTTCTCTTTAATAAAAGCAAACGCAGCAGCACTCGGCTCTTTCTCTGAATACACCGTTTCAAATCCCGCCATCTTCGCTGCTAGTATTGTCGCGTCAACTTGGGTCATCTCAAAATGGGCAGGTACCGTCACGACGCAACGGGTCACCTGTCTCTTGATTGTTTGTTCACACTCCGTTTTGAGATTTCTTATGATCATCGCAGTGACTTCTGTGGGTGAAAGTTCCTCAGCACCCTTTGAGAGAGAAATTGTAGGCTCATCCGTCCCTTTTGAATTAATTTGAAACGGAAAGAATTCGGGGTATCGAATTCTCTCGTAAGGAAGTCCTATTATACGTTTGATGTAACAGAAATTGTTAACGAAGTTCTCTGAGTTGCCTATAACGACTTTCTTTTCTGAAGTAAAAGTAACAGAACTATACAAATAGGTTGTCGAACTATTAAATACTATTAAACGGGCTTCATTACTTGTTAGGTCGTAATACCCTATTGAACAATATGTTGTGCCAACATCAATACCTACGTAATCTTCTGTTGTAAGGGAAGGAGGAACTGACATTGCATTGTTCAGTTGGTATCACTTTTTAAATCAAGTTATACAATATAATGTATCATACTTTATTATACATATTTACAATTAATTATAGTACAATATTTACAAAAAATGAAAAAAACTTTGTTGTTGATTTGAGTATATTCGGAATTAAACGAAAACTATTATTATTGTGGTTTATTTGTAGTTATATAATGGTTCTTGAATAATATAAAATAAACATCATTTACAAAACTCAAAAAATAATTGTTTAAGATTCTTTTTGAAAAAACTTTTATTAATATTTTTGAAAAAAGTAATGTTATTTTATTTGTAAAAATTAATTTAAATTTTAATGAACATTTTTTGTTTATTTACATAAAAAAATAAAATAAAATATTTTATATTTTTTACTATTTTTATTATTTACAAAAAATAGTTAGAAAATAATATTTCAAATGAATATGAACTATAATTATTTAAATTAAAAACAAATTAAAATTTTATTAGAGTCCAATTTCGAACAGATAATAAAATAAAAGAAAACTGATTTCCACAAAAATTAAAAAATCCAAATTTGTGACAAAAAATTGAATCAGAACAAAATGAGAGGTTGTTTGACACCACGTTCACAAGTGATTTCCGTTCCGCCATTACAATCTCCCCGTTCCTCATTACCGACTTATCATCTCAAAGTGACCATTCAAAATGGAGTTTTTTCGAAGTCCGAGAATGGTATCTATTGTGTTTCAAAGGTATTAGGTATAAAATATCGGACGAAAGAAACAACAACAAATTGTCCCTTATTTGGAATAGTTTGGGATATTATACTTCCTGAAGACCAACAAACACTTCAAATTTTTCTGTGTAAACATTCGATGATTAATACTCGAATAGATATAGGAATAGTTACTATTAATTTACTACGCGTAGGGATAGGTGTTCAAATGAATGAAACCTTTCGTGTTTTTAACACTGAAAATGTTGTTGGTTCCCTTCGACTTTCTTTATTCAGAGAAACTCGACCAATCGACCAAGTGTTCACAAACTACAAAGAGATCACACAAAAGTTCACTCTCACCTCGCACCCTATCAATTTCATCCCAACAAAAGACTCAAAGGCTTCGAAAATCCCGATGAAGAATCAACATCACCGATTCGTCTCACAGCAACTTCCTCAACCCGAAAGTGATGATTTGATCATCCCTACGGGTCTCTTCTCAGCAGTTTTCATTATCACGCCAGCGGACATCACCGCGGAGTTGAAGAGTTATAGAGACTCTTTTAACTCAACACCTTCAGATCTCTGTTCCTCAACAGTCCCGCCACAAAGTGTCAAGTTGAGTAAACGTTCTTTAGCCCAGTGTGTGAAGACTGAATCACCACTTTTACCGCAAATTGTCGAAATCGGTCTTTCTGGAAAGGTGAAAAGTTGTTACCCTCCAAATGTCGGTGGCCGTGTCGTTCCTCTGAACATCTGGAACTTCTGTTTTGGTGATGGCCTCCATTTAAGTCATTTCAATCAACCCGCCAAAGTTATCCCCTTTGTAATGACCGACGCCACCGGCACCACAAAATTCGCGACGTTTTTAGTCGCGTACTTCCCACTGAAAAATGACGAGATGACTCAAATCAAAGATCTTTACCCACACCAAACCGGTCCACTATATTCTCCGTGTGCAATAGGAGTCACCAGTGAATTTCCGATACTAGGGTTAATGCGGAAGTGGCTCAAGACTATCTATGAGGGGGGATACGACAACAAAAAAATGAACGACATCTTCCACGAAGTCATCTATATGACTGGGAAACCGGGGTATGGGTCCCCCTTCTCTTACAATTTCGCAGACTTGAATTTCTATGTGGAGATACGCCTCGAGCCAAAATTAGGGTTTCCGTCAACTGGGGTGTCCTTTTTGCCATTACTTGGACTCATCGGTGTGGAGGGAATACTTTGCGTTGTACTTAGCTTACTTGCCGACGAAAAGGTGATTGTTGTGAGTAAGTCGAAAACTGCAGTTGTGTATGCTATAGAGCAGTTTAAGAGTCTAATAAGTCCATTTGAGTGGTGCAATGTCTGTATTGATTTGTTACCATTAACTATGATCGACTATTTGACATCGCCTATGACATACTTGATAGGTATCTGTCAAGAGTATAAAGAGGAAATGTTACGGGTGGTAGGCGAGGAGGAAGTTGTAGTATGTGACCTTGATGCTGGGACGGTGATGAAGAAGGGGAGACTGCGCAAAGTACCGACATGTGTACTCAGTGTGTTATATGAGATGGTAAAAATGACTCAATTAAAGGAGACCAGTGTCTTTGATGTGAATAGTGATTGTTATGAGGAGAAGTACTTTACATGGAAGTCGAGTGAGAAAGACAAAATTATTCAATTAGGGATGTTTAAAATAATGTGTTTAATACTTTCAAAATATGAGGATTACGTGAGGTGTTCGTGGGTGACTGATAGGCCTGATATCTATTTTGAACGGGCTGAGTATTTGGAATATAAAGGAGAGGACTTTAACGATCTTTTTGAAGGTCTTTTCACATCGCAACACTTCCAATTCTTCATAGAGAAATACAAAGAGAATGAGGAGAGTGTCTTCTGTGAATGGAATGAGAAATTAGTGTTCCAATTTCCACTTGAAAAGATCGTTAAGATGTATTCCAATAAAAAGGAAGTGCTGAAAATAGTTGAGAAAAACCCGACACACAAGACGGGGACTGTTCGAACTAAAATTGAAGAAATTGAAATTGATGCGAGGAAGTTGCGATCCCTTCGAGTGCGAGAGAGTGTGAATAAGTCCGTTGGGGAGAGTATTACTTATCACAAGAAGAGATGGGACATCCGATCAGATGAGGTCTTTGCCGACTTCTTTTCAAGTCAAAGTGCACAAGACGATGACAAAGTCACTCAAACATGTGAATTGGCAGTGGAGTGGATGCTCAGAGGAAAAGGCGAAGACCGAGTTGTCACTTCTGAGTGGGTCTTTGGTCTCCTTTCGAAAAGGGCTGGAAGGAAGTTGTTCTTCACGCAACTTGCGCGAAGTGTTTTGAGAATTGAACCAAAAGACTTAACTGGTAAAGGAAGTTGCCAGAAGACAATTAAGAAGATTTGTGTGAGTGTGTGGGGATACTCAATCATCACAGAGACCTTCAGACAAGTCGTCAAATATGCAAAGTCCGATAAAGACGTTCTCACACTGAAACGCGTCGTTCAATTTGCGATGGAAATATATAAAGAGAATACCACGAAAGAAGTGTATGTCATTGAAAGTCTTAGGAATGAGACTTTTGAAGAGGAAGAGATGTGGCACGCTCTATATTTGGAAAAGATGTGGAACGACAAACAACGCATTTTTAATGGTTTGAGTGTGCTTGAAATATTGAAAAAATGCGACACTGCCAGTCAAACAGAAGTTGTTGAGTATCGAAAACAAGAAGGAATCAGTCTGGTGAACACATTCAAAGAGACGTTCGAAATGATGAAGAGGTGTGGCGTGGGAGAAAAATGTGTCAAGAAGTTTGTTGGGTACGAACTGGGCCGTCTTCGAGTGAAAGAAGCAGTGTCGACCCAAGTCCACAAAGCAGTCGAGAACTTTTGGAAAGCCAAAACAAGTGTTCAAGAAAAAATTGAGAGCGTACTGACTGCGGAAGAGAAGAAACGAGAGATGTACGACTCGGTGTATGTAACCGAGACTAATTAATGTATAGTTTTGTTTGTATTCATCTATTGTCTCTGCGAACCAAGAAGTTTTGTAAAGAATAAATTACTTTTTATCTTGTGTCAGACTTAGACCAAGATGAAAAAGAAAGTGGCAAGAACAAGAGTTCCAAACATCAAAGATGGAGCTGCGTTCTCTGTTGACTGGTCATAGAGCTCGTTCTGTGAATCTCTGGTGTCGAGTCTGACTTGGTCAAAGAAGAATTTGACGGGGGTCTTGTTTGATCCAGTTCGGGTGAAGACAATGGTCGAGAGTTTTCCGTCCAAGTTGAAATTATCAAGCTTAATGGTCATCTTTTGGTTGTTGTTCTTTTTGATCTTAACGGTGTAGCCAGCTGTTGAGTTGAGAAGATTGCCGTTGTAAAGGGTGTCGAAATTCTCATTGAACAATTTCACATTCAGTGGGAGTTCCTTGACGTCATCATTTTCATATCTGACCATAAATCGAATTGATTTAAAGTCCTTGTCTTTATCAGGAACTGTAGTGCTCACAGTCCCGTTTTTAGTAAAGACAACCATATCTTCAGTATTCATTGTAGCTGCAACCCAGTTAGAGCGTTTTGTATACTCACAAGTGATGTCAAGGTTGTCCGGGTTGACAACGTAGAAGCCCTCATAGAACTCGCCGTCATCATAGAGCATCAGGTCTTCTGAAAGCGCAACAGAAAGTAAGAGAGTGAATAACATGAGTGTGTTCATTTTCTGATGGACTCTCTGCTGTTTTCTCGCTTTAAATTCCCTCTCTTTCTTATCAACTTGTCAACTTGTCGATCTCGGTCACTCTCTCACTCATTTTTTCAATCACGATGAAATATTTTAGTTTTGTTTTTATTAAAATGAAATTAGAATATAACTATATTTTTAGTAAAAATAAATTTTATAATATAATACAATTTTTACTATTTTAATAATAATATTTATATCAAACAAATATAAAATAACAATGAGAAAATTAATTGTTAAAATTAATAATAAATAGATAATAACTAATAAAACACAACGAAAAAGTGATGATTATTTGTTTCGAATTTCAAAACATTAAGTTAAATATTTTTTTGTTATTTGTTCATAAAATAACGCAAAAAACGGGATTTATTACAAACACTTAAAATAAAAAAAAAGCTCATTTACTAATATTAGACTTGTGAAAACCAACAGAGTTATTGATTTGTGATGGTCAACAAAAACTATAAGTGACAAAATAACAAACTAATAAAAAGACAGAAAACAAAAGTTAGAACAGTAAAAACAAAGAAATACAAAAAAAAATCAGAATCACCCGTTTTTTTTTCACAAAAAAACTTCAATTTCTTTATTGAACATTTCTTCAATCATTTTTTTTTCTTTTATGAAAATTAAAAAATAATTCCAATAAAAAGTCAAATGTGTCGCTCCTATTACAAGCCAATACAAAAAATTAAACATTTATAATATTTATATTATATAACAATAGTAAAATAAAAATAATTAGATAGAATAGGAAATAATGCCTTATAAAGAGTGGTATTTGGGGTGAATGCTATTGAACTGTCCAAATTGTGGAAAATGAAAACCAGTCTGAATGGTGAATCACACAACTTATAAAACAAAACCACATAATGACATCAAAGAGAGTGTGTTTCATAGTACTTGTCTTTATATGCATTACTACCACAAAAGGTGCTATCAGTCCTTGGACTGAAGACAAGACTCTTTCTCCAAGACTTAGAGTCAAAAGAGCAATTGATTTTGCTTTTCAAGAACAATCAAATTTAGAAGCAATTATAAAAGAAGACTTAACAAGACCCTTTGTGAGAGGAAACACTTTCACGACGGCTTTATCATTATATCCAAATTTGGAAATGGTTGTTGTGACTTCCACTCTTCCGTATAAAACTAAATGTTTGTTAATAAATAACTATATTTAAAGATTTGTTATTTACTAACATGTAGATGCGGATGATAAAAATGCACCAACACTTGTACTCACTTTTAAAGACAAAAGTGGTGTTAATACAACAAAGGAATACAAGTACACAACATTAAGTGCACAACCTGGAAAAAGATTAATTGAAATTGACTGGACCACTGCATTCTTCCCTTTGACTAGTTACACAAAAACACTTTCTTTTTTGAAAGAACCAGATGTTGACACTACAAAGGCTTTTGTTGCATTTATATCGTATCCCGTGTCTAATGTAGCACTTTCTAATCCGACATTTGGGAAGAAGTTGTTTTCCATTCAAATGGTTTGTTTTCTGTGATCAATTAATTTAAAGAAGATACAAAGACTAACAAATAGAAAGGTGGAGAAAACAAAGATAGTTATGACTACCCAGTGGTCGGTAATATATTCATAGACCATGACTTCGAAGTATGCAGAGCGTTCTTTAACACTGGATTTAGTCAAGACTATAAAGAGGCAATGAAAGATTGGGATAAAGTTTTGGAATCAACTTTATGGAGTGAAGGTCGCCATGTCTCATTATTTATGACACTTTCTATTCAAGGATTCTTCTGTTTTCCAATGGTCGATTACATCTTCTTTGGTGAAACCTCGAAGATCTCAACACAGTGGAAATACTGTAACAAGTATCTTGAAGACACTGATAACTTTAATAGTGATCCTTGTTGTAACAGACTTGCTCCAGGCAAATGCAACACATACAAAGAACGGATGTCCACCAATATAGGTAAAGACAACGTCTGTATGTTCGACTTTTTGAATTACAAAGATTTGAATTTGACCAACAGACAGAAAGTAGAGTTAAACATAAGATCATTTGAGATGGAAGAAGTTACACAGTACTTCCATGATACTCACTTCTCTTCACTTCCTTCAATCCTTTGGAATTTTGAAGACATGAATCAAAAGAAAAGATCACGATGTCGAAACATATTCAACGACCAAAGTGTGTATATAGCAAAGTTCTCTGAATGTCCAATTGATATTCATTTAATTGATGGATTTCCTGCAGATAGCTCTGGGTGTTATACACCAACGGATAATCAAGCTGAAATGTTCATTAATATGTGTGTGCCAAATATTGGTGAAAATGACAGAATAGCAAGATATAATACAACTACATTACAAGTACTTGCCTCACTCTCTTTTGGTGAAGATAAAGTTGTTGAATCTGTGTTTGATCCTGCGCATCCCAACTACTGTTATGCATATGATGGAAGACATTTCAATTCAAAAGATGACAATCCCAATTGTGAGGGATATGTTTGTGATGTTAAAGTCGATCGGTGGGTATTCAAAACTAAAGAAGAAGCTCTTTCAAAGTGTCCCCAATTAGCTACCAAATGTGCCATACAAAATCAAGGATGTGGTATTGGTGATAATGTAAAGAGACCGGCTAATGTAAGTGATATTGGTGACTCTTTCAAGCGATTTGTGAGTGTTCTTGATATCACTCCAGAGGAGTGTACTGCAATCAAAGGAATTGATTTGACTCAAATGAATTCAAATACTGATGATGACTATGAGTGTCTCAGTCAAGTAGTTGGATGTGCAGAGATATTAAGTCCCGAGTTTGTTCATTGTGATGAAGCAAGCATGTTGACTAATGTTTTCATGTTTAATGAAAGGACTTTGCCACGTGCAGAGACGTTTAGACTAAAAAGAGCAACAGCAGACACTCCGGTGAAAAGTTCAGTGAAGACTCTTACTCCAAATTATGAAGATTCTATTAAAGTGTTTTATGTGAAATACATTGCAGCTGAACTCACACAACGAGCTCCAGTTTTCTTTGAATTTTTCAATAGAGAAATATCGACCTTTATCACCGATTGCTTCTTTGTTGGGAAGGATAAGTTTCAATCGTATATTGGTGTTGATTTTCCATTGACAGTGATGACATTGAACAGAGACAAATCCGAACTGTTTTCAAAGATCGAGTTAATACCATCTCCATCTCAAGACGATTTAAAAATGACGCAATTTGATCGATGTTATGCGTGTGGGTCAACTGCAATATTTGGGACTATAGATGGAAGTGTGAAAATTAAAGGTAGTCAATATCCTTTGTTAAATTATTGGAACGACAAAATCGATGAAGCAAAAGACAATTTAGGGTTTAGAATGACAATCAAATACAATGACTCAATTGGTGGGCGAGATGAAAGTTTCACGATTGGATATATCGTAGGAGACGCTGTCAAATTTACTGAAATAACAACAACAAACCATTCGACTATTTATATGGGAATTAGTGAAATATCAACAGTCGACTTCACAGAGGCAAGTACATATCCTATTAATGACTTTTTAAGAATAAGAAATATGACAGAGAATGGGCAATCTAAGTTTTGGATAGAACCCCTTTATTTGGAATGTGTCCAAACATCTTCTGACGAAAACAAATTTGTGTTTGACTTTGTCAACTCGTATGTTCTTTGTAAGGTACCAGAAAGTGTCTATTTAACATTTACTAAAGACGATGGCATATTACCAATTTACAGACTCCCTAAAAATAAAATTAAAAAAGACTACCCTAAAGAATCAGACCAGAGTAAAATCCTTGCCATAGTCTTGCCAACCGTATTTGGTTGTCTATTCGTTCTTGTTGTCTTCTCTATCATCATTTTTGCTGTTGTTAGGTATAGAATTATTAAAGGAAGAAGACTTCTTAAAGAATATAATGAAGAGGATTTGACATCACTGGGTGGACCACTGTTACAATTCGAATAATAATTTGTTTTTCATTTTATTATAGTTTATTATAGTTTATATTCAAATAATAATATTAATAATATTAATAATATTAATAATAATCAGTATCATATATTATAATTTGGTATACTATAATATATAATAACACTATTGCTTATGTTCATATATTGTAAACTTACAATTCTGACATTGAACTGTCGAATATAATATGTTTCAAATATATTATCATTCACTTTTAAAAGACTTGATTATCCATTTCCATATTCCACAATCAATACACAGTCGATACAATCTTTTGTTTGATGTACCATATAAAAACTATAAATAAATTACAAAAAAAACTATACAAAGTCCTTCGACTTTTTTGAATAACAATAAATAACTCATTTGAAATAAACTCTAAAACCAGTCCACAATGATTTCCGTCTTATTTGTGACATTCTTTTTGAGTGTTATTTCCACAGAGAGTTATATCAAAGGTGTTCCAGAGACTTTTGGCCCATCTATAGAAGACAATTACTTAGTAGTTGTTTACTTCCATCATAACGACACGAAGCTTGCAAGTATTCTGAACTCATTCAAAGAGAAACTTTCCACTGAAAGCTTCATCTTAATGGAAGTCGACTGCACACAACAGAAAGTGATTTGTGCGTCTGAGAAAGTCTATTCTCCGCAAGTGATAATGTACAAGGACTTCATCGCAAAGCGATTCAACGGCTTCACAAGTGAATTGGTGAATGAAGTGCGAAACTCGGTGAAGGGCATCGTCACCCTCCCCGACGAAGTTTTGAAGACAAAGATCCTTCGGAAGGATGTTCTTGTAGCTTTCTATGGCCCTTCATTACCTGACAAGATCGTTTCCGTATCGAAGAATGTGTCTTCCATCGACTTCTTCTATGTCAACTCTCCAGCAAGTCGCCTTCTGATCAGTAACGGGAACTTCCCTGTCATCAATTTGAACATGGACGACTCCACAGAGAAGTTATCTTCCCTCATTCGCTCCAAATCGATTCGCGCTGTGTCGCGATTGTCGTCGTCAGTATTAGAAGACAATCAGAATGAACGAGATATCCTGGTCTATGCCAATGAAGTTATAAGCCAAAGTGATATAGAGATGCTGGAGAAGATAGCGTTAAGGTATCAGGACATCATTGTCTCGTATCTCACAACAAAGGATACCAAAGCGCTTGAGATCATTCCATTCAAGACATTTCCAAGTGTCACCATTTTGTCGATGAAAAGTAAAGAGGCGACTGTATTCAGTCAAGCCAATAGTCTAGAAGACGTCGAGAAGTATGTCGAAAAGTACAAGAAGGGCGAAATTGGGATGTTCAGGAAGAACGAAAATCCACTAAATGAAAGTGCACAGAAGATCTTACGCCGAATTAACGCGGAGCAATTTGACGAGTACAAAGTCACGTATTTAGATAGTGTAATACTCTTGTGTGACACAACGAGCGAAGAGTGTTTGGAAGCTATTAAAGACTTTGAAACAGCAGCAAATATGCTCTCTGCGGAGAAGTATCTTGATATCGCGTTTGTCGATGTGGCACATAATACTATTGAAACGTGTAGTGAGGCTTACCCAGTTATGGTGATGTACACCGGATTCGATGGGAAGAGAATTTGCTTTGAAGACCGAAGACCTATTACCCCCCAAAGTGTCATCAACTTGGTCAGAGAAAGAGGAAAGTTCCCAACTAAAATCGGGTCGTTTGTCCCTGAGAAGGAAATGAAGAGTGACGCCGTCGCTCTCAATAATAAGAAGAAGAACTTGGAGGAGAGAAAGAAGTTCGAGGCGTCTAAGGAGTTCGCAGAGAAAATTAAAGTCTGGAAAGGCGTTTCAAACATTAAAAGCGGGTTAATGGACGCGAAGAATGAAATGAGAAAAGCTAGAGATGTATTCACTGAAGATACTGCTTTTAACCAAGCACATAATCACCAATCAAAGTCTTAATACATATTATTAGTTAGTATAACATTTTATTAATTAATTAATAATTAATGGTTTCTTATCTACCAATTTTTTAAGAAATAAACCAAAACAATACTATTAAACAAAATTAATAATAAAATAGAATATACTATATGTATAGTTAAATAAAATTAAAATATAATATTAGAATATTTAGTAATTTTACAAGAATTATTTAATTATAATAACGGATTTGAACTAAAAAAATTTCTCAAAATTTACTATTTTTTTGCTAGATAATAATTTATATGACACAAAACAATCGATAATTATTATAAATTTTCATTTGATATTATTTTTGAACAATAAAACTGTGTCGTTTCGGGAAATCGTTGGAAATAACTTAAAATCCTTGTTTCATTTTTTTTATAAAAAAAATATTAAAAAAAATTACTTATTTCCCATTTTTTTAGACATTTTTTGTGTATTTTTGTCAAATCAAAAACTTTTTTAAACATTAATTACAAAATAATTTAGATTATAGCAAAATTTGGGTTGGAATAAGAATGAAGTTTATAAACTTTAACTAAAATATAGTAAAATACAATAACATATATTAACCAATATAATAAAATTGTTAATAAAACAACCTATTAAAACATCAACATTATTTTTATATTTGACCAATTACATTTTTATTGTTGTTTTTATTGGTTTGATTATTGATTTAATGAGGCCGTATCAGAAATCGTAATGCCTAATCGAAATTATTATTATTATTTTTGTGATTTTAGTTAGATAAATTAATAAATATAAATAACTATATTATACTTATACTATACTATTAACCCATTTATTTTTTAAATTTAATTTTTTGAGTTTTAATCACGTCCAGATGACAAATTGTGGAACGATTGACATTCATGTATTATTACCAATTCGGTCCGAGACACCATTTCTATCAACATCAACGTTACTTGAACTTCTCACAAAGGAGAATATTTCTTATACAAATAGAACATTAACTAAAAGTGGTGAGTATTTTAGTATCTCCTGTGATTCTTTGAAAACCGTAATGAAACATTCCCAACAGTTTCCTCTTCTTCCCGACTTCTCTGAAAGTCTTAGACAACAACTCGAAGTCGTCACAATAGAAGATATTTTTCCCAACACAACCACTGACACAATTTACCAACTCTTTGCCAATATACCTGTTCTTTACTCTACGGAATTATCAAACAGGAGAATATCACTCACTGTCCCAAAGATCTATACTGAATCTATATTAAACTATAAAAGTACTATAAAGGAATATACTGGAGGAGTGGTCAACGTAGGGCCGATAGGGTACAGTTTAGTTGTATATGTTCCTTTTAATTCTGTCTCGAAAGAGCTGTCCGAGTACTTTTCAAGTTATGGAACCGTCACGAGTATTAAGAAGATAGGTGGTGGTAATTATCAACTCACCTCCACAGAGCAAATAGAATACTCGAAACTTATGATCAACTATTCTTCTTTAAGTGATGCGGAACGAGTCTATGCTGATATTAACGGGAAGGATTATTTTGAATGTGAATTTTGTGTACGTGCATATAGAATGTATATCATAAAAGACGACAAAACTCCACTCTTCCAGATGAAAAAGAAAAATGAGCAGATTCAGTGTCTTTACCAAGGGATGGGTAGTACTGTTAATCACCCACAATCCCCTAAAATAGTATCCCCTATCCCAGCAATACCAAACCCTACTCAACAATTCTATACCCCTCAAAGGTACGATACACAAGAGACAAATCCTTTACTTTCAGCTTATAGTAAGACACCTAATAGACAGCTTCAAACTCCCGCTTTTGTCCCAAAGCATTTAAAACAACAGCAACAAATCAGCCCTTCTTTACAAATGCAAAATGTGAGTGTGACACCAACGGAGAGTCCAAATGGCATTCTTAAGAAGTCCTATCCGTCTTTTACTCCTTTCGATGAGTTAAAAACTATTCGACTGATCTGCACTATCCCACCTACTTGGGGCTTGGAAGAGACTAAAAATGCAATTCGGGACACTGGCGTTGAAATCCTCAAATTCCACAAACGAACAGTGAAAGGGTTTGGTTCCTGTGCGACGGTAGTTGTCTATCAGGGACAAGAACATTTGTTACTTGGAAGGGTCTTTAATGAAACGTTCTTTGCGGTGGAGACTAACGTCCCCTTCAATTCTCTCAATTTCGCAATCGACAAGGACATTCAAGAACAAATTAATTCGTTAAATAAAGTCTTTGTGACACATACACCACCCGCTTTCAATACAATGAAGGCCGCTGAGTTGTTTTCCGCGTTTGGCAGAATCCTACACATCTGGGTCGATACTAAGAAACAAATCGGGTTCATCACTTACTTCTCATTGAAGACGCTCAGAAGGTTATTGGCTTCAAAAAGTCGATGGAATGTACGTGTCACAACAAAAACTGTAATCTCGTGTTTTTCGAGTGAGAAACCACATGCGTAAATAATCACTTTATTATTTGTTGTTCGTTTCAGTGCAAAATGCATTGCATGTAAGAGTTCATAAAATGGTTGAAAGGTTTATAGAAACAATAAGATCAATTAAGTTCTTTGCACAACTTGGCAAAGCCAGCAACTAATTGTGACGCAGTTAATCGTAAATCGGTGCGTTCACACCAACACTGTGTAATTATTGTAAAGTACTTTGCTGCAATAAAGTCCGGTTTCGCTAGACGTTTACCAGAAGATATGAGATCAGCGATATTCCATGGATATTTATATTTGTCTTGTGGATATGCATCACACCATCCAATACATTCGTACATAGTAATAGCAAAGGAAAATATATCGGCTGGTTTTTTATACTTCTTTTTATTTAGTACCTCTTCTGCCATATATTTTGGTGTCCCGACGCCTTTAGTGAAGGTCATATTAGTCATCAACATGTTGATATTACGACTTGAACCAAAATCAGTCAATTTTCCATTGACTGCCATGCCTTCATCCAATGATACTATTAATATATTATCTGGTTTAATATCTCGATGTAAGATCCCATTGTTGTGTAAATACTCTATCCCCTTTGCAGCATCTAACATAAACTTTATTTTCATGTCGATGTCTATTTCATTCGATTTCTTCTGATTCATCAAGTCTTGAAGTGATCCATATTTTGCATATTCAGTTACCATACATATTTTACTCGGCATAAAGACAGCACCAAAGAAGTGAACAATATAATCACTCCGAAATTTGTCTAACATGTCGACTTCATTCTTAAACTCCTTCATCTTCTTATCATCATCGGTTTTGTTTTTCATCTTCTTAATAGCTACCACGTTTTCTCTAAATTTCCCTTTAAAAACAACACCAAAAGAACCCTCACCCAGTTTCTTTTCTTCTATCAATTCATCGGGGTCAAGTCGAGTTGACAAACAAGTGTTTATAACAAGAGTAAATACAATACTTTTTGTTTCTCCCTTTCTCAAATCAGCGTATGTTAAAACGAGCTTGTCCTCTTTCTTTAATGTGCAAAGAGGTTTTATAACGATTTCAAATTCAATAGCCTCTCCCTTCTTCACAGTAACCAATTGTGGATATATTTGAATATCATATTTTTCATTAACTTGTTGTGTAAATTGCATTTTAAGTGTAGACCTCCCTTTATTACCAACACAAAGTAGTTCTCTTGCTTTTTCATTCACTTTTATCTCTTCGGTATTTTCACTACTAAAAGGGATTACCTTTTTATTAACAACAAGAGGGGTGTTTTCTTCTGTTTCAAATTTAATAGTCGAACGTGTTATTAAAAATCGTGTCACTTGTTCATCTTGTTGTTTGCGTTCAATTTTTTTGAGAATTGAAAAGACGAGTAACGTCGAAATGATCACAACAAGTGTTAAAAAGATCAATACCACAATAATTGGAAGAACAATATATAATCCAATGTTCAGAACATACTCACAATAATCACCAGAATATGATACCCTATAATTTTTGTTGCATTTTACGCACTTTGAGTTGAGTGATTCAATACAATTTTCAATTGTTAAATAATACACGCACATGTGATTTTTTAAAACAAAGGTATCGTCACAACTTGTACACTTCTCATTGGAAAGACAGCTGTAACAATCCAAACCACATTGGTCGCATTCATTATTTGTGTTGATATAGAAATGTGGATTGCACTTGGTACACCCATGTTCATTTGTTGTGGTACAATCAGGAGAATCTCCTAGTAATATACACTTGTTGTATTTCGTTGATTTGTAATAGCCTTGTCCACACTCAAAACAGTTATTTTCATTTGATATACAATCAGAACAATTTAAACTACATTTATGACATGTGGCATTCACTTTGAAATATCCATAGTAACAAACTGCACATCCGCTGCCACTTGGTATAAACGCGGTGCAATTCTGTGACTCTTTTGGCACACATTTATCATCTTCAAGTGAATACACTGTCGAGTCACACTGTGTACATACCTCCGCATGTTTATCACAACTTTTACATGTTTCATCACATTTGTCACAAATCAAATCATTTAAGTAGTAACCAAAAGAACATCTTTGGCAGCCATAAGGAGAATCATATGAACACAACTCGTTTGTCACATTTTGACAAATACCTCCTGGACTCAAATGAAATTCTTTTTCACATTCAAGACATTTTATTGCATTACAATATTTACAATTATCTGGATACTTTACACATACACCTTCTTTAATGAAATAGTTATTTTGACACTCAATGCATTTGAAATGTGATTTATTAACACAATTAATATCTTCAACACATTTCTTTTTATTTTCAATTAAATGATTAACATTCGCACATGACAAACACTCTTGTGCATCACATAAATCGCATCCTTCATATTTTGAAGAACATTCTTTACAAATACCATCATCAAGATAAAATCCATTTCCACACTCTATTGCGTTATCATTTGTTACACTTATTGCGCTTGTCATTTGTGTACATTTTGTAACATCATTTGAAGTTCTTGTATATCTCTCATCTATATTACAAATATCACAGGTTTCGCTTTGAGTTGAACAATGTCCACATGAAACGTCGCATTTTATACATTCTTGTCTATTTAAGTTAAAGTAAAATGATTTGTCACACTTCACACAAAATTGATTTGCGTACAAATCACAATGTGTGGATTCTTCGACTTGAATACATTCGTTTCCTCTCGCTTCTGTCCCATCTTCGCATTTCAAACAAGAGGTACTTGTACATCTCTTACAATTATCTGGACACTTTTTACAAATTCCAAAATCACTGTAATAAGTCACTTCACACACTTCACAAAATTCTCTTTCGTTTACAAATGAAGATGAAATACAATGATCTATCGTTGAATGGAGACAATCCCCATTTATTATAAACATCCCATCTTTACACTTTAAGCACTTTGTCCCACTCTCCGAGAAAATTTCAAACAAGCAGCCTTGGTCGACTTCAAATGAAATTGTTTGTTGTACACCTTTACGCCCACTTAATTTCTTCCTTGAAAATCCCAATGTGTTTGAACTAAACACAAAATATTTTGTGAAATCCACTTGTATTTCGTTGAGTGTTTTACTTTCAATTTGTATTACACTGTTAGTTCCATCAATTTGAACACTTGAAGTGGTCGTTTTGAGTATAAATTGTTTATTATTCACATTTGTTATTTTTGTGTTGCTCTTGAGTTCGAAAAGAGTTGGACTGAACGAATCAGTGAATTCAAAATGTTGTGCCGATGAAGTGAATTGAATCAAACAATTCGAATCATGTGAAGAACATGGACAACTAAAATCGACATCACCATCTGTATAATAATTATTATCTTCATATACACAAGTTCGGTCATACAAGTTCAGTTCTTTACAAATTGTTTTTTCGTCTTTAGAGAACCGAGTAATGACAATGTAATTACTACAAATTGGTGTAATTCCTGTTATTTTTCTTTTTAGTGTTTTAAACATAATAAGTGGAGTTTCTATTGGAATTGAAATGTCATAATTTGTTTCCAAAGTTAATGAGAGTGTTTCGGTATCTGATGGTTCTATTTGAAATACCTCTATATTACTTATTCTACTTACCAACGTTATCTTCTTCAAAGTCAACGTTTTTGTTGTTATGGGTATATATATTGAACCTCCCGTTTTAATGATCAATTCTTTTATTGACACATCAGTTGAGAGTAAATTAAGTTGTGAAGAAACAGAAATAGTTGGTGAGGTGCTTAAAGTTCCAATTGTGCAAATGGTGTTTGCAATAAGAGAATAATCTTTCGATGAAACAATTGAATGAATAACAGAAGATGTATTTTCAAATATAAATACAATGTTGTTACCAGTTAATTCAACTTCATTCATTTGTACATTTGAAAGACTAATAGTTGTTTGAATGGAAAGAATTGTTTTTTCAATTTCAGTTTTGTAAACATCAATATCAAATTCATTAACCGAAATTTTTCCAGATGTCTTTATATTAACTCCTTGAAATACAATCACTTGGTTTGTTAAGGCAAGTTCGGTAATTGCAATAGAAAAATCGCCACTTACAATTGTAGTTGATTGTGATGGTGTCATTGTATCGATTGTTAATATAGTGTTTATTGTAATCAAGTTTTGGTTTCCAGTTGTGAAAATTTTTTGAATAAGAGAATCTTCATTTGGTTGTTCAGAATTAATAACGATTTGCGTGTTATTTCCTGTAATATTTATTTCCATAATTTCGTCAAGTTGTACTGAGTTGATATCAATTTTCATATTATTTCCTCTTATCTCCAATACATACAAATACATTTCAATATCCAGAGTGACATTTTTGTTATCGTTTTCCAATACAAAAGTGTTTACATATGAAGTATCAACACCAGTTAAGTCTATTTTTTCATTTCTCATATAAATTAAACAATTTGCGGTGAAGCATGGACAATATATTTCTGTGAATGAATCACCTTTTAAAAATTCTGTGCCAGTCATGTTACAAATAACAATATCATTCATTTGTTCTTGAGGACAATACCTTAAAAGATGTTTATTAGCTAAAAAAGAAAACTTTTGTTCCTCCAAAAGTGAGTCAGGCAATTCTTCACTCGAAGAAATGACATCAAAACATTCATCACCTTCTGCACTAGTAATTGTAAGTAATTTATAATTACTCATAGTAATGATAGTTCCTTTGTTTATATGTTTTGTATTTGAAAGAAGTAGTTTAGTGATAGTAACTTTTTCTTTAGAGTTCATTTTAGTTGTTTCAGTCACATACATTTTTTCACAACTTAATGGAATTGTGATATCAACTGTTATTCCTTTAAAATCACACGTTTTAATCATGAGCTCTCCTAACCCACCAATGTTCATACTTGCACTTTTTGTTGACAAATTGGCGAAATACGTTGCTAAATTTGGATTTGTGTAAGTAGAAGTTATCAAGTTATAAATGTATTCCTTTTTGATGTAAGATACTTCGTAACAATCTCTCTTGTAAAACCTTTCGTTTTCATAGATACAATCACACATTGGATTATCTCCATTGTAATATCGGTAATACCCACCACATTGTGCTGCCAATACACCACTTTCAACTGTTGGTTTGCTTTTGGCTATAAACAATGCATTGTTAGTAATAAGAGTTTCAATAACTACATTGGTATTTATTGTATCAAATATAACAACTTTATCATTATCTGGAACTTTAATTTTGTCGAGTGTAATTGGTATTTCAAAACTTCCTGAATGTGTTATTTCCATTTCTTTTGCAGCCAATGAACCCGTCCCTTTAATAATAAAGTCATATTGTAAATTAATACTTCTCCATCTTGTGTTCGACTTCATTGTTTGTGTATAACTAAAAGGAATAACCAAATCTCTATATGCAGAATCAACAAGACAATCGTATCTGTCGTAAATATCTCCAATTGATGAATTGTATTTACACTGACACGGTGTTAAACTATTGACACCCAAAGCAAAATATCTCTTGAATTTACCTTCACAATATTTAGTTATTTTACTAACTATGTCACCAGTAATTTCTTGATTAGTTACGATAATAAAATCGTTTAAAGGTTCATTATCGACAAATTTTTTTAAGTTTATAACCGAGTTGATGGTTTCAAATATAAAAAAGGAGTTTCCACTTACTTCCTCAAAATTGAAAGTACCTGTCCCATTAAAATAAATGCCATATTTGTAGTTCAACCATCCCAATTGTTTGACCGAAAGTACTTTGTTATCTTTAATTGTGACTGTTGGAATCTCACCTTCGAGACATTCATTAAAAATAAGTGTATTTACTTCATAATTATTTATGACTTCAAATGTACATTTTAAATAGATGTCAAAATAATTTAAATACAATTCACAATCGGGATAGTTCCAATTCACCTTATCTAATGATAACTTACACGAGCAGTCTTCTTCAACAGACTTCTTTTCATTATACCCAAAACGAGTTAAAAACCCTCTTTTGCACATGATTTGTTTTGGTTTTTGGAAGGTGTAATCATATATAGTAGTGATTTTTGTAGTGAATTGATACCCTATACTTGCACTGTCATAAATATATAATAAAAATGATCCACTTGAAAAAGTAATGTCTCGTGTTAATGAAAGATTGAGTCCAAGTGACATGTTAAACTTTTCTGTTCCAATAACAGTTGTTTGATGATTTGGAAGAAGTCGAAAAACACCAAAATTTTCACTCTCAAGTTGAAAAGAGTATGTCATAGGAAGTGTGTGAGGATTCGCAAAATCGTAAACAGAAAATGCATTCTTTGCATTTATATTAAACAGATAATTGTCAGTTGTACAACTGTTATCGAAATTGATTAAAAATGGAACATCCGATTTAAAATTGATTGTTAGTGGACTGTTAAACTTTATCATAGTTAAAGTATACTGATTCACATCTTCTACTGTTTCTATTTGTTTGTTATATATAACATGTCCGTTCATATCATTATAACATGAATTTTGTTCACTCAACGTAATTGAATTATCTTGGTTGTTATAACATGAAAGTGAATGTGTAACAACGATCAAGCAAAGAAGCACAACACCCTTCATGAAATTTAAGTTTCAGAAACAATTCTAAAATACTTTCTATTGTATTTCAAAAATTACATTGTGGTAAAAATCTATTTATAGTATTTTGTCCCCTTGCATTCTTATTATTCACACAAACACTTTTATTCTGTATTATTTAAATACTATAATTTTACTATTGTTTTTATATAAAAACTGGACTTTCTTATAATTTAATTATTTAACTATTATAATGCCAATTTTTTTTCAAAATAAATAACTATTAGTATTACAATAATATTTTATCATATTTATACAGGAATTTAAAGCATAATTCCATAAATATTAATAAACAAAATGTTATAAAAATTTTCATTAAACAAACCAACATAAAACAATTAATTATAATTTTGTTTTTTTTTCATAAAAATAATCAGGATTAATTACTAAAAAATTAATTTAATTTTTCATAATTAAAAATTGAACGAAGAAAACAAGAAATAGTTGATTGTTATGTTCAAAGATCAACTTTGTTTTTGTTTTTTTAAAAAAAATATACACATATTATATAATATAATTAATTATACTATATATTATAATATTTAAAACCAAAAAACATAAATGTTGGCATTTTCACTCAGATTTTTTGTCAAAAACTGTATTAAATTTGAAAAATATTTTATTAATATTATTATAATATTTATTATAATATACAACAAGTAATATCTATATTTTATAATTAATTTATATATATATAATAGTTAAAATAATATATTAATATATAATAAATTATTAGTAATAATTAAAAAATTGATTATTTAAGTATAAATTAACTATAATATAATTAAGAACAAATTAAATTAAATAAATAAATATTTTTGTTATTAAAAATAGTAATAATAATAATTTCCTATCTAAAAATTGATAAACTATACTATATAGTAAAAATAACTTTAACAATGGTTTTGAAAAATATACCAGAACGAAGAAAAAGAACAACTGAAAAAAAGACAAGTAAACAATGGCAAAGCATCCCACTGTTCTTGATTTAAATCAATTAATAGCGGCTTACACGAATTCACAGATCACCCCATTTAAATGTAAAATAGTTGTTTCTGACAACGACTCTGAGCGTCGTTTCATGGAACAATATATAGCCGCGAACCCTCCGACATCAACGAATGGCATTTCGCAAACAATAGGTAGTACAAACAATCTCTTTAGTAACTCATTGGTGTCACAAACGCCATCTTATGGATTATCGATGTACGGGACTACGCCACAACCCAATGATATAGAGAAGTATATGAAACCCATTGGTGAGCCGGGGAAGTGTCAGATAGAAGTGAGTTTTTTTAAGGGTTTAGAGATGCGGTCGACGTTCCAAACGAATCGACAGGAAGAATTAGTCAAAGAGGTTGAAGGCATTCAAAAAGAGATGCAAGAGGCGCTCTCCGCAATTCAAGACGAAGTCACCGAGCGCGTCGAAGAAGTCAAAGAACGTGCAAATAAACTCGACGAGAAGATATTAACGGTATTAACATCGGTCGGTGTATGTGATGAACAAACTCTTGATAGGTTCAAAGATTTGCTTCAGAAGGTCGAAAATTGTGATGTCGAGAAGAAACTTACACAACTCCTTGGCGTCGTTAAAGAGATCCAAACCCCTGTCGCTCCAAATATTTTCGATGAAGAAACGACTAAAAATGTCACTAACTTACTCTTCGAGGAACAGGAAATTATCGTCGGAATAGGAAGACAAGTGACTGAGCTCAGAGCAAAGTTGGAGGAGATGAAGCGAAGGCACGATAAGCTCAACGAGTTACATTGATTTGATTGGTGTGTGTCTTTTTCTTTTACTATATTATAGTTTAATGATAAATTTACTATTTGAATTCTCTTTCATTGAAGTGTATTATTACTTTATGGTAATATATAGTTTATTTCTTATACCAACTTTTTAGTGGAACTTTGTTACTATAAAATAAATAAAAAAGTTATTGAAATACTATTCTTTTAATTACTTACATAAAAAACAATAACATTGTATAATATAATTATTAATAAACTATTATATTTTTTTTTGTATTATTTTTACTAAAGGCAATCTATTGTTTATGGTTTCTTTTTAAATTGAAATAGTCAGTAGAGTTACTTTTAATTTGAAATGTGTTAATCATCTCAAAACACAAATAACTTATTGATGATGAATTTTTCTCATAATCCCACTATTTCATTTAAAAACGACGAAATATCAGAATAATAGAATCGATCATATTGTAAACTGTTCATTTTCGATTATTAACACCAAAATTTTTCTTTAATCACCAAATTAATTTTCTCATGGAATAACAACCCAAAAAACACCAAAAACACATCGAACTTTGTTTTTTCAAAATGATAGAAGATCTAATAACTCGTGTTATTCCTTTGAACCATTTTAACTTAAAGTTATAATAAAACAAAGTAACACACGAACTATACTTACAAATAAAAAGAGTGACCTCTCAAAAAATACAGATTGCTGTGATGGAACGTGGAGAGATTAAAGACGGGCATTATTACTTCAAAGTCCAAAATGCAATGAGTGGGTGGGGGGACCAAGACACCAACAACTTCATTCGTTCCCATACCACTTATGACTCTATTAAACGTCGTTGCGATTCCCATCCGGACGATGAGTTCTTTGGATATCGAGTACGGAAAGGTGGGCATGGAATAGGGGAATACATCTGGGTGAAGAACAAAGAAGTCCTTGAATTGGTCGATGCGTTTGCGGCGACCCTTATCCACACATTGAAACTGAAGAAAGGGGACTCGTTGGGATTTATCAGTCGAAACCGGTACGAGTGGTATGTCTCACAATTCGCAGCGCAGAAATATGGGATCATCCCCGTGCCACTCTACGCAACACTTGGAGAACAAGCAATAGACTACATCGTCGATTTGATGCAAATCAAACACGTCGTGTGTTCACTCGATAAGACTGTTGCCGGATTGGAGAAAAGAAAGAATTTCATCCAATTCATTATCTTCGATCATGAAAAGGTCGATGGCGTCGAAGTTCCAAATAATTCCGTCTATTTCGAAGATTTGTTGAATGAAGGAAGAAGTCTTCACTGCGACGCAGAAAGACCTAATATGGACGATTTAGCTTTGTGTATTTTTACTTCAGGAACGTCTGGAAAACCAAAAGGTGTGATGCACACCTTCTCGTTTGTTGATTTCATTTCGTCCATTTGAAGATGAATGAATTATACTATATAGTTTAATATATATAGTATAATAAATTATAATATATAGTATAATATATTATATATTTAATAAAAGTAACAAGTAGAACCTTTGCACATGGGATTACTAGCATTAATGAATGTAATATATTCACACAATCGCCGAGTAGAAATGAAACAATTTTCAGTTATTTACCTTGCGCTCATATATTGGAACAACAGACGAGTCAGTTTGTTCTTTGGATTCAACGTGAATGACGTGGTACTCATTAATAGAGGATTTATGTTTGGCGGTGGACGTGTTGGGTTCATATCTGGTGGCATAGCATCACTTTCGGACGACTTGTTCCACTGTAAACCAACATACCTAGCTGTTGTTCCTCGTGTCCTCCAACGTATTTATGACACATTCAATCACAAATTCAATGAAATGGGGTGTTTGGCGCAGACTTTATTCAATGTCGCCTATTACTTCAAACGTGAATCATTAGTCAATGGCAACTACAATTACTTGAACTTCGACTTTATCTTCTCCAAAGTACGCGATGGCTTTGGTGGGAAACTTCGGTTCATATTCAATGGTGGTGCTCCCATAACACCAGCGTTATTCGAGTGGCTTCGTGTCTGCACTGGTGCTCACATCATGCAATCATATGGATTAACCGAATCGTGTGGTGGGTGCACGTCCTGTTTACCAAATATGAACGACCCAAATGTTATTTCTTGTGGTTCTCCGTGTGACAGAGTATCTCTTCGTCTCACTAGTGTTCCTGAAATGGAGTATTTTATTGATTCGGTGATTCCATGTGGTGAAGTTGAGTTGAAAGGTGGTCCCATTTTCAAAGGGTATTTCCACAACCCCACCGAGACGGAAAACGCATTCACTGAAGACGGGTATTTCAAGACGGGGGATATCGGGAGTGTTGCTAAAGATGGTGCAGTGACTATCATCGATCGTAAAAAGAACTTATTCAAATTGTCGCAAGGAGAATATATCGCGGTCGAACCACTCGAAGGGAAATATGACGCGTGTGAGTTCGTCGGCCAGAGTTTCATCTATGGAGAGAGCACAGACTCTTTCATCGTCGGTGTCATCGTACCCAATTTCAGGAATGTCCAAAATTGGTTGAAACAAGAAGGCAAAGATGTCAAAGACAATAAAGAGATATGTCAGTTGATCAATGGGGAATTCAAAGATCGGCTCTTGGAAAAGATCCACGCATTCATGAAGGAAATGAAGGTACCTGGCTACGAACTCATTCGAAACGTATACTTCGTCGACGAGGAATTCTCAACAGAAAATGATTTGATTACTCCTTCCTTTAAATTGAAGAGAATGAACTTGAAGAAGAAATTCATGAACAAACTCACTGAGCTCAGAAAACAGGCTGGTGCGTTTTAACCAAAATTTTGATTTTAGTTTATTTTATAATACTTATATCATTTGTTATTAGTTCAAAATACAACCATACTCTATTTATATTTGTATTATACTTTATTAGTTTGTATTGTTGGTGAAAAAAGGGAATTGAAATGGGAGTGAATCCTATAAATAAGACGCAAAACTATTAGTATGGTAATTGAATTGTATTCCGTTGAAAAAGTTAAAAAGTGGAGGAACTGTCCAGTGTGAAATAGTTTTAAACGGGTTGTTCAGCAATTATGTGATGTTGAAATGAGAAATTTGGCGATGCTAGAAAGAACTAATAAGGATACTATTAATATAGCAAAAATACCAAAACGGCAAACACCTCATTTCCTGTGATTGCGCTGGTGGAACAGCACTACATTTGACCGTCGAAAGCAGGAGGAAAAACAGGTTTGTTGCTCATCGTGACAAAAAGAGAAAAAGGAACTTTAAAGTCAAGAGATGAGCGAACTATCACAAGAAACATTATCGTTGTCGTCATCGGAAGAAGATACAAACCAAGAAGCCACAAAAGATACGAACAAGGACTTTGAGAAGATCGTTCCCCAAAAATCAGACATGACGAAGTACTTCGACTCTGTTGGTATCACCAACGGTACAGAATACATGCACTGCAAAAGCTGCACAGACGCACACCAAAAGGGAGACCTCTCTCGCGTTATGAAGATTAAAAACAAGCCCGAAAACCTCAGAAAGCACTTGAAAAGTTGCAAATACTTTTGTAGCCAGAATGGCCTTGAAGCAGTTGCAAAGCCACAAAGGTCAAAAGCAACATCTATGTCCACAAGAGCCTTTGCAGAGGAAGGTCAACAAACCAAATTCCATAATCCACCTGAAGGATGCAAAATGATGCATGTTAAATACAACCGAAGGGTCGAGACCTTCGACGTCACTCCGGGTACAACTGGTGCACAAATCGTGAAGGACCTCAAAACAATTTTTGGAATTAAAGACGAGATAAAGTGCTTTTTGCGAAAGGAAGTTGACAAAAAGGTGCTCATTGGAGCGGCGGATGTTATTAAACTCATCGAGAATGGAGACTTTTATAAATTGGAATCAATGTAAATCAGTCAAATGCATTGAATAAATTCTGTCCATTTCGGTTGTGAAAACGTTCTGTCCAAAACAAATTTTTTATTTTTTAGAGTTCATTCTTTAACATTTTATTAAATAATTCTAATGAGAAAGATAATTATTTATCTTTCTCATTGTCTAAGTTTTTTTGTGTATTAATTTTGCTATTTCGAATTACCAATTTTTTAAGAAAAGAATTAAATTGGGGTTTATTGTTATTAGTTTATATAATAATTAAATTATAATAACAACAAAAGCCAATTAAATAATATTTTTTAAATAAAATTTAAACAATCAATTCAAAATTCAATAAAAACAACTTTTATTTTCAATGCAATTTCATTTTACTTTTTTTAAAAAAACAATAAAAATTTTTAATAATTTAAAAAAAAAGATATTATTTTTTATATAAATTGTGACAATCGATTTTTTGTTACAAATAAGGGCATACTAATGGATGGACGTCTATCCACTGGATAAGCGTCCATCCAGTGGATACACGCTTTTTTGCTGGATACAAATAATTTTTAGTAAAAAAAAGTCAATTTTGTCATTAAAAAAAAGCATTTATTTCCAAATAATAAAAATTCTTTTATAAGAAAAATAATATCGCCAAATGGTGTAATCTGCCACATAACAACAACATTTTTTTTCATTTGATATGTTAATAATTATACTTTTATAAACATTATTTTTTTAATTTAACAATTTTTTTAATTTACACGCTATTTTATAAACAATAACGTTAATTTTTTACTTGAATGAATACATTGATTTCAATAAAATTTGTTCGTTATTATCTGCTCATTATTTGAAAAACTACTCGTTAAATAACATATTAAAAATATCAAAACAAAACTGTTTTTTAAATTGGTTTTTATAACGGTATCAGATAAATGATCTTGTTAATGATACATAGTAATGACGAGTAATTTACACTATGATCTACAAAATGTATTCCGATATTCCAAGTATACTTTTAATTCAGCTACCAACATAAAACTATAAAAAACAAAACAAAAAATTACCCCGAAAAATAAAAAGAACTGATTTGTGTTTAAAAACGAGAAAACAATACTATTTTTTACGAATTTTTTTAAATGTTTCGGTCTTGGCAATAATTACCTAAACACGTTTATCATTAATCTTCTCCGTGAAAGAGAATGGATATTATTTGGATAAGAGTCTTTTTGGCAAAATCGATCTTTTATTTTTCAAAATTTTATTTTTTTTTCATTTTTTTGGTGCCCGATATTTCAGTCTATTTTTCCCTTTTATACACCAATCCACTAAAAAACGCCAATCCAGTGTCATGCCCTAAATAATTAATAAAAAATATTAAACCAATTAATACCTTTTTACAATCAATTGTACATATCATTTAAAAAAATAACAAATTCAACAATTAAAAATTAATAAAAAATTTATTTCCATTAATTTAAATGGGTGATTCAAGACTAAGTTTTTCAATAGTATTTTTAATAATAAATTAAAAATATTTTAACTTATACGTTTTGTTATTTTTTTAATTTTAGAAAAACAAAAAAAAATTGTTTATATTTGGTTTAAATCTCCTTCGAAATTATTTTGTTAAACAAAAAGTTACTTATAGTACTTACGATTATAAAAAAGCAATTTGAAAGTGAATTAATTTCTTTATCCATTAATTTTATATTACTAACTTCAAAACTAATTATTAAATTATTAATCTTTATTTATTAAAAAAATAGAATTAATAATTAAATATATATAATATTTTAGTAAATTCAAACGTTAAGGAGATAAATATCATCATTTCGTTTCGCAGTCACTTTACAAATTCATAAACGTTTAAAGCTGTTATAAACGAAATTAAATATAAATAAAGAGAAAGCCGAGATTTCATTCACAAATTACCTCTTGCGAGATTGAGCGAGGAGTTACTAATAATTAATTGCATTTTAAAAAAAAAATGAACTACTATAATATTATAATATTATATTTATATTATATATCATTATTCTGGTCGAAGTATATGAAAATTTGAAATAACAAAATCTTTTTATAAATAAGTGTTCCACATAGAATTAAAACTATATATTTATAATAAAACAATTATTAAACATGTTTGTTATAGTTTTGGATTGTTGAGAGTGGATTTCCAAAATTGTGTGACTTTGAAGAAAGAAGCCAAGAAAAACAACATATTGTGGTGGGGGTTGATGGCATTTCTTTAATTCAGAGCTGAAAGGTGTTGAACTTCTAATTTACCAAAACGAACAGCTAAAGTGATGGTAGGCCATTTTAGTTTTACTTTGTTTCTTTTTTTCATATTCAGTATATCTAAAGGTTCAGAGTGCCCAGATTCATTTACTGGAGATTATACACTTCAATCCACAAAATGTGAATGTCTCAACATAACTTTAATGGATTCAAAACTAATAGTCAAAGATTCGGTACTCAAAAGTGAAGTATTACAAATGTATAACAGTATTATAACTCTTCTCGATAATGTATCATTTCAAATGACGACAACTACTTTATCTTATAGTACATTAAATATGCAGCTAGATACTTATAACGTAGTTGGTAATCTGTATTTTGAAAATAAAAGTAGTTTTGTTATGAAAGACAATTCGATATGCAATGTGACGGGATCACTCTTTTTGAGTAACCAAAGTACTATTAATATAACTAATTCAAATATTATTCAAATAGCTTCTAATTTTACTTTTGACAACTCATCAATTCTTCTGAGTAACAACTCTCAAGGGAAGTTCAATAATATAACTTTAACAACTTCTAGTATTCTTTTACTTTCCCAAAGTACTAAAGTAGAATTAATAAATTTATTAAATGTCTATGATTCATTGGTCGAAACCAACGAGACGAGTTCTCTCTCTACACAATCTTCGGGCCAATTCTATACATCAAAACTCAATGTCAAAGATAAAAGCAATTTTGTGTGCAAATTACAGTGTTTATTTACGTCTAATTCGTTTTTGCAACTCTCTTCTAGTATGTCATGTGGTTCTTGTTTAAAATTAGATACTGCGTCTGAAATGGAAATTATTGGGAATGCCACAGTTATCGCAAATCAAATCATTTTATGTGTCAATTCGAAGAGTAAGATCCAAGATAATTCGGTAATTACAACGGTAGTGATTTTAATGATCCAAAACTCAACAAATGTATTTTTACAAAACGACACAAAAATGACAATTGGGTGCAATACCATGATCATTTGGGGATCAAATTTATATCTCCACCAAAACGCGAGCTTCATCAATGTGTTATTAACAATCTATACCAATTCTAATATCAAACTATATGATACGAGTTATTTAAAAACAACAGACACCTTTGAAATCCATAGTAATAGTTCTATTATAATGAGTGATAACTCCAGTGCCTACGTTTATATATGTAAAATAAGTCAAGACGGGCATATGAAAATGTATAACAATTCCATTATGAGAATACCAAACGTAGTAAAAATAACAGGGGAATTAATGATGTATGGACACAGTCAATTACTCTCAGAAACAGACATAACTGTTGATTCCAGTGGAGTAGTGGAGTTATATGATACCTCCCACATGGAAGGGAAGAACAATATACAAGTGACTAATGGTGGGCGGATCACGTTGAATGATTATGCAACGATTCAAAGTCAAGTGATTCAAGTGTCTGGGAGTACTTTGATCCTCACAAGTCCACATGTACATACCAGTGTGAATGCACAAACCTTTATATGTGTGAATAGTGTCCTTCAGATCACAGGAAAGAGTACTTTTGAGACTCAAATTGGGATCTTCACAAGTTGTACAATAGAGGTCGAGAATCGTCATTTATCTGATATGCCTTTATTTAAGTTATCAACCATTTCTATAGTCGCTTTAATCATTTCTTCACTCACACAATTCGACTTCGGAGTTTCAAATACCGCCATTACAGCAGAAGAAAGTCTCACCACAAGTTGTGGGCTTTATTTCCTTCAAAATAAATTACTTTTAAGATATGGGAAGAGTCAGGAGATCTATTGCCACTTAACTAATGACAACCTCCAAACGCCAACGTTCAGTGAAAGTTATTGTGTTAACATGGCACAGAACTCATATTATATAACACCGATACTTGATAACCTCGAACTCAAGTTTGAATATTCAAAGAATAGTACGACTCCTCTACAAGCTATTGATAACACTTGTGTCTTTGGATATTATGGAGTATGTCTTGATTTAATACAAAATATTCACATCCATTTAACTCACATTTTGTCACTAGTGAATTGCTATACAACACTCGCCAATGTCTTGATTACATCTGACAGTGGATTTAAAATTCCAGATACAAATTGTTATGCAGCGTATTCATATAACGGTACCTTCAAGTGTAATATCTTATATTCGCAGTGTGAGAATGGCACTTTTGATTCAACTTTAGGGAAGTGTACTTCCTGTATGGACACCTATTGTCTGTTATGTCGCACTGTTTCCTCCAACTCGTGTATCCGCTGTATCCCAAATTACATTTTAACAAACAACAACTGTTGTTCTATTAAAGAGGAGAAGTGTTTGTCTTCCAATGAGAAGTGTTTGAAGTGTGAAGATGGGTATACCCTCGAGAACGGGGGGTGTAAAATCCCATATGACCACTGTCAACAGAAGAATTACTCCTCACAAGTCTCAACTAAGACGGCTTTCAAATATACAACAGACACAAATGACCTTTGCGTGTTATGTTCTCCATTGGTGAACACTCTGAATATCAATGGAAAGTGTAAAGAAACAGATTCTAATAGTTATAGTAAAAGTAACTATTATATAGTTTCCTGTGTATCGGGGTACATCACAAATGGCACGTCGTGTGTTCTCTGTACCACTTTCATTCAAAATTGTGAGCGATGTACAATAACAACGTGTGAAAAGTGTCAATCGGGATATATCATAACGTCTTCTGGAAAGTGCAAGAAAGCAGTGGATGACTCTTTTAATACTATTCGTGATGAGAATGGACTGTACACTGACTCGATACTCCACTGTGACATCATAGTCAATGCAAAATGTGTTGAATGTGACAATAACACTTTAACTCTGTCCAACGCAAAATGTGAGACAACAAAAATTGAGAATTGTTTAGTGAAGACATCATCAGAGTGTCTTCGATGCATCGAAGGGTATTATTACAATGGTACAACATGTTTAAATTGTGACTCTGCATGCTCAACGTGCACTTCTTCGTCTCTTACAAATGAAAGTGATAGTACAGACTCCACTCGTGATAGCCTCTGTCTGACGTGTTCTGAAGGAAGTTACAAAAGCGACTATCGATGCTATCCAAATGCCGAATTGCAAGCCAAGTGCAACAAGATCTCCGTCACAGGTGATGGGTGTTATGAATGTAAAGGGGGGTATTACCGTGAAGGACTTGATTGTAAAAAATGTGACATCAAATGTGGGACGTGTAATGGCAAAGACCAATGCCTGACATGTAATGTGACTAATTATAAGACAGCAGACAATGATTGTTTACCACGAAATACACTTTATGGGTGTTCCTATGAAGTCACTGCAAATGGGTGTACTCAATGCTCGGATGGGTATTTCTTATATAAGGAAAATCAGTGTTCTCAATGTAGTGATTTCTGTAACACGTGCTTCTCCACATCCGCATGCACTTCATGTAAAAACGATTCAAATTTGATTCTCTTAAATAACAATTGTACAACTATGAGTAGTGTAGAGAAGTGTATCGAAGTGTCCTCCTTTAAATGTGCAAAATGTTCCTTTGGTTACACTCCATCAGACACTGGTCTCGAATGTAAGAAACATCTGCCATGGTGGTTGACTTTCATTATAGTTCTTTTATTAATTATAATACTAATAACTATAGTATTCTTGACCTTAAGTCTAACCAAGGTGATTACGTCACGCCTCCACACATATCGTGTGAGGAAAGCGTCTCGTATCTTTACCATGCGACCTCATACCGAGAAATATTATAATCTTAATGGGGGACTTTGTATCAGTCGTGATATATTGAATATGAACGATTATAGCGCAGAGATCCGCATAGACGAGGAGATATGTGGGTCCTTTTCTATTGGGAATACTGAGAAGAGTCATGTGAATGTGCACATCACGACGAGTGAAGAGGATGAATTGTATACTCTTCGAGTCGAGCCGTCTGATGTTGTTTTACACACAAAGGAAGCCTGTGAATTTCATGTTATATTTCGACCGAAATGCACGTGTAACATTAAGAAGGAGATTGTAGTAGTTTCTCGAAGAGTGAAAAATGCCATTGAAGATGTTGTGAATAAGTTGGTAGTGACAGCAGACACTGTCTTATCTACACGACTGAATCCACATGAAATAATAGAAGAGACCAAAATTGGGGAAGGTGGCTTTGGTGTTGTTTATATAGGGAAATATCGTAACACGATTGTAGCAGTTAAGAAAGTGAAATTTGTGTTAAACACACCGGGGGAAATTGATGGGTTTGAGAATGAAGTCGACATGTTAGACAAATTTCGGAGTGATTATATCATTCATTTCTACGGCGCTGTTTTTATACCAAGTAAAATATGTATGGTCCTTGAATACGCACAATTTGGATCACTTCAAGATATCATGAAACATCGACGGGATACTCCTATAATCTTTATTATGCGTACTAAATTGATGTTAGATGCTGCAAAGGGGATAGAGTATTTACACAACAATGGGATCTTACATCGAGATATTAAACCAGATAATATATTAATAGTATCATTGGATGAAGGCATGGCAGTCAATGGAAAATTGACTGATTTTGGTTCAAGTCGTAATATCAACATGTTGATGACTAATATGACCTTCACTAAAGGCGTCGGGACTCCTATTTATATGGCTCCTGAAGTCTTGAACCAAAGAAAATATAAGAAACCCGCAGATGTGTTCTCCTTTGCTATTACTATGTATGAATGCCTCTCATGGGAAGAAGCGTACCCAATCAAATCTTTTGAATATCCATGGTGTATCGCTGATTTCGTGACTCAAGGAAAAAGAATGGAAAAACCTTGTGGACTCGATGAGAAATATTACAACCTCATCGAAAGGTGTTGGGTACAAGACCCTTATATGCGTTATACAGTCACTCAAGCTAAAGAAGTGCTCGAACAATTTTAAATGTTTTTAAAATAGTTACTGTTTAGTTTATATAGTAAATCTATAAAAATATGGTATAATATAGTTTATTTATTATTAATTGTATAATAACAAATTTATTATTAATATAGTATAAATATGATATTATGTAATATAAAATAAATATAATATAGTATACTATTAAACAATCAAATCTATTATAGAAAAAATACTAATTGAAAAACTATAAAAATTGTCAATTGAAATTTGGGAGTGGTGATTTGAACTAAAATTATTAATTATATTTATTATTCAAATATAATTTTTTATTTGATAATTAAAAAAATCAATTGATTTTTTTTGAAAAAAAAATAATAATTTTAACATTAATATATTAATTATAAAAATAATTTTGTTAAAATTTGAACATTACAATCTATTAAATAAAAAGAACTTGAAATTATTTTAAAAGTCAAATATCTTTGGCAATTTACAATTCATTAGTTTAAAACTATAGAATTGAAAAAGCTAATTTAAGGCTTGTAAACAATATAATTATATTATATTATACAATTAGTTTATTACATAAGAGGAACTAAAGCTACTTAAAGGATTGTTATGAAGTTTAGAAATGATAAATCGGCAGATATGACATTGACTTACCTTTTTACAAATCAATACCTAAAAATTTCAATTTATTAAAAAAAAAGAAAACACAAAGAAAAAAGTGCTTTTCATTTCAATCTCATCAAATCAATGATAACAATCCCTTGAATTGATGAAAAATGTATTAATTTTTATCAAAATAATAATTAAAAATAATAATACAATTAAGAGACCCCAGAAATGACGAACCAAACCGAAAAGAAAGAAAGACGATGAAGTTAAGTGGAGAAAAAACTGGGAAATACAAATTGAATGGCAACCGAACAAAAAACATTTAACGTCTTGGTGACAAACATTGACAAAAATGTGACAGTGGAAACACTGACATCATTCTTCTCATTCACGGGGAAGGTTGTTGAGGTTCGTCTTTCGAAGGTCGATGAAGAGACACAACAAGCAATAATTGTCTTTGATTCTGAAGAGTCTGTTAAGACGGCAGAACTTATGACTGGTGCTCTTCTTGAGGCAAAGAGAATAGAAATTGCTCCAACGCAATTGACTCAATCCACTACCCACGACACAGTGTTTAGAGGAGACACTTTACCCGAGCGAAAAATCCCCGACCTTCCTGCAGAACACACAAAAGCATCTGTTGCAGCGTCACTCATCGCACAGGGATATATCTTGGCAAGTGATTCCTTCCAAAAAGCAGTTCAATTCGATAAAGATCACAACATCTCAGACACCATCAAAGCAAAGGCCGCCGCCGTCAAAAATGCGGCAATTAATGTCGACGAACAATACCACATCACTGAATACTTGGCGCTCGGAGCAACTATGGCTGTTTCTTATGCGTCTGGAATCAATGAAAAGTACAAAATTACAGAAACTGTATCGACCACTGCAAAAGAAATTGACAACGCACTTGGCATATCAAATGGAGTCGGAGCGGCGAAACAAGCAATCGACAACGGAATCTCTAAAGTAGTTCAGTCGGAGCCAGTCGTGAAAGCAAGAACTGCTGTTTCGTCATCGATCAACGAGTTTTCAAATGAAGTTTCTCAAGAAGTTGGCGTCAGAAAGAATTTGAAGGATTTAGAAAAAATTGAATGTGAGAAGGAGCAGAACGAAACAAAAGAAGAGAATGATACAAAAGAAATCGTCGTTGAAAATCCACCGCAATTCGAAACGACACCACTTGCCCCAGTCGATGTTCCTCAACAACCAGTTCAAGATCAGATAGTCACCATTCCTGACGATGTTGACTCTCCTCACAACCTTCTTTAATTTTTTAACACTTGTTTTTGTTTTTGGATTTTATTCTATTAGTATTAGTAAAAATATCCATTTAACTTTTATCAAAATACCATTCTTATTATATTTATAATACTTATCATTCTATTTTGAGATCTATTCATTGAACTATTTAAATAGGTCAATACTCAATTGAAAAATCAATGAAAGATAGTGTTCATACTTTCCAACACAGTGACAAGTTCTTCTCCTGCATACCCAATTTTTTCCGCGATGTGCTTTTGACTACTTGTGAAAGCCATTCAAATACAATCCATTGTTCAATTTGACACCAATAAAAAAACAAACGACTCTTTAGGCAGATCTAAGAACAACTCCACGACATTCCCATCGATAACATTCTGGGCTTCCATCCTTTTCCAATCATCAAATACCATTTTCCATTGCCCAAACGACTCGCACTCGATGACTCCTTTCATCTCCCTCAGCATCTCACTTTCAAGTGCAAAGAGTTTTTTGTACGTCTCCAAATTGATTTCAGTGATCCCTCCAATACTCCCACAAATCCCACCAAACAACATACACTTCTTCTGTGTCTCCCACATCGCATTATTCATCACGGCAATCGATCCTTTGCACATCACATTAATGCATTCCCCCACATGAATATGCGCTTCATTCTGTAATTTGAACTTCTCGTTCTCATTCGTCGTTGTCGTGTTCTCTGTAAACACCAACAAATTCCCTTGGGAATCACTACTCATAAAACAGTGCTCGTCCATAAATTCTACGGCAGTGGTGTAACTCGCATAGAAGTCTCGACACGTCTCAACTACGGCATTCCGCGTCGCTTTCTCGTCAAATTTAAACACAGAAATTGACTTCATTAAATCACCAACTAATATCTCATGCCCCAATGTCTTCACAAATAGCCCTATCAATTTCACATTCGCTCCTCCTTTCTCTTCAATAGTAACCGCAAACTTCCCATCAACTATTTTCCTCTCAATTTGGTAAACTACTACCTTCTTCTGAATCGTCGCGGCTATGTAATTCCCAACATCATTCTCAAATCGTTTCACAGAATACACCGCACCATCTACATATCTGTTGGATACTTCAATTATCTTCTCTTCGTGAATTTCAAATATGATAAACCGCCCACGACTCGGCTCGACTTCCCCTAGTTTCGCATACGCCGTACCTACTATGTACAGTTCTTTCTCTTCAATTTCTTTCACATCAATGGCCATCCCATGCTCGTCTTTATCAAGTCGCACTTTGTCAATTATTTCCATCTTTCTCAAGTCTATCAAATTGATGAAATGCACTTCATTCTTCCCACTTCGCGTCTCTTCAATTTCGGACGACAATAACACACCACTTCTCCCATCAGAACTCACCACTACTCGTGACACAAAAACACCCAATTCTAGACTTTTCGTGTTAATTGCTTTGACCTCCTCAATACTTCCAATCATCAAACTTTCTTTACTTGCTATTAAAACACTGTTTGGTATCCCAGTAATGTGGACACCAAGAAACCCGACGGACTCCCCTATATTCACACTCATCATTTTGATTTTATCATCATCTAAACTCATCAACGTTGGACGCTCACACACACAAATCTCATACATCTTCCCATCTATCGCCATTTCATCTATACTCACACCACCCATTCCTACCTCAATAACCTTCCCTACTTTATGTTCCTCTTCCATTTGAGTCGAATTCTTCTTTCGAATGTTTGAGACAACTACACGACCATCCCCTAACCCAATTATAACTTTAAGAGTCGAAGGCGTTCCAACAAATTTAATACTTTTACTCACCACATCTCCTATATACACCCGGTCGAGTACATCACCTTGGTCGTCGATGATCTCTATCTCTTTATGCTCCCATCGACCAACTCCAATATACCTCTCACGTGTATTTTCAGAAGAAACAGTGTAACACCCAATGCTTGATATCTCCTCCTCGTACCTTTTGATATCACTCATCACACACTTTTCAGCGTCAAATAATTTCACGGTATTCCTCCCACTATACACAACATCCTTCCCTTCACTAACACAATGTGTAATCTCCTCAGTACTCACAAACTGCTCTTCGACAATCGTGTCATGCACTCGTGCTATTGAAATCCCACCATTCGTTACAACAACTAATTTCCCATCAAAATCTCCAACTCCAACAATCCGTCCTTTCACCGTCACACTATTTGCTATCTCAACAATTTGGACGTCTCCTTTCCTCCCTTCTATATGCACAAAATTCGACCCAAATGCCCCCTCGATGACATACATCTCTTTATAATCGTCACTCATATCACCAGCATTTTCAAAGCATTTCCACATCTTTTCAATCCCACGGTACTCCACCTCCCCAAGAATATTCACCCCAACACCACTCCGTAACAACTTCAATGTGCCTTGGTGATAGGTGTTACTACATATCAGTAAATCGTCCTTCTTCGAGATCTCGTCGTGGAGGGTGATCATGTCGAGAATTGGTCCTCTGTTCTCAAACGTTTCAAGTACCTCCATCCTCTCCTCTCCTATTTTAATTAAATAACTGTTTCCTCCACTCGATCCCCAGAATAACACCCCATTGTCAAGATACACCACTTTCGATGGAATACTCAATTTGGCAAAGGGAAGGGGGTAGTAATGGACCTGTTCCACGTCAAGCCTCAAAGTGATGAGATGGGACTTCCCGGTATTGTCGCAGAGCAAAAGGCGATTATTGTCCAAGAAGCATGTTGTAGCGATTGTGATTTGTGGCAATGCGACGTTAATGCTCTTTGTATTAGTATTGTAGTGATATTGGAGTGATCCGTTTTGCACGACGAAGAAGCCGTTATTATGTGCGACGAAGAAATCGACGTTCTCTATTGGTTGATATTCCGTTGAATTACTAACAGAGAAGTCGTCTGTTTTCACCTCATAAAACACGACGGTCTTTTTTGTGTTTTGATCCGAGTGGAGAGCAATTTGATTATCTCCAATGATGTGCATCCCGACTATTCTTTCCTGGTCAATTCTCACACTTTTGACACTTTGGCTCAATAGTTCCTCATCTCCTTGTGGCAGTGAAATGATTTTGATTTGGTGGTTATACAAATAAAGTATCAAATATTTGTTCTGCATCACCACACCCAACGCTCCATAAAACGCCTTTCTCCCAAGGCGATCTTCAACTGAAATACCAAAGACAACCTTCAATGTATTCCCTTCAAGTCGTGTGATAGTAAGTTGATGATTACTCGTTAGTATTATAACAAAGTCTCGTATACTCTTTCCTTCAGTCACTCGATACGTTTGGATCAACGTTATCGAATATGGAAACATTTGACTGTATCGTTGCTTCAACCCGTTCTCACTCATTTCGTAGATGTCAACATACACATTCCGTCTTCTTGTTACTTCTTTTCTTCACCTCACTCATACTAACAAACGATGTGATTAAAAATTGCGTCGGGCCTTCTTCCAACTTCCCTATCACTGTGTGCGTGATCGCAGTCGCGGGCGCAACTGTTGTTTCATAAAACTTCCGCTCCATTCTCCTTCTTTTACAGTTTCTCTCCTTTTTCTCTTTCTTTTTCACTTTTTCATCTCTTCCAATCCCTTATCTATAATAATATATGTTATTATTCTCTGGCTTTGAAAAACAATTCTTAGAGTATACTATACTTCATTAACTATTTTATTACATTTTTACTATTTATTATCGTTTTTCTTATTAATTTCTTTTTTTTACTAACTTCAATTCCACTTTCTTCAATAGTTTAAGTAACTATTAAACCAAAACACTTGTTATTGCATCAAGGAAAGTTACTATTGTTTTATTAATTCATTACTAACACCAAATTATCAGTTTATAGTTAGTAAGAAACTATATTACTACTATTACTAATACAATAGTACCAAAAAATATTAATTCATTTTTCTTTTTCAGTCTTTGCTTCACTTGCGTTTCCTCGGTTGTTGTCGGACTGATCAATTCCAAGATTGCTTCCCACACGTTCCAATAGACAATTGATGGTTTCTTTCGGGTTTGAGTTTTTATTCGCGTTATATTTATCGTAGTCGCGTTGGAGCTTACACAGTAAAGAATCAATTTCAGTATCGTTATACAGTTTCATGAGACAAGCGATGAACCCCTCACAATCGGTGAATGAAGAGAAAGCGGTACCTTCCAATTTTTTATCAACGTTTGCAATATCCCCAATGACGACTTCCCCCCTCAAACTTGAAGTCCCTTGGGCGGTGCCAGAGGGTTGTAAATTAATGTTTTGTTGTGCGTTTAAGCCACTGCAAGATCGCGTCAACTTGGACTTAAACGCGTTCTGTTTTCCCTCACCCAACTTCTTTTCCAGACTTGCAATATTCTTGTCCACCAACACATTCTTCACTGGTGTTGTGTCGACTGCTTTATACCCGATATTTTCTTTGGATTTTGACTCAGTGAGCAGCGTTCCTTCAGATTTGGTATTAGTAATAAAATTGTCTTTAAATGGATTCGGTCGCTTCGGTTCAACTTTCCTTTCAGGTGTAGTGCTTCGTTGCACTTCAGTTGGATTCACGCCGCTTTCTTTGATCGAAGTATCAGGTTGATCCTTTGGCAATTCTTTGCTTTGGAAATTATCATTTCCTCCACTTTCGACTCGGTCAGTAAGAGCTTTCTGCGCGCCCTCGATATCCCCAAAGCCTTTTTCGTTTACCTTCTGAGTTTTTTCAATCGCGTCATAAGCAGCTTTTTCTGAAGGCGTTAAACTATTCACAGACGGTTTGAGTTGACCCGATTGGATACTATTAATCAAATCGGTGAGTATTTTGATTTGCTCGTCCAATTGAGTTTCTTTCGTTTGCAACGATTTCACCTCCTCTTCCGCATTTTTCATATCCAAACTTTTTTGTTCTTTGATCTTCGCAATTTCTTCCGTCTTTGCAATTGTTTTATTTTCAAATTGCGTCATTGTATCATTATGTTGTAATGAAGCAAGATCAATCAAGTTCGTCATTTTTAAAATATGATCGTGGTAATCGGATAAAACCGATTCTAGTGTAGAAGCATCAGCGTGGTATTGACTCGTTTGGTTTTTCAGTTGTTCGACAGTGTTCCGCTTTTCTATTTCCTTCTTTTTGACCTCCAAATTCGCTTTTTCAGCTTGAATCAACTTTTCGTCCTCCGCAATCTTTTCTTCCCATTGTTTTAACTCCCCCAACGCCTCGTTTATTTTCGCTTTATTCGCGCTTTCAATCGTTTCAATTTCGTCCACAATTCCCTTTTCAATAACCTTTTGTGTATCAAGTTGGTTCTGCAAAGTCTTACACTCGCCGTCTTGCTCTTCCAATTGCTTTTTCAATGCCTCTGTATTCGTTTCCGTCTTTTCAGCTTCGGCAGTGTTTTTTTCTATTGTCTCTTTCGCCGCTTTTATTGTCGCTTCAAATCTCGTCGCGTATTTAGTCGCCAAGTCTTTACTGTTTTTAAGAACTTCATTTCGGGCAGCTAATGATGCCAACAACTTGGTCGAATCTTCAATTTCAGCCTTACACAAACTCTGTTTCGCCTTGTGGTCACAAAAGTCTTTCAACTGATCGCCGTGCCCAGTCTTTTTGTTGGTCATAACATTTTCAAGAATTACACGAAGACTCTTGTCGAGGTCACATACTTTTACTAACTTGTCCTGCACCGAATTGATCAATATCTGCAAAGTTACGATGTCGTTCACTTCCATTTGATTGTTCAGAGTTTTTTCAGTCCTTTTATTTTTTCTCTTTTCTCCTTCTTTAATCACATTTCTCTCTTTTTTGTCAATATTTTTATTCGTGAAAAACAAAGTTAATTTAATAATTATTTTACTATATTTATATCTGTTTATATACTATAATTACTTAACTTATTGCAAAAATTAATTAATATATTTTGGTAACTATATTGTTTTAATTATTAGCTTGAAATTTTTGTATTATTTTTTACATTTCATTTAATAAAGAAATATTAATTAGTTACTAATTAAATAATGGATTGATATAGATTTATTATTATAGTTAATATTATCATTATATGAACCAAATTAATGATAAATAAAAAAACAGATCTTTTATTAATAATAAAAGATCTGTTTTTTATTTTATTATTTTTATATAATAATTATAATTCAAATATAACTATTATAATAAGAAATGTTTTGTTGAAATAAAATAAAAAAGTTACACTTTAAAAAATCCATATAACATAAATAAATACAAAATCTCTATTGGTATAATACCAGATAATAACTTAAATTTTAATTTCTTAAAATTGTATTTTACGAAACGACAAAACTAAAATCAAATGAAATGTTCAGGTATTTACAGATAGTTTAATCAGCAACATAATAAGACCAATTTGAAAATACATAAAGATCATTGTTTTTGATATAATACAACTTATTGGGTGATGCCTTAGTGATTTATTAATTCACAGAAATGGAGAAAATTATAATGATATGTAATCTTTATTGTTAATTATTTGATGTCTCTTGTTATCTAATGTTATTATTCTAGTGTCTTGAAAGTAAAGGCAAAACAGTAAACACGTCTTTATAGTGAAGGGTTCGACAACAAAACGAACAAAAGAATTATGTTGAAGTTTATGACAAATAATAATAAAAGTTGTTGGGGCGATTTAAGACGTCGTGTCAACGTGCAAATTATAGTATTTAACATATAAAGAAATTTACTAATTGAAAAATTAGTTTCACTTTTAAATATCATTCATTGACTTTTTATTATTTTTGTTTGGGAAATACCCGGCATGTGGTGACGGGGTGGTTATTGTGTAATGATAATTGAAAGTATAATTAAATTTGGTTTTTTAATTATAATTAAAATACAATTCAAATAAAATGAATGTCAATTTGAGTTTGATTTTTAGATTTTTTTTCACTAATAATAAGTATAATAAATAAATAACAATTTATCTAATAAACATATGTTGTGAATAATTTGATTTATTTATAAAAATTATAGTTTATATTTTTAGTTTAAAACAATTAAATATTATTATATTCTATTAATAAATTTCTATACTGATTACTATATGGTAAAATATTTTTAAAAACAATATAATATAATCTATTTATTATTTATTTAATAAAACATTCTCAGAAGTAGAAATTCGACAAAATACCAATTCTTAAAATAGTTTTTGAATTAAAATGTTATTTAGTTATCCCAGAATTTTTTTAAAATCAAACAACAGGACTAAACAAGCCAAAACTCTGCGCCAAATCTCTAAAGTTTTTAAATTTGGCTGACTTTGAGAAAATATGGCAAACGTTTAATTTATGATTCGAATGTGTAACTTTCTATTCTTCTTCATCAATCTATTTATTATAAGAAATTTAACTATATATTTTGTAATTAGTAATCACAATGATCAAATGATTAATTAACTGGAATGACCTTGAAGAAATGACGAAAAAAACTGGGAAATAAAGTAGTGAAGATGGACATGAATTGGCTTGAAGAGCTCGAGATGTATAGCGACCCCGACACGACAAACGATCTGGAGATAGAAATGATCTCAAGGGCGCTCGAGAAAGCAGAGAATGTGACCGTCCTCACTGGCGCGGGAATCTCCGTTGAGTCGGGTATCCCCGACTTCAGGTCGTCGAATGGGCTTTGGAAGAAATATGACCCCGCAACATACGGGTCTTACGAGAACTTCAAAACCGACCCGAAGCCATTTTGGAAAATGGCTGAGGAACTGCACAAGATCAAGGCATACCCAAATTGTGTTCACCAATGCCTTGCGGAGTTACAGAAACTCAACGTCGTGAAGACAATCGTCACACAGAATGTCGATGGGTTACATCAACAGGCCGGGTCAAAACATGTGTTAGAAATTCATGGAAATGGCGATTTGTGTCACTGCGTGAACTGCGATTTCATCGAAAAATCCGAAAAACAAATTTGGAATAAAAAAACTTCACCACAAAACGACCCTCCAAAATGCCCGAAGTGTGGAGCATTAATGAAACTCGATGTAGTGCTTTTTGGAGAAAAGTTGGACAGAAAGATTTATGACGAAGTCGTGGCATCAACAACTAAAACAGACTTTTTGCTTGTCCTTGGCACTTCACTACAAGTCGCGCCGTGCAACATAATTCCGTTTCGAGCAAAACACTGCGGCGCTCAGGTTGCGTTCATCAATTGCACAAAAACGCCAATGGACGAATACGCCGATTTTGTGATCCGAGGAGATCTCAACCAAATTGTTCCAAGAATCACCGAAAGGGTCAAGAAAATTGTTTGTTTTTCAATTGGGAGATCAAGCCAGCAATTACTAACAAATTAGAAGGAAGCGAGAGACACTGTTGTACGTAAAGCGTTTTTCTATTCATATTCAATTGCATTTGTTATCATGACGATGATCGTTTCGTTCTACAACAATGTGTTCCACGCGGACGTCAAAGTCGATTCGTTCATCAAACCGTTTGACACCGAAAGGTGTGGGACACCCACACTCTGTGAAATAGAGCCGATGAGAAGGCACTCAGTTCCGCTCGATGTGACAGAATGAAGTTCTGTTAGATTTGTTTCTAATGTTATCGTTTTTTTCGTTGTCACGTTTGTTTATTGTTTCATTAGAAATTCAAAAGAAAATAGCAACCATTCAACTTGAAGTAAATTATTGCTCGAGTATTTTAAGCGCCTCTTCGATCTTTGATTTTGCCCTATCATACGAGCCGACCTGCATAGAGTCCTTCACCTTAATAAGAATCGCCCAAGCGTTAATGATATCATCAACAGACACGTCTTTCTTGACGTGTGCGGGTTTCTTCAGAATTGGGTTGTTTTGGATACATTGTTGTTGCAAAGGAGAGTCGGTGTACACATTTGCTTCTTGTATTGGTTGTTGAGTTATTTCCGGTTGTGTTATTTGTGGTGTTGGGAACATATTTTGTTGGTGTTGTGTAGGTGGTGTATATATATTGTTCTGAGTGCTTTGTGGAAGAACTTGTTGTTGTTTCTCCTGATGTTTTACTTGCGGTTGAGGGAATAAAGTAGCATTAACTTTATTTTCTGGTAGAGGGGATGTGTTACTTGGTTGATTCTGTTTGATTTGGTTACCTTGTTGGATTGTAGGATTGTTTTCTTGAACGTTTTGTTGTTTTTGAGGTGTTACGAATTGTTGTTGGGGCACTGGGAAGAGGTTTTGTTGTTGAGCAGTTTGTTTTTGAGGTATTGGGAATTTTTGTTGAGGAACAGATGTGCTCTGTTGTTGAGTTTGTTGTTGTTGCGGCACTGGGAAGAGATTTTGTTGTTGATGGACGTTTTGTTGTTGAGGAGAAGGGAAAAGATTTTGTTGAGGTTGTTGCCTTTGTTGAGGTGTTGGGAATAAGTTTTTCTGTTGTTGTTGAGGTTGTTGGTATTGTTGTTGTTGATAGGATTGTTGTTGCCTTTGTTGTTCTAAAGGTTTGACCAAATGAGTACCATCCTATTGATTATTACATGATAGTTCAAGCAAAACGACAATAACAAACGGGAATGAATCTTGAGGTTACAATGAATGTTTTGACTTGAATCATTTCTGGAGGAAGTGGGATGAATGCACTTAACAAATCGATCAAGTCGACTACAAGTAAAAAGATAGGTTTAGAGTTCTCTTTATTAGTGTTAAAGACTTGTTGGCCCAAAACATAATTTTTTTTGACCGCCTCTTTGATATATTCAATTTGAATTGCTCGATCGTCTAAAATGCCCCCCATCTGTTGTCGAATTTGCGTCTTCTTATAGTTCACCTCGTCTGTTTTCACACCAAATTGGAAAGCAAATTCGTAGCAGTGATATGCTAGCATCGGCTCATACATCGCAAATTGGTCTCCGTACGCTACGTACCTTTCACACATGTTTAAAGTTTCAAGTTCAAATTCTTTTTTTTTGTACTCCTCTTTCAAGTGATGAATGAGGTTTTGAAATGTATTACTCTTTGTTAAGTACAATCCCCCCTATTTTTCAGGATCAAAAGAAACTCCTCGATTTTTAAGTTCTCTAACCATTTGTTTATTTATTCACACTATTCATTTCTAATTTGTAACATGTTATAATTACAATTAAACTATAGTTAAAACTATAATTGATTTATAATTTATTTTATTAGAATTTATGGTAAGGTTTGGTTGGATCAATAGAATAAATAAAACAAAACAATTAAAAAATGTCATAGAATATTTTGTTGTTTTTGTTTCATGTCAACTACTCGCTTATTTAAAAAGATGTGACTTGTTCAATATTACTTGGCAGATACAAAATTGAAGTTGTCTTGTTATTCTCAAACCGCAGTGTCATTGAAATACAAAAAGAATATAACTAGTAGTACAGTGTCTGTGATTTAAATCTCAGTTCTTGGCAATAAAGTTTCTTTTTTAAAAAAATATTTATTTTGTTCAACAGAATCCATTATTTAAAAATATAAATAATTTGAAACTTATTATTTAGTTTTAATAAATATAAAATTTGTTTTAGTTTTTGCCAAACAAGTTGCAAATTCCACTTTATCTTTGTGGTTTATTGAAAATAGTATTGGAAAAAGTATGAATTTTTACGAAATATTAAATAGTTGTAAAAAAACAGATGTCGAAGCCTTGGGAAAACGTCCAAAGCACTCTCCGCATCACTTCGTCACACCTCAACCTTGGGGTTGATCACCACCGTTTTTTCCGCGACGTCCTGATTCAAATGACAGACTTGACAACTCGCAGTTTGCGATCCTCACAAATCCTCGAACAAGACGCGAAGGTGATTCCACCAGAAGAATATCAAAATTTGGTGAATCAAACTGTTCATTCGGTTAAAGAATTGGGTGAGGTCGTCGAAAAATTCACAAAAATTATTGAAAATGAATCGACTCATCTAGTTCATACGACCCTTAAATTTAACGTTGCCAACATTCTCTACACATTAAAAGACTTGACAAAATCTTTCAGTGGTCGCATTGTAATATTATCTTCCAAAGAAATTACTTCAACGGTGCAGGCCTATCTCAAAACAGCATTTTCAATTCTCAAAACACTCGACGACGACGTGACAGAAACGATATGTGACAACATAACAACACTTTCATCAAACATCGCAATAATACTCTCAAACACCGACTCCTCTTCGTTCATACCAGGTTCGGTTTTTGTTGCGTCACAGATAACCAACAACGTTGGTCTTATACTTCGTTCCCGTTGTCTTGGCTACTGCGATGATGTAGCGGATGTTTTTGACTTTCTTGTGTCACGGTTGTGCACCGAGCCAACGCCTGCACTGCTGAATATAACCCAAAATTTCCTCCTTAAATGTCCTGATCTATTCCGCCTCGCTTCTCATTTTGTCAATCTCCCCAATTTCCAATTTTCCTCCGGTCCTCCCGCAAAATCGCATATTCCAAACGTCACTTTCTCTTTACACGACGACGTCGTTTCGCGTGATTTTGAGTTCCAAAAGAACAAAGAACTCGTGAAAGAAGAATTTGTTACAGTCCCATTCCAAGAAGCCGTAACAAAACTCAGCGACGTTTTTGCAAAAACGAAAGAGATTGTGAACACAACAAGTAATGACATAGGATTGAATTTTGACGCAATCTTCGAAAAAACAAAAAAAGTCCTTGAAAACGTCAATAAAGAGACTTCAGACCGAACGTCTCAACATCAGAACGACTCCCAATCGGTCGACTTAATCTGTGAACAACTGCTTGAATTGTAATCTTTCTTTGTGTTTTGTCCATCATATTTTTATATTAATTTTTATAATAAATAAACTAATGCTTTTACTATATACATTTATGATAAATTGTAATTTGTTTTTTATTCAATTATACATAAACAATAAATGGTAAATATATAGTTTTATTAATTATATGTGATGGAATATCAAAATTAACTATATTTAAAGGTAAATTAATCGGATTTAAGTTCTCACTTTCATAAGATTGATAATTGTAGAACAAAAGCACATTTAAGTCACGACCACGTAACAGCACCGATCCTCTCGACCTCGTACCTACCCTCAGGCAAAAGGGAAAGCTTCTTCTGGATCAGGTAGTCTGACCAAAAGGTGTCTTCAAAACAGAGAGTCAGCTTAGGGAGCTTAAACACAGCCCCAACTTTATCTTGAACAAGACCAAAAGCCTTGTCCACTGCAAACCAGAAACCGTTCTGACCATCACCCTCACCAAGGTATGTAGTGCGTTTGATATTTTCCCGATAAGTACAAAACGTCACACTATTGCCTTCAATGACAAATAACGAGAATTTGTCGTCGTTCTCAACCCACTTACCTGGGATCAATACCTCCGAGTTGAATGTGCCTATTATTGTGTTCCGCTTTAAATAGAAAAACACCATCAAATTCTTTTTGTTGCAAATGGAATCTACCAACTCTTTTCTGGTCATCTTGTCGTTTGTCGAAAAACTCTCCGTAAGAAACGTCACTTTGTTGAGCGAAATAGTGTTCATAAGTACTGCGACGACATCTGCGTTGATCTTGAAATTCTCTTCCATTAACCCAGCGACCATCGCGTAATTTGCAACTTTGGGGCTTTTGGAACGCGAGCGGAACATATCAAGAGAAGGAGAAACCTCTGTCATTCGGAAAGGTTTTGGAATTTCGGTTTTACTTCGCGAAGAGAAATTCGTTTGTTGTACCTCAATTTTTAACTCAGCGATTTCGACGACGGAACTCTCAAAATGCTTCAAGATGTCATCTTTGCGATCAGTTGTGATTTCTCGCTTCGCAAGAGTCTCGAAAACAAAGTCCACAATTTCAAACACCTCGTTTCTGTATTGTGCAATTGCGTTAATTATAAATCCGTTGTCTTCCTCGGACTTTATCAGTGGCAGGTAATCTTCAACCGCTTTGATCCTTCCCAACTCTTTCAAACACTTCTCAACGTCCTCCTTTGTGAATTTCTCTTTGTAAATCTCAAAGAGCAAATTTTCGTTTTGAGAAAATTGAGAGGCACCTTGTTCGGAATATTTAAGAAGATGATGAAATGCGGCGTCGGCTTTCGGATATTTCACAGACAATTCCAAGAGCCGTGCCTCTTCTTTAAGTTGCCGTAGTTCTTCTTTGAGTGCCAAGTATTCATCGTTCGAATCGCTCATGATGCTATACTTTGTTCGATTTTTGAGATTATTTTCTATATTTAATAGTTAATGAAACATTTTGAAATTATAAACCACTTTCTTTTTGAAAAAAATTAAAAAAATAAAAAGTCAATTTATTGTTATTAATTTCATTTATTTGAACGTTAATTTGCCAATCGGGTTGCTTTGCATCTCCTTTATGTTTTTCTTAATGATGTTGCAGATATCTTCCACAACTTTTTTTCTATTTTGGTTTGCGTCCACACTCTATTGTTTAGTTCTAATCACGACAAATTTATATTTTGATGTCCAAAAATTACTCCAAAAAAACAAACAGTCCACAAGAGTTCGTTTTTCATTTTCTCAAATTCACTCTTCACTTTCTTCTGAAATTCAACGTTTTCATATCTGTCGGCCACAAGACTTTTCCTTCTTCTATCTGCTTCATCAAGTGAAAGCTCTAAAAAGCAGACGATGTCGGGTTTTGGTAATCCCGAGTCCGGGATTTTGCACCACTCGGGGTCTAACCCATTTGCAATACTGTAAACAATCCCGCTGAAGGCATAACGATCGCAAACAACTGTTACACCCTCGTTGATATTCTTTTCGATGATTTTAGCGACCTCCCATCTATTGGCAGAGTAGAGTAAATGGACTGCTTGTTGTGGTAAGTTCTTGCCATGGAGAAAGTCGTCGATTAACTTACCGACGGCGGTTGAGCGGTCTGGGAAAGGTTGTGTGACACTTTTGATTCCCTCGGAATTCAGTTTCTGACATACACTGACAGACGCGGACGATTTTCCGCACTGATCTATCCCTTCCAACACGACTAAAATACCTCGCGACATTTAGCCTTTTCAAGTTCTTTATTCCGACGCCGAGATTGAGAAAGAGATAAATTGAGGAATTTACTCATCGCCCATATAAAATAATAATTTTATAAATTATAATAATTATTTTTTTTATAATTTTGCGAGTTTGAAGAAAATGTTTAAACAAATTTGGAGATAATAAAATTGATCTTCTTTCGAAATCTTGTGATTGATTTGTACAAAATAATACGAAAGAATTAATACTGCGAATTAATAAACAAAAGAACTGTTTACTCAGTTCTTTGGTTTCAAATTGCAGCCCGTCCACATTCATTTGCAACACAGTTTCACTCTTTCAAATGGATATAATTGAGATTGACAATTTTGGAAAGACAACTGAAAAACTGACCAAATGGAATGATTAATTTCCAAATCAACGAAATCGTTTTAAATCATTTCCCGAAAAATGATGTATGAAAATCGTAATGTACATACTCATCGAATTTTAATTGGATTGTACTAATCCTTAAAACTAAAAATAAATTGGTGATTTGCTCATAGTATTAGTACTCAACTATAAATAAACCATACCAAAAATCTAATGATTTTCCTTAAAACTGAACTGAATTAATCACAAAAAATGGACTGGCTTCGTCGATTTTTTGAAGAGAAAGCTTCTCAGATCATTGTGGAGACGACGCTTGAAGACCGCGTCAAGGAGGTTCTCAACCTTGACTCCAAGGTGGAGCGCATCACAACAGAGTACTCCAACCTCCCAAGTTGGTTGAGATCAAGGTACATCACATATATCTCAATTTTTTCGGCTGAACTTACCTTCTCGTCCCTCCTTATATTATTCCTCGCGTTCCACCAACTTGTCAATCCAATCTCATTAATCATTTTTATCTTTTTGCAATCCAGTGCCCTTTTCTGGTTGATTAACACATTGCAAAAGTCAAGTCGTCTTGTAAAGAAAGCTCGTTTGTTTTTTATTCCTCAACTTATCATTACTCAATCTCGTTCAAAAAAGAAAACAAGATTGAGAATGGTCGAACGACAGCACGGTTAAGTGACAAAAAGTGATGAAAAAACAGAACAGCCAAACACTTCTCACAAAGAAGGTCGAGGAGCTAGTGAAGGATCGTGAATTTATTCGTCTCACTGGAACGTTGAAAAAGTATTCACACACTTTACAAGCCCAAAAGAAGGACATGGAAAATTACATCCGTCAATACATTGTGAAAGAAAAGGAAAAAGTAGCTGCACTCGCAAAGTCCGAGTACGAGAGGGATTTTGCACTTAAGATTCACCAATTCCAGGCGTCATTTCCACAAACCCTTAAGGAACAGATTTACAACAACCTCAAAATTGAGTTTGAAAGAGAGTTAGAGAAAGAGAAGAATATTTTGAAAACGGAATATGATAAAAAATTGCAAATAGAAATTGACAAACAAAATGAGATACTTGGAGGGAGGCGACTTGTGTTGTATCCAGCCATTTTGAACGAGGACGGCAAAGAAGATGGAAAGCATTCACCGAAAATAAAACGGCTCTCAAAGTATAAAAAGTGTCATTCTGTTGATTATTCTGTATCAAAACCAAAGGTGTCCAGACTCAACGATTTGAAGAAAAGAGACTCGCTATTGTTTTCTTCCATGGATCCTTCCGATGAAAATGTGGAAGAGTTTGAGCAATCGTCTCAAGATGAGAAGAGTGAAGGTACAGAAGTGAAATTGGAAAAATCAGAGAAGGAAGAGAAAATTGAAAAAATTGAGAACAAAGAAATAAAAACTGATTAATATATTTGATATCATACAGTTATTGTTATAAATAAATTGATAACTCGGATCGCAATAAAGTTGATTATATCATTCAAATGTATAGGCAAGGACAAACTCATACTCTGCAAATTGTGATTTTCCAATTCCAATAACATCAATTGGATTTGGTTCATCAAAGTACCTTTCTTTGAACAATTCTCTTCGATCGACCTTGACTCCTCCAGTCGACCTCACCTCAAAGCATGTGTTAATTCTCAGAAGGACATAGTCCGAGTCGATTGACAGTAAGTCTGTCATGTATTTTGGTTTTGGTTTATAGACTTTCATTTGTTCACCCCCGAAGAGCAAGTGTTTATCATCATGTCTGAGAGTGATGCACCCCTCTTTACCTTCTTCAGGGATGTGTGAGAAGTACCCTCCAAATATTTTTCCACCTTTCATTTTGATCACGATTATCACATTGGGTTTACCTTTGATTGCATTTTTGAGCTCTCCGTTTTCCTTTCCTCTTCTACTATCGAAAATCAATGTGGTGGTATTAACACGCTTTGCTAGAACTTGCGTCATACAGTCCAAGAACTTTCCAATCATCAACTGTTTTTCTTCAACTGTTTGAGGTAACGAAATATCTTTCAGTTGTTTGAGAGAAACGTTCTCAGTTTGTTCCGTCTTATATACGAGAGCATAGACTCGGACTTTTCTATATTCCTCCTTTCTAAGTATTCCAGTAATCTCTGTAGCATCAGGGGAGTTCGTGTACTTCTTGCTAACGCCTTTCATGTTTCTTAAATGGAATTGTCCACACAAATTGATCACAAAGAAGTTCTCTGCATACATGAAATTGTTAGCTCCCCCTCTTACTATGTCTCCACTGCCTTGAACGAAATTTCGTTTGCCAAGAAATTCTTTCTTCTCATTAAACAAAAAAAGAGTGTGTTCGGAAGTGTCTGTCGCACGAATTAAATAAACTTTGTCCGCCTCCACGCCATTCTTAAAAGCCATCACAAACGGTTTTCCACCGGTAATATCAAACACAAGCGCCGAGTTCTTTTTTCCTAAGAACCCCTTAGTCAGTTGGACGATGTTAAACTCGTCCGTCTTTGAATCAAAAACGACTTTAAAATCATTCGACCCGGCCCATTCATTCACTGCTTGAAATTCTTGAGACTCAAACAGATTTGTGGTGTTAAGAGTTTTTTCTATAGAACATGTTACACATGAAGGATCTTCTGTTTCATACACCAAGAAATTGGAGACTGCTATATCCTTGCCACCAACGAGTGCATCAAATTGTTCACTTGAGTTGTATGACTCTTTGAAGTCATTTTTGCATATTAAGTGGCGACTAGTAATTGCAAATGCGTGACAGATCTCAAAGAAATTATGGGAGCCTAAAGGTAGAACTATCAAAGTTTCTGTTGCCAGTTTGAGAGTAGTGAATTTCTTCATATCATTGAAATTGGTGTTGGATACCACAAGAAAATGTGATGGATCGTTTTTAATGAAGTGTGGCATTGAACTGGAATTTGTCATCTTTTGTATTGAACTTGAGTTATATGTTAAAACGACGGTATTGTTTGAGAGCGGCACTACAAAGAGCAAATTGCTTTTGCCATTGATCGCTTTATTTAAGACACGAGAGGTGTAGCCGTCCTTTTCTCCTTCAAAGATTAATTTTTTAATATTTCTATTTGTCCATTTGAAAATAATTTCTTTTGTCTTTTGAGTGTTTATGAAGTCGATTGTACGTTGTGGAGTGGGATATTCAATTGGGTGATCTTCTTTAGGAAGACATTTTGATTGTTTTTGTTGACTATTTTGATGTGTTTTCTCAACTCGAGGACATTCAAAATCTTCATCTACAGTCACATCTATTTCATGTGAAGTGATTTGGGGAACTAAAGAAGAACAAGAGTCTAAAGCTAATGTTGTTAACAATTCAATGGAATCTATCATATAAGATATAAGCGGATTGGAAAATGTGAGTAAACCCCGCATTTTGGATATGTTTGTTTGCAGAGTACAAAGACGTTCTTGTTGAGATGAAAACGACATCAAATTCGTGAGATTTTTAAGTTCAATATCGTAACACAAATTCTCATCGTATTCTATATATTATAATTTATTATAAATTTAACTATATGAAATGACACTTCTTTTTTTTTAATTATTTACATTAACTAAAAATACTAAAAAAAGAAATAATACAAATTAAGTATTATTCTATAATACTTATTAGAAAATTAATAATATAATATATTATAGTTTCACAAAATAAAACCAAAATTCATACAATATGAATAGTTTATTTTCAGTATTATATAAGTATTATATAGTATTATAAGTTATACTAATAATTAAACTATTTTTATTAATATAATAAAACCTCAATAGTATACTATTTGAGGTTTTATAATAATTTGATATATATATAATTCGATACTAGTTGATATCTTTAAAATACACAATGAAACGAGGGAAATGGCCAACTACACTAGACGCATATTTTACGCCAAAGCGCGAGAATACAACTCAATATAATAATGATATAACACCTTCTAATGATAAAATAAACTCTTTAACACCCATTCAAACACTTCCAAAGCTGACGTATATACCTTTGGCCGACAAACAACGTCCAAAGCGACTTGAAGATGTGATAGGACAACAAATGGCGATTGGGAAAACGTCTCCATTTTACACGATGATACTTAACGACGAAGTGACGTCCACGATTTTATATGGCCCTCCGGGGTCTGGGAAGACTTCGATAGCTGCGATCATACAAAACACGACGAAGAATCGATTTGTGCGGGTCTCAGCAACGAGCACTGGCAAGACTGAATTGAAAGACATCTTTACGGAAGCCAAGCGATATAAAAAGACTGGGAAAAACACAATTTTGTTTGTTGATGAGATTCATTCGCTCAATAAATTGCAGCAAGACGCATTCTTACCGGTAGTGGAGGACGGGACTATCATCTTAATTGGGGCCACCACTGAAAATCCGTCGTTCGAAGTGAACAGTGCGCTGATGAGTCGTTGCAACTTGGTTGTACTGAAGAGATTGACTGACGAAGACATGGTCCAAATCCTCAAAAAGGCAATACGGGAAGAATACACAGAGTCTCTTGTTGACATCAATGAAGACGCTTTACGGTTCATCGCATCTATTTGCGACGGAGACGCTCGGGCGGCTTTAAATAATGTCGAGCGGATATTCTTACACTTCGGGAAGATGAGTAAACCGAACATCCAAATGGAAATCAACCAACTCAATGAGGAGAGTCACAAGCTTGCGGAAAAGACGGAAGTAAAAGATAAAAAAGATGTAAAACTCGACAGTAAATTAGAGTCTAATTCTACTATTATTAACTTGAATGACAACAAGGAGAATGATGAAATAACTGATTCTAAAGTCCAGCCTGTAGATACCGACGAAGAGCCTCCACAACTCAAGAAGACCGAAACTAAAATGAATAGTTCTGAAACTAATGAAGATACTATATTACTTGATTGCAAAAAAGAAGAGAAAGACGCCATTGTACCTCCACTCCACGTGGACAAAGAAATTATTCTGACGTACGAAGTTGTTCAACAATTTCTTCAGAAGACGATGTATAAATACGATAAAAGTGGAGAAGAGCATTATAATATATTGAGTGCCTTTCATAAGAGTCTAAGAGGCTCTGATGAAGATGCGGTGATGTATTGGTTACAACGAATGGTCTTAGCTGGTGAAGATCCTAAGAACATAGCCCGCCGAATGGTCGCATGTGCTGGGGAGGATGTTGGTGTCGCCGATCCCCAAGCTTTAATACTAGCCGTCAACACGTTTCAATCAGTACAAATGATCGGGTACCCCGAGTGTAATTTCTGTTTGGCGCAGTGTGCTTTATATATCGCACGTGCTCCAAAATCAGTGTGTACATTGAAAGCGATGTTACTTGCAAATGATTTGATCAAGAAGACTGGAGCCTTGCCTGTTCCTATGCATATAAGAAATGCTCCCAATGCATTATTAGAGAAGATGGGCTATAATAAAGGATACCAATATCCCCCAATGTTTGAGGGACCTTTAGAACAAACTTATTTGCCTGATAAATTGATTAATAAGCACATCATGTCTTATGACCGCTTTGTAAAGAAGCAAGACAAGAAAGACATAGTCGCTTCCAAATCGATGGATCCAGACTTCTTTATCAAATACAAACATTAAATTAGTAATACTATATTTTATACTATTTATACTATTTTTAAATATTACTAGTATTGTATAGTATACTATTATTACTATAATTTATAGTATTTATACTATTTTTTATTTTATAAATACCAAATAGTAATTTTTATTGTTTGTGACTAGTTAACCTGAAATACTAAACAATCATTGTATACTAACTATAACTAAAAACTCTTGTGAGCCATACTCTGGTCGGGGATCATCTGCGTAATCTGTAAAATATTTTCTTCTATAATTTTGCTCTTCACATTTAACGTTTCCATCACGTCCATAACTGTCCCTAAAACACGAGTCGCTTCTGTGTTTTCGAAAACTCGTAACCGATGTTTCTGGTCCGGTGGTAACTTGTCGAAGTTTGAGACATATTCGACCAAATTGATAGTGCCATAGACTTCACTTTTACTCGCAACTAAACGTCTCTCTGCTACACATCTCCATGCTTCATTCGTCACATCCAATTTCCTTAATCGAGTCACCAACTTTTGACCGGAAGACACTGTTATGTTGTCTGTGATATCGATGATTCGTCCAACAACCTCATCGTCCTTTTCTTTCAAAGAAACTTCCATCACTTCATTCATTATTTTACTCAACCCTTCAAATCGGGCTTGATCCACTAGTAAAGTCTCTCCTGTCAATTCTTCTAACGCTTGACACACTCCAATTCGTACTCGTCGCTTCCGTAGACTTTCATTCAATCGTCTCCAATTGATTTCGCTCGGGCGCTGAATTGTTTGTCGCTCCTCTTCTATCAAATAAGCTCTTTCAAATCTGTTCGTCCCCTTCGGAGCAATCTCCACTCCTTTAATCTTCTTCTCCACATCCCAACTCCGCATTAATTCGGAAAAACGGGCAACGTCTCCCACCTTCCCACCTAATGAAATGTTCTTAGTCAAATCAGATATCGTCGAATAGATCTCACTAAATGATAAACCACCCCACCACCCCTTTGCTTCGTTCAACATCTCAGGACGATACAAGACTTCACTGAACATCGCCGTCTTCACAAACGTCGTTAAAAACTCAAACAAGTCATTCTCAAAACACAAGAAGTATTTCTCCTTGTCAAATACAACTCGCGGGCTATCAGATACCCACAAAAACCCTATAAACTCGTCAACCCCTTCTATCAACTTCGCAACATACCACCGAAACGCTAAATATGTCCGATCATCATGGGCACTCTTTAACACTCGAAGTGCAGCAAACAAATCCCTTTGCATACTTAATGGAACCGCTACCATAGGCCCCATCACCGTTCCTCTATCCACATTCACACAGATGATCCCTCGACTCGAATATTCAACGCAATCATCCTCCGCTTGTTGCGACACTATTCCAAGCAAAAACGGGCCTTGATTCTCAAAATCTGAGTACTCTGCGGGGGCTCGAGAAAAGTGCGAGTACTTCAGTGGACATAAGCAGTCGAGAAGTTGTGTCACCGAAAACACAACAGACGTCACCGATCTTGAAAACAGTGCTATTCGTTTGTTTAACACAAGAGAAAGAAACAACGTCACAAGTTGGACTTGTCCAATAGATTCAAGGAGTTTGCCAGGACTATTCATTGGATTAATGAAAGGCACGTTGTTATTCTTTATAATATAATACACTGAATAGTACAGTGGCGTCTTCATTGTGAAAACTATTGAAGAGATCCCTTGTGTGAGTTTAACGCCGTACAACTGTTCTTGATAAAACGGATTAATTGTTGTGGGGGCATTTGATGGGGAGCGCTCCACTTTGGGGGGCACATTTTTCGTTCCGATTTTCATTGGAAATTTCAACGGAGTTGTTGTGTACGTGTGTTGCGGTGAAAAGGCGACAAATGGCGGAGGGGATGTCTTCTGCACAACCCGCTTTTGGGGAAAATTCAGATACGAAAATGGTAGAGTGAACGTCCCACGTTTCCACATGGGGACGTTCCCTTTATAAAATGCGACATTCACTATATCAGTCGTCGTGTTTTGGACAATTCTTAGATAGATACAAATCTCGCCAACATTACCACACTTTTCTATTGAGTAACATTTTGTGAGTGAATAATATTCTTTGATTGGTATTGTAGTCGTCCCCAACGAAATTTCATTAATGTCAAAATATGAGAAGAAAAGGACTTTAGGGAGGTCCTCCACTGCTCTAAGTGTTATTAAATATAATATATTGTCGTATCATTTATCACTGATTGTCATTCACTTATATAAACAAACAAAATATACACAAAGGCGTTTTGTGGACACCCCTTTTGTGGAATTTGGATTTTTAAAAGTCTTCGGTTCACGCGACAAAGAGCAAAAACGTTGTTGACGGGCGTTTTGAATGAACACGAAATCACTACGCGTCAAATGGAATTGTAAAAGTACGTGTTAAAGCAAAATTCATTTGTTCGCGTATAAATTAAAAAACAGTTCCTTTGTGATTTTGATATAATTGAATGAACGCTCAATGGAAATTATATACTCAAGAGATATTACACAATATTTAAAAAGAACAAACGTTGGATTTCAATACGATAACTCATGTTCCCCTGTCCACTTCTTGTTTGTGCCATTCTTTGCATTTTAAAGTTTTACCCAAACAAAAATAATTCTATTTTTTTATCCAAAAATGTTATGCTGAATAATTTTAATGCTACAGAAAAAACAATTCGATTATTTAGTGCCTTTGTATTTATGGCTTCCCTTTTTTGAGTGGTTTATATTTTTGACAATTTGAAAATTTATAACAAATATATTTTGGTATGATTTATTTCCTAATTTTGTATCGATTCGTTAAAAAAGTAACTGAAATAACACCTATTCATATTTCAAATATTGGAGTGAGAAATAATATGGAGTGAATCGTAAAAATGTTATATTAAAACAATCTTGTTTATCACATTTTCGGCTTTTGCGTCGTTCAGCTATCACTCGGTAACGTGATGAAAATGCTGGTAATCCGCTCACTGAGTTCCTCAAATTTCCCGATTAGTGGGTCGTTTGCATTCTTAGCTTTCATAAGACTAATACATGCCATTACCTCGGTTTGGAGCGCTTTTACTCGTTTGGAATCTTTGGATGACGTGCAAATGGATAAATAGTTGTTCAACAAAGTGTCAAAAGAGCTTTGAATTCCAAACTTGAGTTGCCCAAATATCCCCAACTCGAGTGCAGATTTTTGTTCGTTCACGATGGTTGAGCTCTCCATCTCTGGCGTCCCGATCAAAAAGAATTGCTCTTCCGAAACAACAAAGGTGAGCTCTTTTATCGTCACAAGCACTCTCTCGTTGACATAAACGACATTGGTAATTTCCTTCTTGTACATTTCCACTAACGGCATCACCGACACGCTTTTAATTTTCACAAAATTGTTGTCCATGATGTGGACATTACCTACAATGTCAACAACTATCACCTTTTCGTCAAAAAACACTTTCGATATTTTACATGTCAAAACGACGGGAGAACAACACAATATTCCACTTTCACTCCAAAACAAGTACAATAACCCGTCACACACAACCAAAACCTTCGTCTCGTTCACCAAAATCGTCTTGACTTGGAATGGTATAACCGTCGACCAAACCATATTCTGGTTGAAGTTTTTTATCACCTTAATCAAGCTCATTTTGCTCGTGTTGTCATACTCGCTGATGAAACTATACATGACCCGATTCACCAAATGCAATTTTTTCACTTTATCGTTGTTCTCGAGTTCTCTTAACACCCCACGTTTTTCCATCTCTTTGGTTGTGTTATCTGTGTCTTCTACATACCTTTTTCTGTCTTCTTTGTTGTCATTTTTCAATGGACTTTCCGTGCTCATTTCTTTTCTCAATGCACTGACTGCAGAATCACTGTTTGTCTTCATAAGTCTTTTTTTCAAATGTTCCTTACTTTTTAAGTGGTCTTTCAGGCTTTTTGCCTCTCTCAATGGTTTTTCCATTTTATCTTCTAATGAGATGCTTTTTCTTGCAGACTCATTGTTTTTTTCCATCGTGATTTTTTGGACATTAGTCATCTTTTCGGATGATTTCTCGTTTACAAGTTTTTCGGGTTGTAAAACATTGCCCAAAGTTGTGGACGTTTTTTGTTGTTCTGTGGGGTTGTCAACAACAAGGATGGGTTGAATTCTCTTTTTGCGAGACGGGTCGGTTTGGTGTGGCTGTGTGCTCTTGTTTTCTGAATGCACACTTAGAACAATTTGGGGTCCGTTGTTTACACTCTCGTGAACTATTCCATGCAGTGGAATTTCCACAATTTTTTCAGTTTCCATTTTTTGTCCAATTTTTTCTTCTTTTGAAGTTCCTGTCACATTTTCATTTTCTTGCGCTTTTGTAAATTGTGCTTCTTTATTGACGACTTTTTGCTCGTCGTTTGACTTGAGTTTCTGATAGATTGACCGTTTCTTCATTTCGACGTAATCATTCGTTTCTACAGTTCCTCCTACTTCGGCTTCAGTCAACTTGAAAAATCCCACAAACCCGTCAATCGAACACGCCATGAACATTAAACCTCCAGGTAACCACGTGATATCTTGCACACACCCTTTGAACGCATTTTCTAAATAACAGAGTTGCCCTCTCTTGCTCACCCACAAACTCAAGCTGTTATCCACTCCCCCAACAACAAAACAATTGAAAACCCTCTTCTTCCCTTCTTCTGTCGTCACCTTGTACAAACACGGAGAAAACCTCGAGCACACCACTTCGTTTTTGTGACCAACAAAAAATGCAGTTTGTCCAGTCACTCTGTTGTGAATTAGAGAAGCTGGTTGTTTCTTCTGTACTGCGCCTACCAAGAGCATTTGTGTTGCCTCGGGAGACCAACACGGTCTTAAAAAGAAATTGGTGTGTGTCTGGCTGCTGAATTGGTCCTTTGTTGTATTAACCACAGCTTCTCTTTGAACGTCCCACTCAATTGCACAATTGGTGCATTGCGCCACAATTATAATTCCTAGTGGGTCCCACGCAATGCCAAAAACGCTTGACGGGTTTGGTAAAACGATGAGCTGCTTTCCCGTGTTTAAGTCCCAAATCATTACTTTTGAATCCAACGAAGCCGATGCCAGTTTAGTTCCGTCCGAGCAGAACGAGACGTCCGTGACCGAATCTGAGTGACCGACCAACTTGTGTTTGTAATCGTATTTTTGAAAGAAAAGCAAATTCTTTTCAAAAAAACCATCAGGATTATCCTCCAACATATACAAAATAGACACAATGCCATCGTCTGTTCCTGCAGCCAAAAGTTCTCCGTCTGGTGACCATCGTAAACAATTGACGTTTTGTGACATTTGAATGACTGCCTGGAGTTTTGGTTCATCTTGTGTGTCCACCTCCGGTTTATACAAAGATTCGACATTCCAGACTTTGACGCGAGCGTCTCCTCCCCCTGTTGCCACTATTGGTTCAGACGGGTGGCTGTCAATGCAGAAGATTGGGTTGCCATCGTGAGCCAACCAGAAGGGTTTTTTAAATATGACCATCAGCGATTATTCTTTACCTTTCAGAGTTTTCCTCAATTTTTTTGTGCTCTTCTCTTTTCTCTTTCCACCAAGAATAATAACAATTATAAATTAATTGTTTAAAAATACTATATCATTATTAAATATTAAACAATACAACTTCCCGTTCCGCATTGAGATCACTAGTAGTTTGAATAGTAAAAAAACTAAAAAAAATGGTATCTCAACAAAAAAATGAGAATTAAAATTTCTTTGCAAAGTCCGCGACTGTCGTGAGTTTTTCGTTTTCTTTTTGTGAGTCGAAGACGTGGAACGAATCAAAAGACGCGTGAACCATACCAGCTAACATTTTAATAGGTTCAGTAGCTTTTTCAAAACCTTCCGACCCACAGGTACACAGACAGACAAATTTGAGTTTTTTCAACTTTTCCTCCAAACATTTTTTTGGAGAAAAATCAGACCAATTGAACAAAGATACAGTCCTGTCGAGGAGCAATTTCACTTGTGCTGGCATATAATACCAATAGACGGGATATGAAAAAATGACCACATCAGCCTCAACCATTTCTTTTAATATTTCAAAGCACTCGTCGGATTGCGAGCAATAGAATTGGTCCGGGTGTGCTTTGCATCCCAAACATCCATGACATCCATTCAATTGATTTTGTGCAATATTAAATGTCTTATTCGTTATTTGATGTGTTTTCTCAAGCTCTTCTACATACTTAGCTGCTAATTTGGCACTCATCCCATTCTCCCTGTAACTTCCAATGATAGTCACTACTTTCAATGACATGTACTCACTGAATTAAGTAAGATTCATTCGGCTTATATATCTTCAGCAACTTCCACAAAGCTCCTATCTTTGATTTGTGGTTTGTTTTATAATTACTCATTATGACAATTTCTATTTATATAATTTATTTTTACTATAATTATAATTGTTATAATAACAAAGAAAATATCTTTGAGGTTTCACATCTATATATCCAAGAAAATTTCTAGATTTCGTCGAATTTCTATTTTCATTTTTTAATAGAATATTTTTAGTTTTTTTTTCGAATGGTTTTCAAATCATTTTAAATCTCAATAATCCAAATCAAAATAATATTAGGGGTGCAATGTTATTTAATCACATTTTTTATCCAAAAAAATAGTTGTGGAAACACCAAATAGTTACTTTATAATATTTTAAACTATATGTTATGAAATGTACCCCAATTGAATTAATAATTTTCTTTAATTATTAATTCATTTCTACTTTATTCAAAGTAGAACGAACTACAAATTTATGGTTTTATTCTTTTTATTACTGTCGTTTTCGTTGTCGGCATGTACCACACGTAAACCGCTTCTCTTTATTCCTGGTGTGATGTCCACTGTGTTATATTCAAAATTAGACATTCCCGACACTGTCCCACATTCTGTTATTCCTGAAGAGTGTGTTCGTGCAAGTCCGGAGTTTCTTCTTTGGCAAAACGTTTCTTTTCTGAGTAAGAATCCTATTTGCAATTTTGCATATATCAAACAACAATACAACGAAAAGACCGAATTATTAGAAACTATAGAAGGTGTTGATATAACAGTTCCCGAATTTGGAAGCACATTTGCTTGTTCGAAATTGGCCCCAAATGTTCCTGGGAAAAGCACCGATTATTTACGACCAGTTTTTCAACGATTAGAGAAACAAGGGTATCAAGATGGTGTAGATCTTTTCTGTGCCGGGTATGATTGGCGAAAAGCGCGATATACCCTGGACTCCTATATCTCCGATACAATTTCTTTAATTAAAAAAATCAAAGCGGAAACAAAGCAAAAAGTGATGATTGTCTCTCACTCCTATGGTGGACTCATTTCGACTTTCTTGGCAGACAAATTTGATGATATAGAAAATTATATAGAAAATTATATGTCCGTAGCAACCCCATATGCAGGGGCATTTTTGTCTGTCCAATCAATGCTTTCGGGACTCGACTGGGTGCCTGTCGACCCAAAACTGTTTACTGATGCCTCCCGAAATATCGAAGCAAATTATCAAATGCTTCCAAACCCTCAATATTGGGGAACACAAAACATCTTAAAAGTCGGAACACAAACTTTTACCGCACAAAATTTCGGAGACGTTTTAACTCGACTTGCTCCCTTTGGAAAACAAATGGAGCAAAAATTGAGGTACACATTCGGCAAAATGCCAAACGTGAATTTGACTTGTGTATATTCAAGTGGCGAGGAGACTGCTGAATATGCCGAATTCGATGACTGGTCTTTCGAAAATGGAAGATATCAATTCGGTGATGGGGATGATACCGTCAACTTAAATTCTTTGGAGTACTGCAAAGAGCTTGGTTTCACTTTAAAACACATGGGCAAGAAAACTCACATGACGGTGATCACTTCAGAAGATTTCACAAATTATTTACTCGGCTTTGTTTGCGACAAATAAGAGATTTCTATTAGTATTGTTATTTTAATGTAGTTTGGTCCCCGTCATTAAGTGACGGTATTGTTTCTTTGAAATTAAAAAGTAATAATAATATTAGTATTATTTAATAATAAAGAAATAATAATAACAATTAATAATTAATCATTTATTTTTTCTATATAATTTAATTTATAAGATAGTTATTATAACCATTTAATTACTAATACTGTTTAAAACTATTATTTGTGTTTACTAAACTATATAATTAATTTATTAATATTTAGTAATAATTACTAATAAATAGTTACTTAACGATATAGTATTTTTATCATTATATTTATTAAAAAAAAATTCGGATTTGTAAAATCCCATAATTTAAAAAACACGATAAAATGTAATTAATAATCAAATTGAATAATTGAATTGAAGTTGGAATGTTTGAGATGGGAGTATAAAGTGTTCATTCATCACTGAACTATTCTCGGGAAATTCCTCGAACATCAGGGTAGAAAGTACCATCCTTTAATAGGAAGGTGGAACATATGGATGCATAGAATCTTTGGATGAGCTTAAACCATATGAACCATTTTCGTTGTAAATACAGTTATTCAAACGCTTATGTAACTCGATGAGGGTCAGTCTCCAACTTCATTTTTTGAATCCTCAATTAATATTCATTGATATAAATTGAATAAATATATTTAACTGTCTTATTCATAATATGCACCAAACTCAATAGAATACAATTAATACAGCAGTTAACTTTTTTATTAATTGTATTTCTTGCAAACAAATGAAACAGTAATAAACTTGATAATATAACAAATTCAATTTAACTAATAAAAGAAACTATATAATTATAGTATAATTCCAATTCCTCAAACTCCACAACAAGATCCCAATAAACTAGTTTATTTAAAAAATACCAAAGCGGTGACTTCACCCGAATATAATGGACAGTTGTGGCTGTTCGTTGAATGTGTCGATGACATTTCCAAACTCCTCTCTTTTCAGATCTTTACTATCTTTCAGTGAATCTCTCATCTGATTTGGTTCTCTTCCAAATTCCCTCTGTGAGTCATTTCTTCCGTCCCGTGTCATTTCTCTCATAGACAAGTCCCGTTGTGCTTCTCGGGGTATATTCATCTCTCTTGGTACTTCACGTGTTAAGTCTCTCTGCAATTCCCTTCCCAAATCGCGTGGGAGTTCTCTTTGCAATTCTCTTGGGACTTCTCTTGGTAAGTCCATTGGTAAATCTCTAGGTCTGAACCCATCATATTCGTCTCTCTTAGGAAATGGTACCACATCATTCACTGGTGGTTTTGCATATGATATTGTGTCTCTTCCATACCTTTGAAATTGATAATCGGCATACGCTTGGTCATACCCATCTCTCTTCTCTCTCACGTCTCTCTCACTTCGACTGTCTCTATTCTCCCTCACCTCTCGAACATCTCTAAAGCTATCTCTCTTCTTCTCCGAGTCTCTTTGATAATCAATCGGCTTCTCGCGTTCTCTAAATTCCTTTTGTTGGTCGAACTTGACAGGTGTGTCTGAAGATCCTTCCACTGTCTCACTATGTTCTTGTTGGTCTGACATATTGTGTTGTTTTTGGAATTTTGAAATAGGGTTATTGTCTCGTTCGTTAGTCCCTTGAGTTTTTCGAGTGTTTTGTTTGAACAAGTCCCAGATGGCGCTCTTCGACTCGACTCTTCTTTGAATCAGTTCTTGTGTCAGAGTGATCGGCTCTTCTATTTTTGGCAATTTCTCCTGACTGAATTCTTGTAAGCGGTCGATAATAGTGTCGCACATCTTCGTTGGGAGTTCATACACACTGATTTGTTCACATACACTTCTCCAACTCGCAGAGTCGGGAACTATTTCATTCCCAACATCTATCAAAGCAGGAACGTGTATACTCAACGGAAGTTGCGACACTTTCTTTCCAAATTGTATCGACTGAGAGTCCGGCAGAGTCGCCAAAAAGTCGGTGTATATCTTCGATTCTCCTATCGAAGGAAACTGAAAAAGAGGCGCTTGCGACATATCTGCTTTGAGTAATCTCAGTGGATACTTTAAACAATACTCAAACTCTACCCATCGGAGTTTCGACCGCGACGTGAATAGGAAGTTATAGTAAGCTTCCACATCAAAAGTTGTCTTCACGTTTTTCGCAACTTCTTTTCCAAAACTGAGGTAAGAAAGTAACAATGGGTTAGGTGGGGATGGCTCACTCATTTGTGGTATTATTTTTCTAGTTTTTAATGGTTTTATCTTTTTAGTCTTTTTATCTTTACCCCTTGACGTGTCGAACAGTTTATTATTTCTATTCTTTCAGTACAAAACAAAATCTTTTTTCATTAAGTTTTTGTTGTTCTTTTATCAACAAAATTTAGTTATTTTATTCCTTCTTCTCATTTTTTAATCTTGTACTATATATTCTAATTTTATATTATATTATATACCTATTGTCATCGTAAATTAAAATATAAAACCACAAATTAATATAATAGTTCTTAATATTACTACTAAATATTAATAATATAATATCTGTATGTAATTCTATAATTTGCAATGAATTATTATTTAATTCATTTCAAATTATATATTATTATTACTATTATTACTATTATGAAGTTAGAGTTAAATGAAATTCTATATTTTAGTTCAAATTCCATTAACATACCATTTTTTTGATGTGTTATAAAACAGTTATAACGGACGTTTTGTATTTCAGTTACGATTAACTTAAAAAGTTGCGACAACTGAGATAGAGCAAAACGGAATGAGCAACGCAAGAGACCTTATGGCGCAATTTGCAGCTAAAAAGGGCTTAAAGTTGGACAGTGATACTGAAGCCCAAAAGAAAGCCGCCGATTCCTTAAATCGATATACCCGTACCCGTGACACTGATACTTCTAAGACTGAATCGACATCATCTCGTCGCACGATAGACCCTTCTAAAGCAGCTGAAGATGAACGTAAACGGAGAGAAGAAGAACGTGAGAAGGAGAGAGCCCGTCGTAAAGCTGAACGTGAAGAGGAAGCCCGACGTGATGAAGAACGTCGGAAACAACGCGAAGAAGAGCGCCAGAAAGAGCGCCTTGCGCGGCAACAACAACGCGCGCAAGAGAAGTTAGAAGAAGAGCGTCTTCAGCGCGAGCGCGAAGAGCGCCGCGCCAAGTTGAAAGCGGAGAGAGAAGCGCAACAAGCCGCCGACGCCGAGAAAGAAATCGAACGACAAAAGAAGTACGACTTGGAGCGCGAACAACGCCGAAAGCAACGGGAAGCCGAGCGGAATAAGATCGATGTCTTAAATGCCGAAGAAGTGACTCGACAAAAGGCCGACTATTTGAATCAAGCCACACTCATCGAAGAAAAACAAAAGGTCTCCGACAAAGAAACACCACCAGAGAATAAGACGGAAGAACTTAAGACTGAAAAGCTTGAAGAGAAAGAGCCAAAAGACGCTTCTAAGATGAGCGTCGAAGTCATCGAATTGAAAGCGATGAATAAAAAGCTCAACGACCAAGTCAAGAGTTTGGAGGAATTCAGAGCGAAAGCGGAATTGGCGTCTGCTAAATTGTCGAGAGAGTATGGAACACAAATAGATGGACTTAATAAGACCGTCACCGATTTGACGACGGAGTTGGAGTTATATAGAGGAAAATTAAGTGAGAAGCCGCTGTTTAATACAAAAGTGCCGAGAGAACAACCATGGCCCGAGGAAATAGTTCAGCCCGAATTGAAGGTTGGAGTACAAGCCGTTGGGAAATGCGAGGACGAGTATACAATTGGGACTATTCAATACGACGAAGGACTCAAATACGACTTTGGTAAAACCAAATTCTATAAGAAGGACGTCTTCTTGCCACCTCCAGTCAGTAAGGAACTCATCGAGAATTTGGTGATGTTAAACAACAACTTGAAGGCAAGACAACAAGAAGTCGATAAAGAACACAAGAAATACGTTGAGGGGGTCGAGAGGGAAATGAGAGAATTAAGAGAGAAGTACGAGAAGATGAGAGACTTGTATGGGGCCGATCTCTCAGATATGCAGAGCAACTTTAATAATAGAGTGTCCAAATCGTTTGGACTTGAGTGTAAAATGGCTGTTGAAGTTGCTGAAGGGATTAAAGATGTTAAGAAGTACGCAAGATCGAATGGGGTGGATAGGTGGTACTCGTCACCAAGCAAACACGACGATGAGATGTGGGCGAAGTTAAAGAATGGGAATAACGGCAATGTCGATTACCCTGTCGGACGACACGATTTCAAGGCTCGAGTATTCCAGTTCTATAGATCCGAAGACAACGAATTACTCTGTAATGAACTCAGAGTGTTCAAACAAGAAGATTTGAATAGAGGGTGTGGGTATATTATTGACACTTTCAATGAAGTGTTTGTGTACTACGGAACATCAGCTGGATGTGTTGAAAGAGCTTCTATTGCAAAGACCGCATTGGCTTATAACAAGTATAGTCAAGACGGAAGAAGTAAGAACACACCAGTTGTCTTGTGTGAACAAGGCAGAGAACCAATTAGATTCCAAATGCAGTTCAGTAAATGGGATCAAAAGAGGGCTGGGTATCAAGACACTCAAGACATATTCACCGATCGAGACAAACACTTCGATTACGGCAAATTGCTCAAACCAGACGAGTTGCCAAATTGGGTGGACAGAAGTTGCCTTGAAAATTATTTGAACGAAGAAGAATTTAAAGCAGTTTTCAAAATGGAAAGAAGTGAGTTCAATATGCTCCCTCGTTGGAGAAAAGACGCCGAGAGGAGAAGAAGAAAGCTTTTCTAAAAGTGTTAATTCACTTTATCGCTTTATTTCGATATATTTTACATGGAAAAAATATTAAATTATATTTTATAGTAACTTAACTATAATTTTAGTTAACAATATCATTAAGCTATAAAATTGATAAAATACTACATAAGTATTATATGTTATAGTTTACAATACTCTTAGGTAAATTTATTAAAACAATTAATCTAGAATAACTAAGATATAAAAGAAGACCAATTACAATCAAAATTCTTATAATTAAAGTCCAACAACCAATATACGAACTACAAAATCAAATGATTGATCTTGGAAAACTTGTGGAAGTCAATGTACGAATGTTTCAAGAGGATATCACCTCTCTTTTTTCAAAGCGTTTTAAAACACCAAAGAACGTGAACAAATTTATAGAGAGAGCAAATATAAACATGAACGAAAACAAAATTTCCTTCACTTCAATTGGGATTGTTTTTGCACTCCTCTTTTCTGCGTTACTCGAACCAAAAAACATCTGGAGCATTGTTTTCTTTGTTCTTGTTATTGTGGCTCACCTTGTCATTAAAGAAGTAAACGACGAGATTAACACTAAAATATGGCTGAATGGGTTATTCATCTTTTTGTACTGCGCAACGTTTTACTTCCTTGTTGCAACAATTAGCGGAATTGTGCCATTCGCTTTTGTATGTTTGGTCGTCGCATTTGTTGTTGATTATCTCTTGGCCGGTTTCCTTGCTCAGAAAAAGGAAAAGAGCAACAACAAGAAGGATAAAAAGGATAAGAAAAACAAAGAAAAGACAGAGCTTTCTGTCTTTTAATTTGCACTTTTAATTTTGTTTTAGTTGGATGGCATTTTTTTGTGTAATTTTGGCGAATATTATTACTTGGAAAAATTTGCTTTAATTAATCAGTTTTTTGCCTAAGATTTTTCAAATAAATATTGCGACAAAATGTTATAAGACAATATTTTTAGTAGCATTATTTTTTTCAAGTTATTTTAATTATAATTATCAAAATTTTGTAGTTCTGTAATTTAAATAATCAACTATAATATATTGTTAATTTAATTATAAACTGTAGTTTCTATAATCAGTCAAAACCAATTCGATAAAAATGATTAAAATATAACTTTTTTTAATGGTTTTATCAACAAACTATTCGGCGAACTGAAAGAACTGACTAACGATAACTCTAACACCAAACTTTAACCAAACAATATATAAGCTACAAACTTGAAAGAAGAAGACATTCAAATGGGAGAAGAAGGAGAAGTACAAGCACTTGTCGTAGACAATGGATCCGGTATGTGCAAGGCCGGTTTTGCTGGTGATGACGCCCCACGAGCTGTCTTCCCATCAATTGTTGGCAGACCAAAACAAGTCTCAGTCATGGCTGGTATGGGCAACAAGGACACCTATGTCGGAGATGAAGCACAATCAAAGAGAGGTATCTTGACTTTGAAGTACCCAATTGAGCACGGTATTGTCAACAACTGGGACGACATGGAGAAGATCTGGCACCACACTTTCTACAACGAACTCAGAATTGCACCAGAAGAGCACCCAGTCCTCTTGACTGAAGCCCCAATGAACCCAAAGGCTAACAGAGAAAAGATGACACAAATCATGTTTGAGACTTTCAACGTCCCAGCCATGTACGTTGGAATTCAAGCTGTCCTTTCATTGTACGCCTCTGGTAGAACCACTGGAATCGTCATGGATTCTGGTGACGGTGTTTCTCACTGTGTCCCGATCTATGAAGGTTTCTCACTCCCACACGCCATCCTCAGAATTGATCTTGCTGGTCGTGATCTCACTGACTACCTCATGAAGATCTTGACTGAAAGAGGTTATGCTTTCACTACAACTGCTGAAAGAGAAATTGTCAGAGACATCAAGGAGAAGCTCTGCTACGTTGCTCTTGACTTCAACGAAGAAATGCAAAAGGCTGCCTCATCATCAGAACTCGAGAAGTCATACGAACTTCCAGATGGTCAAGTCATCACCATTGGCAACGAAAGATTCAGATGCCCAGAAGCACTCTTCCAGCCATCATTCCTTGGTATGGAAGCATCAGGTATTCACGAGACAACTTACAACTCAATCATGAAGTGCGATGTCGATATCAGAAAGGACTTGTACGGAAACATCGTCTTGTCTGGTGGAACATCAATGTACCCAGGCATCAACGACAGACTTGAGAAGGAGATGGTTGCTCTTGCACCACCAACAATGAAGATCAAGGTCATTGCACCACCAGAGAGAAAGTACTCTGTCTGGATCGGAGGCTCAATTCTTGCCTCATTGTCCACTTTCCAAAACATGTGGATCACCAAGGAAGAGTACGACGAGTCTGGCCCAGCCATCGTCCACAGAAAGTGCTTCTAATTCATTCACATTTTACTTTTCTATTCTCTTTTTTATACAACAAAACATTTCATTAATTTAATATTTTTAGTTTAAAATAGTTGTTTATCACCAAACACAACACACAAATACAAAACAGATTTCACTTACATGATACTATTTAGAAATGTATAAATTACTGACTCATTCATTTTAAAACGAGTTGCTAACTTCAAAAAAGTAAGTGGCAACTTCAGTATCAACAGAAAGTAATACTCGTGGCAATTTTATATGCATTTCCATAATTGAGAAATTATCAAATTGTGACATTCAATGGAATATCAACTAAAACCAAAGTAATCATCTCATATATTGATTATTTAACTCATTTATAGTCAAACCTTGGCATTTTCCAAACCAGGGCTTTTAAAAACAAAGTTAAAAAGACAAGGGTTGATTTTTATTGAATAATGGTTTCAGAAAATTTAAAATAAACTTTTTGATGGCAATTCTAATTTAAAGTTTGAATAAAACAAAATTGTTTTAACTTGTCTTTTCGATTTTTTGGGGCTTTATTTTTTTAGTTGGTATTTAAAAAAAATAAAAAATAAAAATGGCAAAAGTTTTTCTTTGGTTTTTTATTCAATAAATGAAAAATGGATAATCTGTTGTTCTTTGTGATAACATAACAGCCACATTGTAAATATAACAGTATAATTTGATACTTTGTTGTTGCTGGAAATAATTTTAAAGTAAAATTTACACCTTTAAAATATGCTTCACAAGTCGATGTTCAATTCTGATTAAAACATAAAATAATAATTATCAATTGTTTTTCAGACTTAATTTAACAGACTTTAAGTGTAATTATATTAGTTAACATTATTTCGCGTTTTAAAACAAACTTGATAATCAAACAGAAGATGTTTATTCATTTCATATGATAGATGTATTTGAACTAATTGTTGCACCACTATCCATGTTTTCAATTGTGTTTAACAGTCAACATAAAAAGTTTTTATTCAATACTTACTGTTGAACATAGAGTCAGTCTTTAAACGTTATCTGGTGCCTTTTGGACCATAAAGATTTAATATTTCGGGAAGCCGTCCCAAAAACCCATCCCAATTGTTTCGGGTTTTTTCACACTTTACCTAATGCCCGATTTTTAGACAATATTAAAGCTATTTTGTCCACTAGATATCGTTTGAGACAAGATAATGTTAAAAGACTGGCTCTATGTTTTATTACAAATATAAAATAAAAAAATAAATAATAATTACATAAACTTTGGTAAATTTGTGAAAGAAAAATTCTTTGATATTAAATTTTTATATATTTATAAAATATGTGCTAAAATTTTGATTTTTGCCATTATTTTAGTTTTTGTGTGTTTTTTGATTAACAAAGAAATTGAAGTATAACTAAAAATAATTTGGATTTATGTTATTTATTGAAATCACAATGTAATCGAGTTCTTAAATCTTGCCACGTGGGGACGGGGGTTTGAAATTTTGAGAGCCCTGTCCAAACCTCGACAATCTCAAAAATTTGATTGGTTGTTAGAATTATTTTTTAAAATGCGAGATAATCTAAAGTTAGTTTATTTTACAATTAAATTAAATTTAATTAAACCTTAAATATTTGGCGTTTTCGGTTTTAAACACACAATAAAAACTTTGGATAATAACAAACACACTGATACTCAGAATAAACAAATTATACTGATAGTTGATAACTTTAATTTACATAATTTGTTCATCAACAAAAATAATTCAATTTCTTCAACCAATTGGACGATAGCCAGAATAGAATGCTTATTTGGTTTCAAAAATTTAAGGATTTTTTATAATTAAACATAATTTAATTAACTGTGGTTTTTACACTAATTTGTTTTTTGCTGCAAATATTTACAAATCACAAATTATTAACTAATATAACAATTTATGACAAAATTCAAAATGTTCAATTTGGAAAATGTCGAGGTTTTTCAAATAAAAAATTGAAAAGAATCGAGGTTTGACTATAATAATTTCATTAACAATGAATAAATTAAACAATCCTGGAAGTGAGTATTTTAGCTGGGCAAGAACGCAATTTTGAATATTTTACTTTTTATATTATAATTATTCATATTTAAAAATCATTTAGTGTTATTTAAATATATATTTGATCATCAAGTACAGTAGGAGGAAATATGGGGATGCTAGAAAAAGGAGGATGCTCGTAACTATTGGTTAATTTTAATTGAAAAATAATAAAATTACTATTAATTTTAATATAAATTATTAATCAAAAAATTAATAAAAAGGAAAAACCAAAATAAATTTATGTTAATTATTTATTATTAATAATATTAAATTAATTAATATTTAAATTAGCATCCCACTTTTTCAGTTAACTGTACAGAAACGTTTGACTCTTTTATAATAAATTTTAATTTAGAATTTTTTTTAAATGTTTAAAAGAATAAAATGATTCAATATAGCAAAAAAATAAAAAGTTAAATATAAATGATGATACAGTAGGAGGAAATAGAGGGATGCTGAGAAAAAAGTAGGATGCTAATCTAAAAATAATTTTATTTTGGTTTTTTTTTAATTTTATTGGTTATTTTGTATTTAAAATAACCAATAGTCGCGAGCATCCTCCTTTCTCTAGCATCCCTCTATTTCCTCCTACTGTAATAGTTTTTTAAAAAAAATACTAAACTGATTTTCTTTCTTTCTCAATTCAATATTTATTTAATTTCACAAAGTTACAAACTAATTTTAACTTTATGTGTCTGGGGGTCATTGTCATTCTCATCGTAAATTTATATTTTCAGTTTGAGTTGCATTTTAAATAAAAATAATAATTAATAACTTGTTATTATTTGTTTTATTAAAAAGTGTTTAATATTATATTAAAAAAAGACTTAACTTTATTGTTTTTTTATCATAAAATATCGTTGATTATTTGTAAAATGATCAACCATTTTAATAGTAAATTTAGTAATAATAATATTATGTTATTGAACTTAATTGTCTGACTAAAATTGTAATAATTGTTTTTATAATTGTTTATTTATTATTTATTTATTGTTTATAAATAAATAAAATACAATAAAAATGTTCTTGTTGATAAAAAGACAAAAAAATATTAAAACTTCAAATAAAATTTACCAATAAAAAAATTATTAAAAATAAATTTAATTTTTCATATTTTTTATTAATTTATTAGACAACAATATTATTTTTTTATATAAACAATATCTTTTGCGATAAAAATTCAAATATAATTTCAATTAATAATATATTTCACATTACAAATTATTAATATACAACAAAAGTCAAATATAATATTTCATTGAATTAGAAATAAATTCAAAACCAGACCAAAACATTATTACATTTTACAATATCATTAAAAACAATAAAAATTATTGTCATTTTAACTGATTTTTATTTAAAATATCTCAATTTTTCAATTAAACAAGTTGATATAAAACAACTTATTATTGTTTTGAAAAATTCTTTTATTATCAAACATTTTTTATATAAAATATGAAATGAAATAAATATTTAAACATTAACAAAAAACAAATATTATTATTAAAGCAAATTATTTATTATTCACAACAATCTTTTGCAATTAAAAACAATGGTTTGATTGTTTTTGTTGAGTGAAAACAGTTTGAGTAAATTTAAAACAAATATTTCAAAATGATAAATACATTCAACAACTTTAAAGCAAAAATCGATTATACAAAAATGATGTTAATTGTTAATTAATACACGTCGAATTATTTTTGCATCATTACAATTATTTATGATTGTTGTTTAAATTGACACATTTGCATTTTTTTCTTTCAAAATTCATTTAATTTTTTAATTCGGAATTAAAAAACAATTAAAATGATATATATATTGTTTTTATTCATTTTCAATGCTAAACCAAATAAAAATGATTAAAAAGGTATTTATTTTGACATTTTAAAATAATGTATGTCTTTTTATTTATTTGAAATTTTTGTTTGTTTATCTGTAAAACGAGATTTTTCATTATTGGTTTTGTAAATTAAAATATTTTAATTAAAAACATTGTAATTCAATTTGAGTTTCAATTGAATATTTCTAAAAATATTTTTCAATCATTTTGTCGCATTTTAAAAATATAATAATTTCCAAAATTATTAAAATGTTTCATATTTTAATCATCAATGAAATGTGATCAATTTACTATGCATTTAACAAAAAGAATGTATTTATCATTCATATTTTTGTTACATAGATATTTTGTAAATGATAATACAAATTAATTGTAAAACAATTAACAATTCTTGGTTAATGATGAGTGTATAATCAAAAAAATATAAATCCAATTTTTAAACTTAAGACAATTCTACACGTTTTTGATAATCCGTTTTTGAGTTTATTTTATTTTTATTTTAATTAAAACATACCCCCAAAATAATTAATTATTTTTTTAAATTGTATGGATCAAGAAAAATATAGAAATGTAGTATTTATTTTTATTTTAAAAACAAAAAGTGTTTATGTCATATTGGTTTAGTCTGTTATTTTTTATTTTTTAATGTTTTAAATTAAAGTTTAATAATTTATTAATTTATTAATTTATTATTTTTATTATTTTTTTGAAATGATAATTTTTTAATTTTTAATAGTTAATAAATAATACTTAATTAAAAAATTTCAATTTTTTGCGACAAATCATTTAAGCGAACAATCAATTATTGAGATATTTGTTGATAGTCTCATCCATCCGATTAATTACAATTTCATTATTCAATCCAAACTGCTTGTAAATATAGTCGTTAATCAGAATTCCCATTCTTTCAATCTCCTTTTTGTCGTGTCTTTTATTGTCGAAACTTATCGAATCGATCATTTCGGTGCGCGCATTCCCATTTTTGCCACCAATTGTAGTTGTCTCTGATTTATAGCCAAGTTCTCTCAAAAAATCAAGCATAAAATGTAGACTTTCGACGATCTTGTTGTTTTCTCCCCGTCGGATTGCTGTTTTCTCGGGCGTCCCATGCCGTATAGCGTATTCCCGTATCTCTTTCACCCGCCGTTGAATGAATCTGTTGAACTCGATGACATCGTTTCTTGCCCAAAACGCTTTAACTGTCAAAAACTGTTTCGCAACGATCGACTTTTTTCGAGGGGAAATGAAGGAAATGGAAAAATGTCTGTTGATTAAACCCACAAATACCGCTTGTTCATACACTTGATAATTACGAGTTTCTTGAAACGGATGATGGTTGGTCATTATATTATTTTTGAGTTTAACTTTTGTTTTGGTTTTTGTCTCGAAATTAAATAGAATTAAAAAAGTACAAATTATATTATATTGTGGTTCAAAATTTGTTCAGAAACACGACAAACCAAGAACAATGTTCTTATTTTATTGTAAAAGATTGTAGTTTTGGAATTGTTTTTAGAACCACCTTCAAGACAACACGTGATGTTTGTGGGCACAGTTATTTTGCATCTGTCATAATACAATTTGGCCTTTGTTTACAGAAAATATAGTCTGTCACAATTATACTCAAATCAATTCAAATCAAAACAACATTGATTATTTTGAAAGAGGTTTTAAACCAAGGCAGACTTAAACTTTTTGTTGTTGTGAAAACACCAAAATTGATTTTCATAACAGAAAACCATAAAACAAGTTTCACTGTATTTCAATAAAAAACTTATAAATAAAATGGTTTATAAAAATTAAATAATGAACTTTAATGTATTGATGAAGACAACTCTCGGTAGTAAATGGCAAACATCAAATTAATTTTTATCATTTGGTATGTTTAAGAGAAACAACAAAAATAACAATTATCATCAAAGAAAAATAGTTACATGTTATTTTGTGCATAATTGTATTAGTTTTAATAAATGAAAAATGCTGGTTGTTTGTTCCAAGTCACAAAATATCGGGACATTCGTCCCTAAATAAAATGATAAATAGTAACATGTTTCTTTTCGCTTTATTTTATTTATGGCATTATTTTAACACTCTATTGGCAAAAGTTGCAATATTGTTCTTTTTTGGTTCTTATAATAACAGAGGAGGTGATAAAAAATCACAAATGAATTCAAAATACCTGTAAACAAACCCATTTAAAAGATCCAAATATTTTTTCATTAGCCAGTTTTTCGAATACTTTATTTCGTGAAAAAGTTTCTTCTTCTTTTTCGTTGATGATTACCCTATAAAATGCCATTTTAAGGAAAGAAAAATTGTTCTAAAAATAATTTGCATCAGGTTTTTTTTGAAGACAGCCGTTTATCTGTTTTTTCTTTGATTCAAAACCCGTTTATTTATGTTGGTTAATATGTTATAATAACAAAAATAAATTGAAATTGCAGATCGAAGAATTATCACAACCCCAAAACCCCGATTTACACGTAATAGTTGTTGCCACGACACAAAAGCTAACCGAATGAATAAAAAAAATCAGACTCAAATAAAAAATAATAATGGAGCTATTTTAGTTCAAAAAGATAATCAATTTTGGATTAATTATTGGGGGTTAAATTGAGTTTTATCAAAAACAGTGTGTTATTTGTGGCCGTTGATTCGGGTTAAACCAGTCAACTTGCTCGTGTTAAAGGACATTTGTTATTCAAATTTGCTTCTAGGGAAATTATTTATTTTTATTTTTGTTTTTATCGGTTTTGGCTTCCAGAACGCAGGAATTTGGCTACAAGAAAATAAAAATTGGAAATAGGTATGAATGGTTTGTGAATTAGCCACATTTTTATTGTTTTAAGCACATTAATATTTAATCTTCATTTTACATTTCATCGTCGTGCTTAGACTGCGCTTTGTTGTTCCAAGCCATTTTATTATTTCTTTGTTTGTGAGTTGATAAAACTCAAAAAAATAAAATTTGATTGTTAGAAAGTTCAACAAGTTAGTTTTTATCAACAATCTTCACATTCGTTTTGATTATCCAACATTTCCAATTCTTCTTCTTTTCGTTTGAGAATGACGCTTAAATTGTCTATTCATTATCAAAACAACATATTTCCTTTTTTCCTTTGTGTGTGATTACACAGTCGATACTTTAAACACAAGTTGTTGTTTGATATATTAAAGGAAGTATAAAATCATTGCCATTTTTTCCTAAATTAAATTTTAGTAAAAAGAGTGGAATAGATATTTTTAGTTTTTAAAACCTGTTCAGTATTTTGTCAGTTTTCGAAACTGATATTTTCATCGTTTTTTTTCTTTTTTAAAAAATCCAAAAAGTTAATTCCAAAAAAAATCTGGTATTTATTTTTATAATTCGAATACAACAATTTTGTAATTAATAGATATAAAACTTCTACCAAATTAAAAATGATTTGATCAAAAACAATGACGTGTAAACTATAAAACGTTCTTTCTTGTGAAGAAACAACTTGAGCATTATTTTTGAGAGTATTCTTTCAGTGTAAAGATCGTGGTATTCGAATTCCAAGTGGAGGGTTAAACAATTATTACGGTTGTGTGAAATAATTATCTTTCGAGATTTAAAACAATACATTTCATTTTGTTATTTTTAAAAAAGAATAATATAGCCATTTTATTAAGTTGTATCTTCTGTTTTTATTTGTTTTACTTTAAGTAATTTTATTCAAGTTACTTAAAGCAGAGTGAATACAGATACCACCTTAGTCTCAAGTTGAAGATTTCTCGATCAACAGTGATCTAATTATAACAAGTGTCACTTTAAAATCCTTAACTTGTGACTTAAGTGAAAAAATAACAACCCATTTGAAGGTTGTAAGTAATGTTTTGAACATTGTCAATTTCCTATTAATTGGATATTGTTATAAATCTTTTCAATTTTATGTTAAACATGTGATTATTCTATTTTTAGTACACGACTATTTGAATAGAAGTACTATATAATATATTATAATAAATTTATATATTATATAATAATAAAATATTATAATATTTTATAATTTGGTTTATCAACTATACATTTATAATAATTATAGAATTGGTGGAAAAAAGTCCAAATCGATAAGAATAACTATATTTTATTGTAAACAACCATTTATTATTAGTTTCTATTTTTTTGTTTTTTCAAATTTTTTATTAATGTTTTTGAAATAAGACAAAATGTTTTTAACTTATAGCAACTAACGTTATAATTTACTATAATTTGCAAACAAGCTGGACTTTTTTCCACTTACTCTAATTATTCATTATTGTTGGTTTTTTTAATTGTATCTATTAAGTTTCACGACAACTCTTGTGTTGTTTGTGGTTTCTATTTTTTTTCTTCTTCTTGTACTCCATATTAAAATAATAAAAGTGCAAAGTCTTGGTTTTGTTGTCTAAGTCTTCACCATGAAGGAGTGTTAAAAATATTGCTTATTTTTTAAAGACACCAAAAATGATTAAGAGAGACACCGAGTGTTCAACAACATAGAAAAATATCAAGACGGGTTTCCAATATATTTTCTTATCAAATGTTTATTACTGTGAAATGAAGAAATAATGTCGACATGTTTAGACTTTCCCATTTGATTTATACTGAAATGGACTTTTATTATCTCCTTTCATTCAACTTCAATCAGTTGTTTTCGTTTAACTTTTTAACAGCAGTAAATGGCCAATAATTCATTGGATTATTAAATCACTAATGCAAAACATGTAGCTTTGTGTCAAAGAAATTGTTTTTGGGATTATTGTAAAACTATTCTTACTGCTTCACTCATAGCTTTGTCAATAAAATAACAATAGACTGATAATTTCTTTTATTTACAATTACAAAATTTGTTCTAGGCATTAACATTTATTCCAACTTTGTTGTTTCTATTGGTTTATATTATTAAACAAATTATTAATTATAATTCATTAAGTTTTTATTTCACTTGTTTCATTAACTACTTTAATATCAGAAATATGATTTTTATGAAACATATACAGATGAATATAAACGTAAATCTGTAAACTAAAAGTTATTCTAAATAAAACATTATTTAGTTTTAATATTGTATTTTCAGTTCTTGTTTGATGTAACATTTATAATACATAAAAAGTTTCCACGTCTTTTTTTGTTTGTTATTCATATATTAAGTTTATATACATGAAAAAAGGTAATATTGTTATTTATATACATTTGGTTTATTTTGTGTAATGTTAAACAAAAATTTTAAATACGAAAGTTAATAAAAAAGTTTGTAAATATATATTATATACATATGATTCTCAACATAAAATTAAAAAATGAGAACACTAAACGTCAGTGTGGTTGCACAACTAATATCATAATATTAGGTTATTTGTTACAAATATTAAAATTCAATAAAATGTCAACTTTTTACACGTTAGTTACAAAACATTAAAACATTTCCAATGAAAACTAAATTTAAATAATTACTTTAGTTTAATTCAAAGTATGACGTATCGCTTGTTTTTCAATAAATAACTTTTTATCAGAATTTTATTTAATACGTTTTCTTATTTTAAAACCCTGTTTTTAGAAAAACTTATTATGTATAGTTTATTATACTATACACAAGTTTTTGATATAAAAAGAAAAAAATTAAACTTGAAAAAAATAACAGGAAAAGTCGTCAAGTTTTCCTCACAGAAAAAGTGAACCTTTTTTCAACAAAAATACGATTTTAGGTCAAAATTTACTATTAATTTATAGTAAATTAAATTATTTTTTACTATTAATTAATTTTCCTGGTATTCCCCATGGTTGTAAAAAGTTTAAAGCGTTTTTTGCATTATTTCTTTCTAATATACACTTAAAATGAATAAGATATAAATAAGTTTACATTTTTTGGAAATTTCGATACTGAAAAGGTTAAACTTAAAAATGCAAACGATAATATTTTTTCTATAAATTTGTTTTTTTAATAAAATAACATCATACCAAATAACAAAAACAGCATTTCTGGGAAATAAAAAATTTTACCCGAAAATTTTGATAAAAGATATGGAAAATGGAATGTTAAACATTAACAGATTGACATTTGTTATAAATTAGTTTTCCGATATCATGAAACGATTACTCCTCTTCACAACTGTCAATTTTAAATAAATTATATTAAAGACATTTAATTGTATATAAGATTACATTAGAAAGTTTATTTCAATCTGCTACTAATAAATATGTATTGTGTAGAAACAAATAATTTGTTTTCACCTTTAAATATATCAAAGTTAATAAATTAACATAAGACCTGGTCAAAGAAAGCTTAAACGACATTAAAACATATTCCCCTTGTACTTACAGTTGGGCAAATTTACCTTAGACATTAATTTTTATTTTTACTGGGAAAGTACTTGTTATTTTCCTTAAAAACACGGGTTTTTAATAAAAAAACAAAAAAAGTATTTTTTTAAAAGAGGCTATTAAATATGTACAGTTTATTAGTTTAATATAACGATAGCAAAATAATATTTTTTTAACTAAGGTTCGTTTGCTGCGCGAAGGTTTGATTGCCCAGCTGTAATTCTTTTCCGTGGGTTGTTATTTTTTTATTTTTATTTGCATTGGAAATTATGGGATATAAATCAAAAAACTGAACAAATTTATTTCATCACACTAAATTATTCAAAAAACTACATTTTAAAAACATAATATTACAAAAATAGTGAAACATAATTACCCCTGGAAAAGGTACAAGTACAAAAATAATACAATTATTTAAGAATAAATTATAACATCAAATAAAAATAAAATTTTTGTTGAGGAATGTACTGTTGTCTCCAACAATAACACTGCCAATGTTCCTACTGATCTGTCGTCCCATTACTCGAATTTGGTCACACGTGAAAAGAACACTGTTGTTCATATAATCGACGATCTGGGCATCTCCAACAATTCCATCTCTCTCATCTCTTGCACCAGTTACCACTATCCCATTCATAAAAAGTATATCCTCTATAAAATGAAATGCTTCCTTTCTTTTGGTTGGTTGCATTCTACGTTTTATTGTTTCAAGTTTAACTCCTTCTTGAGACAAAATCAAAGCAAAACTGTCACACCTCTTCTTAACAACTTTCTGAAGATCAATTATCTCATCCCCAATTTTTATTGTTTTAACTTTTTGAAATTGTGTAGTTACTCGGGCCTGTTTACTTGGTTTGCGCACCGTCAATTCACACCGTTGACATAATAAAAATATTAATACATTCTGAAGATCAGCTTGAAAAGAGACTGCTTCCAACGTCTTTGTTTGTGAATTTTTCTTATTTTTGACCATCTCAATCGACATGAATGTGCTTTTAAAGTTCTTTTTTAACTTATTATATATAAAAACAGTTTAAAGGTGCTTAGAAAATTGATTAGGATAATGCTTAAAATTGTGTCATGGTTTCCTTTTCCAACCATCCTCACCTCAATAAAAATGTTCCAAAAAATTCTTGCTTTATTATACAAATAAACAATTAAAATGCACTTTTGTTATGATCCAATCAAATTGTGTTTTTTGATTTACCTTCGTTTTCCAATTCACACTACTTTATGCCAAAAAATACACTATATAATCTAAAACTTCCCAAATTTAATTTTCTTTCTCTAAAAAATGTACAATTTTCAGTTGATACTCTTTTGTTTCATTTTTAAAAACTAAAATAAGTTAAGAGTAATTTAATAAATTATCAATTCAACTCAATACCATCAAAAATCATCAATTCAAAGGCCTTTGTGTTAACTTATATACAATAAATTTGGTTTTTTGGTCAACAATAATTATTTTATGGAGAATAATTATAATCAACCAATTTTTTCTCTTGTTTCGTATTTTTTTCTTTTGTAATTGTAAAACAATCGTTTAAAAAGTTTTCAATAACTTTTAAAGATACTTTTGATAACAGAAGTATGTTCATGTGAGTAACAAATTAACATGTTCATATAATGAAAACAAATTTCATTATACCCATTTTTTAATCAATCAATTGTTTTATTTAAAATGAATTATATTAAAAATTGTTGATTTTTTACTTTTATAATTAGAAAAAACATTGTATTCCTTATTGACAAATTATTCCCAAAATTGAACATTGTAATTGACAATTATTTGTGACAAACATGTTCACATTTGTATAAAATTTGACAAACACATCCAAAAGAAGATATTCCTTAATATTTGTTTTCTAATATTAGCAACAAATAGAATACTTATTCCAAGAATATTTCATATTTTTAATAAACAAAAACGTTTGAATGACGTTATATTTTGATGAATCCCATATTACAAAGAATTCTCAGTGACAAATTTTAACAATTGGCTGTTGATTATTATTCTTTGGGGGTTGTCTTCGGTGACAAGATATTGTCAAGTTAGAAAATTTAATTTTTATTTTAATACTCACTGTGATAACTCTTTGGTGATAAAACATTGGTGAGAATAAGTTATTGCGTGTATTTCTCAAATGATTAAAAACAAATGAAAAACTAAGTGAAAACAAATGATAAAGTTAATCAAAATTACTCATCTTTAACCAATTGAATTCTTTTCACAAGGAAAGCAGTGACTACCAAGATGACATCTATTGTTCCCAAAAAGACGGCATCAAAACAGACTTTAGGCGTGAACACTCTAAATATCTCCAGGTGACCTGACACAAAGTATGTGAAGAACATGATCGAGACCATTTGCCACGCAAAGAACCCAACAACAATCAGTGTATTTTTCATATAAGTTTCAATTCCGTTTTTCCTTTGTAATGAAACGTAAGCAACAGCCAATACTACAGAACAAGGGAAGAACATAGTGTTGAACAGGATGAGAATTCCATTGAGAAGAATTGAATAGAATGGAACACCCACAAATCCAGCGTTGAATTGAATTGAGCTGAATTGGACGTTGTGTGTAGTTGTGAAAAAGAAGTGTATTGCAAAAAACACCAATTGAAGTGCGGAGGTGTGAACATCGTCAAATACATTGAACGAAAACAGGACAACATAAATCGCCAAACTCGTTGCTCCAGTATTCGGTAATAACACCGCCGCAATGGGAATGCATGCATAAATATATTCACTCACTTGTTTCTTCTCGATAAAACTCTTTACAATCGACACAATCGACATCAAGTAAATAGCATTCGCAAGTGTTATACCACAAACAGAAGTTGGGGTCGGGCTCAGTATTTGGAAGACACTTGCCAACACACACGCAGTTGTTAAAATGTACTTTTCAGACGACACAAAGAAGATCACAACGGGGAGACCAATGAGTCCAAAAATAGAAGGGACGCTCTCTATAAATGGTATAACAGTCAACACTCCAATTTGCATTGCAATTTGTGTGGTATTCAATTTGCCTCTCGCTATCGACAGATACAGTAGAAACATCGAAAGCACTTCACCAAAGAAGAAAGAGGTGTAACTCTCCTCCTTAATAAACGAGTCTGTGTACTGCCCAAGTCCATATAATATCAACACAACTACACTAACCAAAAATTCGCCTTTAATGCTGCCTACTAATTGTACGCCAGTTAATACATACTTGTTAAATTGTCTCGCATACGCTGAAAAAAAAGTGATCTCCGCACCAAGTGACATGAAGAAGATGTACTGATCAATTTTACCCATCTCAAGGGGATATATCCTCTTAAGGAAAACTGCAGGCACCATACCGAGTATGACTCCGTGGAACACCTTTTTGATGTCAACATAGAACTGCGGGTATCCGACAACATAGAGTAATATCACAAACATCGACAAAACCATTATGATAATACCACACATCATATAATTGAATTTGAATGTTGCATTCTGCTTGACAAAAATCGTGTGAAGCTCTTTTGAAAAGCTTTCGTGTTTCTCCATAATCTCAAAAAGAGTGTCCAATTCCTCAAAGTGCTCCAGTTCCTCCTGTTGAATACCTTTGTGTTTTTCATTTTCTCGGTCTATCCACTCCACATCCCTCTTGTTCTTCTTCGCATTCGCATAAAAGAATTGCATCATCTGTGTTGTCGTCAAGTTGAGTGCATTGACATACATCTGCACACCATCTAAAGTTTTCACTCTCCCCATAAAAACGTCTCTAATAGGGGTTCCCGTGTTACTGAATGGTATAGGCAGCCCAAGGCCAAGTGTAATAGTGGGTACAATATCTACTTGATTCACACTTCCTGTCTCTTTAATTCCGCCTTCTCTTGTTCTACTGTCATATAAATAAAGTGCAGCATCTAGCTCTCTGACAGTGTCTCCTCCATGATTTCCTTCTTCAGTCACTCCGTGGTCTCCAAATATAAGAGCCAGGGTTTTACTTTTCGAGTTTGAGATCTTAGTCAACGAATCCTCCAAGACTGAGTTGATTTCTTTAAGTTTGTCCTGCATGACTTGGTGGTCTGGTTGGTAGTAGTGGCCGATATGGTCGACTCCCAAGAAGTGGGTTATAAGCAAATCAAAGTCCTCATCCTTTTGGTGTTTCTCTAGTGCCTTTTTACATATCAAATCAACACTATTCAAGTCGGCGATATCGAGCGACGGCCCCGTGGCAATTTCGTCGAACATATTTGGAAACATGTCAGTCCACAACGAATCGCCGGAGAATGCGACTCTCAGTCCGTTGTTCTTTGCTTGAGATATGAACGAGTCTTCGTCAACTTGGACGTTATTAAAAGTGTTTGAAACTTCGATAAATGCAGGCACAGACCCAGTAGTCATAGCCAGTACTCTTTGTGCTGTTGTAGTTGGTGGGTCTGGGATGAAGTGATACCTCCCTGTTTTTTCAGGGTATTTCTCAGAAAAAGTGTTGAAGACGGGCATATTATTGTGATACAACTTAAGGTCTTTAGTCGAATTAATCTTCTCAAAAAGAGGTGGATAGTCGGCGGAAAACGCAAAATCGAAGCGGAGAGCGTCGACTAAGTACACCATTGTCTTATCAAATAATGGAGTTGTCCAACACTTTTCTGGTGGGTGTTTTAATGAGTAGAGTGTGTTGGTCATTATCTCATCAGAGCACTTTGATTGTGTTGGGACACGAATTGACGTGATTAAAAATCCAGACGCGTACAAGTAAAGAGCGCAAATGTGGAGAAAAAGAACAAAAAAAGTAAGGAACACATAGTCATACCGGACAGATATCATTGTTCTTAATTAATTAGTTAACAGTTTTTTTGTTTCGTCTTTTGGTGGGTTTTTTTATCTTAACCATTCTATTTTTTACTCGACAATTCATATCATTCTATCTAAGTGGAAAAAGACAGGAATGTTGCATTTTATTTATTAGTTATCCTACTCTTTAGCAGTTTATTTCAAAATTACTCTAGAAGGGTTCTTTTCAGGAAATAACCGAAACTATTAAGATTTATCCTTGAAAACTAAATTAAATTAAAAACAGGGTGAATATTTGGTGGGTAACCCACTATTTTATTGCTTGTTCGATTCGCAAATGTTTTGGTTTGATATTTATTCGAAAAAAAACAATAAATTTGTCAAAATTAAAAAAAATAACTGTTTTTTAATTCGCAATTATTGGTAACTTATTTTAGAAGCAACTTGGATATCGACCTTCAAGTTTAGACGATAATATTTAGTGCAAATAACAAAAAATATTCAACGAATTTTTATATTGATATTGAATTTAAATAGAAAAACTTTAGCAATCAAGCAATTTTTTATGTTTTTAAGTTCAATTAAATACACTAAAAAACAACTTTTTTTTAATGTTTTCAACTTTATCTAAAAATAAAATTTATTATTTTTTCAAAAAGTTAAGACTATAATAAATATAGATGACCCATTTAACAGGGATATACAGCCAATGTTTGATGATTTTCCCTTTTTAGATAGTGTACTTTAATAAGAATAATAAACTTTTGATATTCAGGAAAATTATTTTATACACTCAAAATTTCCTGATTTTTATATTATTTAAATTTCATTTTATGTCATTTGAAGTGTAAACAGTATAATAAATTATAACAATAATAATATACAATTCAACAATTTATTTAATACTAAATTAATAATATTTTTATTTATATTTATATTATTATATTTCTTTCAATTTTAATTATAATTAACCAATTTATTTACTATTAAATAAATTATGAAATAATGTTTCCTGTTTTTGATCAAAATGCATTTTTGGGGTTCTTAATATTATAATTTACATTGACAAGAATTAAAAATACATTCACTCAAATTATTTTTTTAATTGATTGTCAAGATTCAATGTCTAACCCTATAACGAGAAAAAGCAAAAGAATGAAAAGACGTGCAAATGCCATGGAAGAGGAAGATGAGAAGTTTTCAGATGATGAAAACAATATGGACCCCAATGCAATGGAAGAGATCAACGTCGACCTTTTCCTTGAAAACCAAAGTCAAAACGATTATTCTGAAATCGTCAATTTTTTGATTCACTCTTCCCTTAAATACGTTGGGATGAACCTCTACGCGTTGACAGACGTTTTATTAACGACTGAATGTGGTTCGATAATCAAAACCGAAACGGACAAATATGGCATTGCGATTCCTCTCGAGCTCCAGAAAATGCCATCTGATATAGTTTCTCCTCTTTCCCATTTCATTACCGAGACCTTCAAAACGAGATGTCCAGAGAAACTTCAATTAGTCCAAAACGTGTTGAGTGGAGCAGATGGGAGGACGGTGTTCATAGTTAATGAGAGGTTGGTCAATTGCCCTTACGACTTGACTTCGTTGCTCCACAACACGATCTATGAGGAAATTGGTATTTACGATAAAGAGCATAACATCACAGAACCAGTCAAACACTTCATATTATTGGCGTCTGCGGTCATTGGAGTTGACAATGGAGAGGAGGATGACGACGATGGCGCAATGAAGCGAAAAAAGAAGAAAGTCTCAAATTCACAACAACTCGAGTATGTTCTGATGGAAAATGAAGTCTATGCAAAATATGCGGAAGCAATTGCGACAGTTAAAACACCCGGAAAAGATAGATGGACGCTTCCTGGTAAAGTGAGTGATTTCACAAGTGTCATCATAATCAACAGGGATAACGTTCAAAAAATTTTGGATGAAATCGCCTTGTTGTTTGGTGTTTCGAAGTTTGAAGAGCAGAATTGATTTGATTTTTTTAATTTTTTAGTCAAAGTCCTTTGAGACTATAAAAAAAGAATTATTATTTTATAATTAATATACTATAAAATATAATACAATCAAGTAGTTATATTCGAACAAATAAAAACAGTGAAAGTTGTATGATGGAAGTCATCATTAACAACTACGGAATTATACATATCACAACAGCTAATAATGTTAAACAAAATAAAATGGAGGAATGCTCTTCTTCATCTTCAAACTCAATACAGTCACATGACGAGACCTTCGACTTCCCTTCATTTTCGGTCACAAATTTCAAAAAGATGGAGAGGGCACTCGAATTTACAGAGAACGCGTTTAAGTATTTTCAGCCAACACTTGACCCACAGATGATGTCGTACCTTACACATTGGAGCGACGCCTCAAACTTTCGACTTGTCTATAATTCTCAAGGCGACGGGTTACAACGTAAAGACATTGTTAAAAAGATGGCAGGGTTACAAAGGTATGTCATTGTTGCAGAGTCGACTGACATGTTCTTTGGAGGGTTTTACTCCTCTGTTTTTCCAACAGCTCCATCCTTCAAAGCAGATTTTGTTACAAGGAAAAATCACTTCGGCTTTATACTGAACAAAAAAGATATGGGAAATCCTCTTATCTTAAGGCCCAAAGAACTTAGTACGCGACTTGACATGTCTCTGATCATACCAGCACTAGACGAGTATGTCAAAGAATCAATCATTTCAAAGGACTTTTTCGTCATCATGTCGGATAAGAGATTCATGTTTTTGGATACCATAGAAGATGCCTATACGCTGTCAAACAACACTGTGTTGTTCAGTCACGAAGGTTTTATCTTGACTGTGTTTGGTTTTGAATGGATTTGATTTTGTGTTTTTTGTTTTATCGCATTGCGTTCAGTCAACCCACTCAATAATGTCACTTTAACTATATTTATAGTTAATTTTGTTATATTTTATAATATAATTGAAAATAGTTATCGCAACCCTGTTTTTTGTGATTTTATTTTCATATTTTATTCGTTTCTAAACACAGAAATGTTATCACAACAATGCGATAAAATAAACAATCAATTTAAAAACACTTTCTTCTAAGAAACGATAAACCGAGAGTGGTCCAACATCGACTTGGTCATAATCGATTGATATAGCCACTCTAACGCAACACACCCATGCATTATCCCAATGTCATAATCAGCGTCGTCGTTGGTGATTTTGCCACCACACAATTTAATTAAAGAAATGATTAAAGTGCGTTCAGTGACGCCACAATACCCAACACGAAACGTTAATCCATGGAAAATTCTTAACTTGCGCTCAGGTACTGGTTTTCCGTTTGAGAAAGTGCAACAAAACCACCGCTCTTCAACAGGACACTTTCGTAGTAATGATTCCTCAATCCACTCTTCGTTCAATATCCAACATCCACGACAGATCCCCATCATTGCTTTAATGGTTTTTTGTGAGCTCTTTGAAACCACGTGTGTGGTCATACTATCAACCGACTCAACTGGAAATACATGGGGTAATTCAGTCAATTGTTCTTTCAATTCTTTTTCCTCGTCTCTGTCGAACCCCGTGAGACAAACGTAAATTTGTGACTGGTCGTCTCTTTTTAGGACTTTTGTGAGCTTGTTGTGTTTCACCTTTTCGTTCGTTTCAGTTGGTTGGTGTACATTAACCACCACCTTTTGTGAAACCAACTCGTTTTTTTGTTTCGCACCAACTCTCTTCTTCAAATACTCTCTCTGTATTTCGTCTGCTAAAAACATCGGTTGTTTCAGTTCTTCTTTTTTTCTCAGCTTCATTCGACTTTTTGGTGATGTTTCTATTTTGTCAAAAGTGTGTGCAATAACAGCCGATTTGTCTCTTTGTATTTTCGTTTGTTTCTTGTCTTTTTTCTCCTTCTTGCGGCGTTGTTGCGCCTTTTTAATCGGTTTCTCCCCTTTTGTTGGCAGTTGATTTGTTTGACTTGTTGTGTCACTAAATTGCACTATTTGTGAAACACTCTGTGAGTCATTTTTTGTCTTTATGATGCCATTGTCGAGTTCGAAAATATTTGGGCAACCACTTTGACTCTCATTCTCTCCTTCTTGTATCCCCAAGTACTGTTCATACCTCTCCGCTCGTTGGAGTGACTTCAATGAGTCGCCCAATTCGTTGAGTAATTGAATTTGTGAGTCTTCCTGGATACTCATAAATACATTTCTTTGTTCCTTTTTATTGTTGCGTCGGTATTCTTATTAATTTCTTTATAATATCATTACTACAATTTTAATGTAAATAAAAACCTCAATTATATGGAAATAGCAAATTAGAATTAAATGAGTGTGGTTTTAACATACAAATCACCAAAACCTTCACCTTTTGGAAGACCACAACCCTCAATAAGGTAATTCGCGTCTTGGACAAAAAACATAAAACTGTGAGAGGTGCCATCCACCATTTTAATTTCAACAACCTTTGTCTTGTCTTTGAATTTTGAATCAAATTCGATAGAAGTGTAAAGATCGGCTCCTTTTCTCTTAAACACCGGGTCTGTCGTTGTAACTTTCATCTTATATATCACGGGTTCTATTTTTGAGTCAACAGTGACTTCCTCGCCTTCTTCAATTCCTTTCGCAATTGGTATCATAAACTTCTCCCCATCAATTTCAGTCTGTACATTCCCACCTTTCATCACCGTTAGAAGTGGAACTTTCAAAATGCATTTCTTGACCTTTTCTATCGCTACTCGTATCACAACATTCAGCGGCTTTTCCCCAAAAATGGTCGACCCTTTCTCTTCAAAAATGAAGTCAGTGATACCCTTTTTGACTTGCTCGAGATCAACAGAGAAGATGACCGGGTCGTGTGAAACCGCCATGTTTTCCTTGATGATCAGTCTAGTAATCTCAACAGCAAACTTCCCTCCAGCTTCCAAAGTCTTTTCGCTGATTCTTAAAGTGTATGTTTCAGTCAATTCAAATGTAACAAAGTTCTTCAGTCCCCGCTCCATCACGTCCAATATTTTTCGGACCACTTGTGTTTTTTCAAATACGTTCTGACTCAGTTCTTCTCGTCTTTCTCTTGGCGTGTCGTCTTCGAAAAGTTCGTCGAAGTTTGGCTCCATTGGTTTCAGAAATTCCAAAGGAAAGTTAAAGTTCACAGCATCACTTTTGGTACCAACTAATAAATTTGTGGAATTCAGGTTGATTGGACTATTGATGGAAACTTGGGGCAATTCCTTTCCTAATTGAATTGTTTCATCTGTCACTTGTTTGAACATCGTGTCAAGTACTTCTTGGACTTCTTTATTGCCTTCCGTCTCGTTTTGTTTGACTTTTGGTGATTTGTCTCTCTTTCTTTCGATTAGAATCGATTTTTCCAATTCAGCAATTTGTTCTTTGTATTTCGCGTTTTGCGACAAAAGATTGAGGTTTTCCTCTTGCAATTTTATAAAGGAGTTTTCCATTGCGACAAAATTTTCAATTGTTATGTTCTTTTCTGTGATTTCTTTTTCAAGACATTCTATTTCAGACAACAACTCGTTGTTTTCAGCAAGTGATCTTTTGAGTTGAAAGTCGATCTCGTTTTTTTGTTTGTTTAATCTGTCATTGAGGAGTTGGAGTGGTGTTGGGTTGGTCCATCTTCTCTTAAATTCATCAAAAGTTATTTGGTTTTTAATCTCGAGTATCTGTTTTCCATCTGTCAGTCCAAAGTTGTTTTTGTCGAAAGTCTTCAGACTGATTTCAAGCTCTTCAAAGATAGCCTCAGTTTGTGAAATTTTTTCCAGCTTCTGTTCGTCGGATGTGCTTCCATCAAATAAGCCAAAAATCATTGCGATAAAAAGACCAACATCTTCCAAGTAAAAGAGGCGATCAAACATAAATTTAGAGTAATGCAAAATTGTTTTTGCATCATGGTAATAATGGTTCTTTTCAATATCTGGTTCATCTTTCATGTGGACAAAGCAATTTTTCAAAAACTCAAAGTCTGTTGTACTTATTAAGTCGTTAACTGCGTTTTCAAAATATTCAGAAATGCAATAGTTCATCATTTTTGGTATGTCACGAATGACTTCAGACGACACAATGTGACACAAAGGAAAAGCTCTTTTCTTTGTGAATACAGAAAATGTTGTGTTGAACGTGTCAACCAATTCGTTGACAAGTTCAAATCCAATGCTAGGTGTGTTTTCATCACTCGAACAACACGTGACAATCAGCTTGTATGTTCTGACAAGTGGAGTCAGTAAATCATTGTTCATTGTGTTAATGAACTTTTAGTGCTTGAATAGTGAATTCTTAATAAAGTGGATTTGGAGGTTATAAACATACTTATTCTTTTGCTAAATTGATTCAACAAAATTCACAACAAGTTTTGGATTCTTTGGTATAAGTTTTCCCATATTTTTCTGATAGTAACAAACTAACAAATTAAAAAATGAAACACTGACATACTTTTTATAAAAATGATGTAAAATAGTTCATTAGTTTGTTAGTAGTTTTTACTATTATATTATAAATAATTATTAATAAATTATTAATTAAAGTCCTAATATACTTATTAGATAATAATTTATTATTTAATAATTAAAACCAAAAAAATAATTAATATTGTTACAGACAGACTGAACACAAGTCAAAAAATCACCAATAATGAACAAAGTTGTTTTCTTCAATAAAAGACAACCATGCCGGTTTCAGAAATGCGTTGGAAGGTATTTTCAATGTTTTTTGGTTTAACAACGAGTCGAAGAAACATGAATTTCCAAATTTTGGAAGTTTCTTAGAAAAGTTGATTTTTGATAATTTTGAACATCTAAAGAAGCTTTCATCTTCAATCTTTTTGACAGCTGGAAGGTCAATTGTTTCAAGAGATGAACATCCAAAGAAAGTACATTCTTCTATTGTTGTTACTGTTGATGGGATTGTAATTGTTTTCAATGAAATGCAACCAGAGAAGCATTTTTGATTGATCAACACAAGTCCCTTGTGTATAATTACTTTTTCGAGGGACTTGCATCCCAAAAAACAAAATTTGCCTATCGAAAGGACGTTCTTTGGAATTTCAATTTGAGTTAGAGAAACACAATGGACAAAACAGGAGTCATTCAATTGCTTAAGTAACATTGGAAGTTTGATTTCTGATAGTTTACAACAGTTGAGAAAACAATAATTGCCAATTGAAAGGAGTGTTGAAGGAAGTGAAACACTTTGTAATGATAAACAATTGTCAAAACACATTTCTCCAATTGAAGTGACTCCATTTGGTATATTAACACTTTTGAGAAATTCGTTGTGATAAAAACAGTTATTTGCAATGGATTTTATTGTCAGTGGTACCACATTACCAAACAAGTTTCTATCCTTTTTAGAATAATTTACTTTTTTGTACTCTACATTGTCATCCGAATTTTGAGTATCTTCGTAATTGACGGGATACAATACAACCTTTTTGAAGAACTTTTCTTCGTTAAAACAGTAATCTTTTGTTGTATAAATGACCAATGTTTCAATTTTTGGGAAGAAATACCTTGTTCTGACATTCAATGGAATCGGGTTAAAATGAAACTTATCAAGTGTGTCTTTATATTTTTTACATACAAGTATGACATTGATAAAGTCTTTGATTGATGTAAAATACTTTGAGACAATCATTAAGCTGTATCCATCTAATTTTTTCATTGTAACCAAATGATTTTACAGTAATATGTCTTAAAAACACTCTTAGATCTTCTTCATAACATAAAGTTAATGACTTTCGAAGTCTATGTTGGAAATACAAGCGAAAATGTTTTAAATTTACAAACAAGAAAAATATAATAATTTAGTATTGCATAATTTAAAAAAAAATGAACAAAATGAATAAAAATAACGAATTAGATTAAAACGACTAGAAGCATAGCAAGCATGATGAAACTCATGAAAGCTCCAGAAGTGTTTGTTTCAAGTTTTATGTATCCAACATCTTCTTTTAAACATTTGAAAAGAGTTTGATTTTCAGTTGAAATTACTTTACCTTCACATTTGTTGTCTTCATACAAAGATGTCACTACCTTATCAGATTCCACTTTTGATTTTTGGTATTTACCAGGAGTATCACTCAAGACGCATCCTCCTTTGAAATACAATGGAACGGCGTATACTCCACTTGGGTTTATACAAGTTTCAACAAAATATACTTCTCCGAAATAGATGTGAGAAGGCAATCGTTGTATTTCTTTAAAATCCTTCGCACCTTCTTTTTCTTCAACCATTTTTTTGCAATCATCACCAAGAAACAGAGTTAAATTATTAGGAGTTTGAGCACTGTGTTCAAGTCTTGCGAAATCGCTATCACCATATTTGTAACATTTCCCAAGCTCAATTGCCGTATAATAGTAATTACCTTCAAGGAAGCCATAATCAGCAAGGGAGAGCGCAAATAATGTAAATAGAAGAAGAGCAAATTTCATTTGATTTTTGAGTGATCGACACCTTTATTAATACCAGGAACATCTTCAAAAAATGACATATTATTTTTTATGTCATAAACACATTATTATATGTTAAAACATGATAATAATATGTTATAATAATAATTAATAATAATTTTTTTGAACAATAAAAGGTTGTTTATGAGAAAAGTTATTTCTTTTTGATTTATTTAAAAAGTCAAATTAATTGATTATCAATTAACTTTAAAAAGCATACATTGATAATGATGTCAAATTTGTAAAAAATATTAAAAATATTTTCTATGTTCAAAAAGTAATGTAATTATAATGTTTAAGTTAAAATGTTTTAAAACATTATAAAAACGTAAAAGATTTTTAACCAAACACTTTGATACAGACAACAGAGGATATGATAATGACCTCCACAATGTTTAGATCATTTCTTAAAATTGGTCAAATAGTATTGTAACAGTGTTAAAATATAAATCATATTAGATACAATTTTTGTAATTAAAAAGACCAACAATTTCGTACCTTTATTCATTATTTTAAAAGTAGTATATTTTATTATTTATTAAAGGGTTTCTTGAGGATAAGGTGTATCCTCAGGATTAAAGCTTTCCTTATTAAAAAATATTTTTCTGAGGATACAAAAATCAAATCCATAAGGTTCAGTTCCCCATAAGGCCCACTTTCATAACTCAAGTTATAAGTTACACTTAATATTTCGAGTCAAAGTTCAAATTTTAAATAATGGTAATAATTTGTCATAAATGCCAAAAAATTAAATACAATCAAAAAATCGCCACAATAATCAGTAAACAAAAACAATAATTATATCTCGCGAACTTGAGACGGGAAATAACAAAACGTGAAATAAACTTGTTCATATTATGATTATATACTTATTGAAATTATTTCCGAATCCGTCTTTATAACATAATAATTGAAATTTACGTTTAAATTGATAATTGTTTTTTTATCAAAATGAAAATTGAAAAAGTCGAAAACATTAATTTATAAAAATGCATTTTTTAAAATAACAAATTTATTAATAATTTTGTAATTTATGCAATTATTCAAATTTATTATAATAACAAAGTTAATCATATTGTGTATATTTTAATATGATTGTTTCATTTTGATATTAACTTGTGTTTTAAACAGATTTACAGTTCTGAGGATGGCAATTATATTCTGAGGATGACAGAAATAGAAAGTTTACACTTTTACATCTATCTGAAATGTATATTGAGTAAGTTACTATTTTTGAATATGGGAACACGTCATTTCACTTCTTAGATGTTTAAGTCTGTGTTGACAAAGTCTGTTTGTTACACGACTTACCATCCTCAGAGATATGTATAGCACTGCCACTTCTGATTTAAAATTCTATAAATAAAATTATCAAAGAATTTTTATAAAGTGGGTTTTGATAATTGATTATATCAAAAATCGTCAAAACACAACAAAAACGCCAATTAATATATAAAATTGATTATTAAATTGAACAAATTTCTATTGAGAATTAATATTGTATAATAAAAAAATAATATAAACATATATTTCTTGTGTGTATATGTTTTTAAAAAATAAATAAAAACGTTTAAAACAAAAATGATTTTATTTTAAAAATTTGTTTATTTATCAATCGTTGTTTCATCGATATCCAAAACCTCTCTTTTTGAATTTGCGCAAATACATAAATTGTCATCGCATAGAGTATACGTTATTAATACGTTATTTGCTATCAATTTTTATTGTTTGAAATATCATGAATTGATTTATAATAAATTATTTTTGTAAAAAAATTAAAAATTGTTCGATTAATTTGTTTTGTGTTTTTGATAAAAAAATTGACTTTTTCGATAATTTAAATGTCTGTCAAATGTTTTCATTTAAACCAAAGTTAGTCTTGTGGTAAATCAAAAAATAGAAGTAGATTATTTTTTTGTAAAAATCAACTGAAAGAATCATCTTTCAAAAAATCCATAAATAGCATTTTTAAAGAAAATCACGTGTTTCAAAATATACCTTTTTGATCTTAGGCAAAAAAATCTAAATTGAAAGAAATTATGTTTAAGATATTTACCATCCTCAGAAAAATTAACAATCCTCATGAATCCCTTAAGAATTGATTAATAATTGATTATAATAATGATTTTTAAAAATTATTATTATATAAATATATAACAATCCAATCACTCCATTACATAAAAAATACGACAAACAAATTATTATTCGAATTGTAACAGTAATCCACCAAGTGAAGATAAGTCTCCCTCGTTATATTCTTTGAGAAGTCTTCTTCACTTAGCGATTCTGTACTTGATAGTCCCAACAATTATAACAATTAGAAGAGTAATAAGAATCAAAGCTCCTATGACTGATGGTACTACTATTACAACGACTGTTTTAGTGTTAGAATCTTTAGGGTAGTCTTTTTTAATTTTATTTTTAGGGAGTCTGTAAATTGGTAATATGCCATCGTCTTTAGTGAATGTTAAATAGACGCTTTCTGGTACCTTACAAAGAACATACGAGTTGACAAAGTCAAACACAAATTTGTTATCGTCAGAAGAAGTGTGGACACATTCCAAATAAAGGGGTTCTATCCATAACTTAGTTTGCCCATTCTCTTCTGTTTCTCTTATTCTTAAAAAGTCATTAATAGGATATGTACTTGCCTCTGTGAAGTCGACTGTTGAATATTCACTAATTCCCATATATATGGCTGAATGGTTTTCTGCAACTATTTCAGTAAATTTGACAGCGTCTCCTACGATATACCCAATCGTGAAACTTTCATCTCGCCCACCAATTGAGTCATTGTATTTGACTGGCATTCTAAACCCTAAATTGTCTTTTGCTTCATCGATTTTTTCATTAAAATAATTTAACAAAGGATATTGACTTCCCATGACCTTCGCACGTCCATCTATAGTCCCAAATATTGCAGTTGACCCACACGCATAAAATCGATCATATTGTATCATTTTTAAGTCGTCTAAACTCCCTGCAGCTTCCAACTCAAATTCTTCATATTTGGTTGATTTGTCTCTGTTCAATGTCATCACTGTCAATGGAAAATCAACACCACTATAATCTACATATTTATCCTTCCCAACAAATACACAGTCAGTGATAAAGGTCGATATTTCTCTATTGAAAAATTCAAAGAAAACTGGAGCTCGTTGTGTGAGTTCAGCTGCAATGTATTTCACATAAAACACTTTAATAGAATCTTCATAATTTGGAGTAAGAGTCTTCACTGAACTTTTCACCGGAGTGTCTGCTGTTGCTCTTTTTAGTCTAAACGTCTCTGCACGTGGCAAAGTCCTTTCATTAAACATGAAAACATTAGTCAACATGCTTGCTTCATCACAATGAACAAACTCGGGACTTAATATCTCTGCACATCCGACTACTTGACTGAGACACTCATAGTCATCATCAGTATTTGAATTCATTTGAGTCAAATCAATTCCTTTGATTGCAGTACACTCCTCTGGAGTGATATCAAGAACACTCACAAATCGCTTGAAAGAGTCACCAATATCACTTACATTAGCCGGTCTCTTTACATTATCACCAATACCACATCCTTGATTTTGTATAGCACATTTGGTAGCTAATTGGGGACACTTTGAAAGAGCTTCTTCTTTAGATTTGAATACCCACCGATCGGTTTTAACATCACAAACATATCCCTCACAATTGGGATTGTCATCTTTTGAATTGAAATGTCTTCCATCATATGCATAACAGTAGTTGGGATGCGCAGGATCAAATTCAAACTCAACTGATTTCGGCTCTCCCAATGCAACTGCAACGCTCATTTCCAACTCTTCCAAATTGTATCTTGCTATTCTGCCATTGTCATCAACATTTGCCACACACAAATCAATAAAAAATATCAATTTGACATTCAGTTGGTGTATAACACCCAGAGCTATCTGCAGGAAATCCATCAATTAAATGAATATCAACTGGACATTCAGAGAACTGTGCTATATACACTTTGGTCGTTGAATATGTTTCGACACACAAACCTCTTGTGTTGGTTTGAATTAATAAAATTCCATAAAACAGTTGGAAGAGACCAAAAGTGGTAGTCATGGAAATACTGTGTGACTTCGGTCATTGCAAAAGACCTCACATTTAACTCTATTTTTTGCTTATCAGTCAAATTCATATCCACATTATTTAAAAAGTCGAACATACAGACAGGCTCTTTTCCCATATATGTCGACTTTCTATCTCTGAATGTGTTGCATTTGCCTGGGGCACTTCTGTTACAACAAGGATCACTATTAAAGTTATCAGTGTCTTCAAGATACTTGTTACAGTATTTCCACTTTGTAGACACTTTGGATGTTTCATCAAAGAATATGTAATCAACCATAGGAAAACAAAAGTATCCTTCTATGGAGAAAGTCATGAAAGTGGACACATCTATTCCTTCACTCCACATGGTCGTCGACAACACTTCTTCCCAATCTTTCATTGTCTCTGTGTATTCTTGTGTAAACCCAGTGTTAAACATACGTTTACATATGTCTAAGTCATAGTCTATAAATACGTTACCCACTATGGAATAAACATTACTGTCTTTATTTTCTCCTCCTTTCTATTTGTGAGTTTGAATTATATCAATATATTTTTAAATTACAAACAATTTGTATTGATGTTAAAGTTCTCCCAAAAGTCGGTTTTGATATAATGGTGTTAGAAACAGGATACGACATGAACGCAACAAAAGCCTTTGTAGTGTCTACATCTGGTTCTTCCAAAAAAGAAAGTGTTTTTGTGTAATTAGTCAAAGGGAAGAATGCAGTGGTCCAGTCAATTATTTTAGTCGTTTGCCAGGTTGTGAACTCAGTGTTGTGTACTTGTATTCTTTTGTTGAAACAGACTCTGAAGCATCTTTAAAAGTAAGAACTAGTGTTGGTGCATTTGTCTCATCAGCATCTTTAAATTAATAAATTACACTTTTAAACGATTTCTAAATATATAACATTTTTTTCTATATTGAATCGGTGTTCTATTTATAATACATTAAATACACAAAATTTGACCACTTATTAACAGAACAAACATGTTGTTTTATAAGGTATAGTGGATGTCACTACCAACATTTCAAGGTTCGGAAATAGCGAGAGTGACGTTGTGAAAGTGTTACCTCTCACAAAAGGTCTGGTTGTATCTTCATTAATCATCAAGTCCAAATTAGTTTGTTCTTTAAAAGCAAACTCGACCGCTCTTTTGACTCTTAAATGTGTAGAGAGTGAAGTATCTTCCACCCATGGACTGATAGCCGACTTTGAGACGATAATAAGAGCAAAAAATATGGTTAGAACGACCATTGATTTGATTTGAAAGATTCCCCAATTCCAACAATTAAATGTTTTGATACCTATTTTGAATGAAAATCGAATTCCCAAAAGTGTGTTATTTTACACCTTTTGAAGTTTTGGGTGTTTTTTTATACTCAATACTTAATAACATCTTTTTAAATACACTTTTAAAAAAGTGAGTAACAAATTATAGGAATTCAAAAAAAAACAATATGAAGTATTTATTTACATTATTTTTAGTTTGTACAGCTTGGTATTGGGATACGTTGATATTTTTTTATTTAAAATAAAAATATAATATATCTATCAATAGAAATTGTTAAATTTTCGTTTTTGCCGTTTTATTATGAAAAAGTAGACTATATGAAGCAAAAGCATTTTAAATGGTTATGAAAAAAATTGTACAAAATACTTTAATAGCACTGTTTTTTTAGTAAATGAAATTGTAGCCAAGATTTTAATCAAACAATAAAAGTAGTATTTTTATTAATTGTTTTGTGTCTTTTAGTTTTGAAAATGAATGATGATGAAAAAATATTATAAAAAATTGTATTTTTTATTAAACTTTATTATTGAAATAATTTTTATTATAATATATATAAAAAATAACTATAAAATGATAATATAATTAAACAAAAACTATAAATTTTACTTACAAAAAATCTTTAGTTTTTAATAACAATAACAATACTTTTACTATTTAAATAAAACAAAAAGCACAGATACGATTTTTACCATATTTTTAAAATAAAGAACCATTTTATTTATAATAACATTAAAGTAGAATAAAGTATAAATTATCAACACTATAAATAAAAAACGCTTCTTTGTTTCTGTTAAACGAATAATTGTTTTTTTCTTGCCTTTATTTCATCACCATTATACACCTTTTTGTCTTTTGTTCTATCAAATTATTTCTTGTTAATCCATTTGAAACGTAATGACATCGTCTGCTTGATATGGTTTCTTTTTTCGCGTGTTTACAGTTTTCCGTTCATATTTCTCCCACATTCTTTATTTAAAATTTTGGTGTGTAAAGTACTTCTTTTATTTGTAATTGATTATTGGATTTTTTCAATAATATTTCGGCACACCCATATTTTTTCACTTTTTAGCTTCATCAAAATTTTGCTTTTGATATCACGCTTTTTGTCAATCGTCGTTGTCAGATGACTTTTTAACTGCAAAATTTGACTTTGAAAATATTGCGACAGTGTTGTATCTATCTCACAATTATACTTAGAAATGAGTTTTTGTACAAAGACAACCCCTTGTTTTTGTTCTTTTTTAATTCATAAATAGAAATTTTAGTTAAAATAATAACTAAAACAACAAAATCTAGTTTATTATTCAGATATTATATTATATTAATTATTTAAAGAATAAAGGCACTTTTTAAATAAATAAAATAATACAAATACAGATGTGGTACTAAGGTTTCGACCAGGACCATGGTTTCGACTAATATTTAATAATTTTTATACCATTGTAAAAACTAAATATTAGAAGTTATATTTGGACGATGCTTCAAAAACAAATTAAAAAATTGTTCATTACTATTCAAATAGTATTTAAATTATAAGTCGAAACCTTGGTACTCGTCGAAACTTTAATCCCACATCTGTAAATATTATTATTATAATATGATAACACTCTATTATTATTTAAATATATATATAATTAATTTTTCTATATTTTACTATTATATATTATAGTATATTATAATAGTAATTTATTAATGCAAATCAAACAGCACTTTAATTATATTGTTAATTAAAAAAAGTTAAATAATTTGATTAAAAATATTTATAAAAAAGTTAATAACGAATCAATTACTTATAATAATAAATAAAAGACTCAAATATGTTTCTTAGAAAATAAATTCTAAGAAATAAATTCTATTATGAACAAAAATGATTAAAATAACTAATTAATTTATTGTACAATGAAACGCAACGACAAACCAATCAAAAAAGTGTCATTGGTCAATCACAACACAACAACCGAAGAGTCTGCCGTTCGTACAATTGACTACTCCAAACTGCCCAAACACGACAAACCGCACTCTCAAACAGACAAAAAAGAATCAGAACCCCCAAAAAAGTTCGACAAAACAATCGTCAACCACATTCCAAAACCCAAAGAAGAGGATTTAGGTATCACCGGTTATGTCCGTAAAGGTGAGCCCGTGAAAGGGTTGTCCAAAACCCTAATTACTGATTTTCAAGTCCGTGAGGTTGGTTTAGATGGTCAAATAGCCGACATGGCTCCTCGGAAAGTGGAAGTTCCTGTTGTTGGAGTTAAAACGGCGTTTGATGTTGATGGATGGATTTCGAAGCTTCATGGTGTTATAGGCGACGAAGCGGATATCGTCAAAACAGCGGTCTTTGAAAAGAAGACAGATGTGTATAAGATTGTGACAAAACTTGACAAAGAGAAGCGCACGCAATTTCACATGTTAGTCCGAGAGCTTCATGGGTACGACAGCAGATGTGATGAAGGTGTTTTGATGTTGAAGAAGGGGAATAAGAAAGTTCGTGGTGTGCAAATCAAAGGGAAGACGACGAAGTGTGTACTTCGCAAATCGAATATTGACACTGCCTCTGCTGTGAGTGTCTTAAGTCGGATATTAAAGATTGGGAAGAACTCAATAGGGTATGCTGGGATGAAAGACAAGCGTGGCGTTACATGCCAGTTTGTCACGTTTCCATCGATGAAAGAAGACTTTATCCAAAGTGCGCTTCGCAGTAATACATGCAAGTCGATAGCACTTGGGAAGTTTGAGACTGTCGAGAAAGCACTGACATTAGGAGATTTGACTGGTAATGAATTCCGAGTACTTATTCGAGAGGTCTCCAATTTGGAGGAAGTTGTGAAGAATTGTGAAAGTATGAAGACGTGTGGGTATATCAATTATTACGGACTCCAACGATTTGGGAGCAATGGCACGACTCACTTGATTGGGTTAGAGCTGATGAAAGGAAATTACAAGGTTTGTGGTTTAATGGACTTATAATATTGAGTCGGATGAAATAACATGTAGAAGGCTGTTGACTATATCATGCAAGAAGGCAACGACACAAAAGATCTCTTTGAGGCGAAACAGTTATACAAAGCGGGAGAATTTCGAAAGGCGGAGAATGTCATTCCGTCGCTGTGTATCGTTGAAAAGGGGATATTAAATGAACTGAAGAAATACGGTGAGGGAACGTCTGAGGGCAAATACAAAACGAGTATTGATGCCGGCGTGATGTATAAGACTAAGAGTCTTTACCTTCATGCGTATCAAAGTTATATATGGAACACTGTAGTATCCAAGCGTGTTGAGAAATATGGGGAGAAGGTGATCAGTGGAGATTTAGTTCAGCGCGGCAAAACCATAATAGTAGTACAAAGTGGGGAAGAAGACAAGTATGACATTCGTGAGGTAGTCATTCCTTTAGTCGGGAGAGGAGTACAATACCCCGAGAATGAGACAAAACAGTGGATGGAAGACCTTTTGAAAGGTGATGGCCTTTCATTCAGTACATTACCAAAGAGTGTCTTTAATGTCGACATTTGTGGCGATTATAGACCATTCATAGTGATTCCAAAGAATTTCAAATATGAGACTTTTGTGCTGAAAAACGCATTGGAAGAAGTGATGAATGAGGACGGAGAAATAGTCCGCGAGAGAGTCGAACCAATCAAAGAAAGAGATAATAATCACATTGCTTTGTGGATGGAATTCACTCTCGAGGCGGCTGCTTACGCTACAATGCTCTTTAGAGAAATTCTTAAAATGCCAGGTGACCTCGATAACCAAATTGATACAATGAAACAATTACAAAAAGAAATAAAAGAAACAGAGGAAGGAAAAGACGAGAAAAAGACGGAAACAGTCAAATTGGAGAAAATGGAAGAAGAGCAAAGTTAGACTGAAGTAAAATGAGTTTATGATTTCGGGTTTATAGTTTATCTTTATAATTTATTTTATTATAAAATAATAATATAAATAAACTATATCAATATAGTTATTTAATAGTTAAGTAATTGTTTTTTTAAAGTTTGAAGAATAATTATGAAAAAAAAAAATTTTGATTTGAAATGGTTTTTCGTAGTTAAATTACTTAAAACATAACTATATTTAACTATTTTGATTTTTGAGAAAAACGAAAAAAAATGAACTGAAAAAAAGAAAAAGACAAATACAACATATATAATAAAAACAATTAAAAGTAATAGAAACAAATGAACGAAAAAAAAAAGAAAATGACGATCAAATTCCAAAATTCATAGCAGATGACTTTGAAAACGATCTACAAAAATGATAATTAAATAATAAAATAATTATACTTTAAACCATTCGAAATTTTATGAATAGAAATATATACTAAAATAGAAAGTATATAAACAAAAAGAACGAATTGAATAAATACTCTTGTAATGTTGAAGATGGTGATACTTCCTTTGTTGTTTATATCCTATGTCAATGCCCAATGTAATGCCGCGGCTGGCCAAGTCGCGTTTGCTGATGATGGGAAGTGTCGAGATTGCGATGGAATTTTTCCAGGATGCAGTAAATGTACTGAGGCTGCTTGCAGTGAGTGCAAAGCAGGCTTCAAGTTTGACAATGGCGTTTGCACTTGTTTGTTACTATATTAAAATACACTAGTTTAATTATTATTATTAAACTATACTTGTATTCATAAACTGATTGATAGATCTCAACGGGTTTAAAGACGACACGACGTGCCTTGACAATTACGTGAAAGTTGGGTCGACTTGCCAATGTTTGTTATTCTATCATTATAAAACAAAATGAATAGTTAATTAATAATAATGTAATAACACATAGATTGCCTTCATTGTAGTGGGAAGTGTGAAGCAGAGAAGTTATGTACTGGGTGTGATGAAGGCTATTACTTGGTGAATGGGCATTGTCTTGCTTGTTCACGGTGCAAAGCTGGGAAATGTACTGTCAGTGGTGGGTGTTCCGAGTGTGAAGACAATTACTTTGTGAAAGCCAAGCAGTGTAATAGTTTGTACTTCATTTCATGAGACAAAACACTTGAAACTCACAAATAGCATGTGGACAGTGTGCCACAGGAAAGTGTTCATCTACTGGTTGCACTCAATGTGTCAGTGATAAGTACACCCTTAAAGATGGCGTTTGCACTCTTCCATTGAAAAGTTTGTTTCCTTCATTCGACAAGCTCCATTGATACTCATTTATAGCAGTCGAGACACCATCATCGTCCGCTTCACTTCTTATTTCTCTCTTCCTCGTTATCTTGTTGTCTCTTTAATTCAGAGTTCCTTCATTCCTTTCTGCTCTGCTATCGGACATCAAACACCTTCAATCAAAACCTAAATCAATACAAACAAATTACTAACACAACGTCATTCAATCGGACATTCGTCGATTAATTCCCGCCGTTTTGAGTCGTGAACGTGACAAATCCTGTGTCATTAACGTAGTTCTCTTCTTGTTGTCTTGGGTAGTCCATATTCGTAAACACAAAATTGTCATTCGCCGCGTTGTTCGAGCCTTGGGTGGGTATGTATGGTATCGGGTTCACTTGTCCCAAAGTAAATGGGGCAATGGTTTGACGCCCATAGTACATCCCATTTTCGTCTTGGTACACCATTTGGGGTTGTTGTTGATAACTCGGCACCATCATTTGTTGTTCGACCTCTACACCAGGTACTGCGTTCACAACGCTCATCGCGGTATTATCCCACGCACCAGTTGACCCAAGTCCTGTAAATCCAGAGAATCCCGTGAAGCCAGAGTAATTCGAGCACATCGATTGCGCACCAAGACTTGGTTCCGGTTTCACAAATGGTTCCGCTTTAATCGGTTCGGACACCACCGACGTTCTTCTGACCAATTTGACTGTTGCTTTATTCCAAATGTCCATAATCTCTTTGTCCATCGGCAACAAATCTACGGAACTACACGCTTTGTCAAACCGAGTGAAGACCAACTTGTTCACTTCTTCTCCGACATTCTTAATCTCCGTCAACCCGACGTTGAGCCTCCCAGACATACTACAGATCTTTTCCATCTTCACTGTAAGCTTGGCGGGCTTCGTCGATCGTCTCTTGAAATTGTACCCAATCCCCTCCGCCATTCGAAGTAAATAAGAAAATCCCAACGCCGATCTATTCGCGTCTCGGTGCCTCTTGACTTGTTTCAATTTCTCTTGGTCGTACCTCCCATTGCCACAGACCGTTCCAATCGCGTCGATGTCTTTAGGCTGCAAGTCGGTGTATCCAAACTTCTCCAACTCGTACTTGGCGTGCATCGCGCTCTGGTCGTCGATCTCCTGTTCGAAAGGAATGATTCCGTCTTCGCAAGTAATTTGGTCAATCAAGAGGAGTTGCAGTGTCTTCTGCGATCGTCTCTCCGGCCGTTTGACTCGAATTCCATATCCGTTGATGTTCAAGAGCGCTATGAGGAATGCTTGTTGTGACGCCTCAAATGATTTGGACTCGCGCTTGAGTTGTTTCAGTGTCACCGTCGATGATTTGGTAGCTTTCATTGACTTTTTCAAGATCACTTTCCCATTTTTGTTTTTTGAGGTCGCTTCTTCTCTTTTTGTTGGCTTTCTCTTGTTTTAATGGGCTTTTTTTGCTCCATGCACTCACTTTTCATGATTCTAATCCCATTAGTATAATTAAGTTATAATAAATTTACTATATTTATATGGTTTTGGTGTTAATTCAAAATTATTTTGCGTTGATGTGTAAAAAAAGAGAAACTTGTCAATTTGAGTGAAACAGTGGCGAATGTGGAATAAAAATGAGTGGGGTAGCTGTGCTACCAAAAATGTGGTTTTTGACAGAACAAAAACAAAGCCTTTTTGTCTAATATTTCGGGAATTTATTCTATAAAAAAATCATTTTAAAAGTTAATTTCCATTTTAGTTTTTCTTTCAAAAAAAAACTAAAAAATTCCACTGTTCTATTCGCAGAATAACAAAAATAACTTTGAGGTTTCACCATTTCAGTTTATTTGCAATGGTATATCCATTAGTCATTTTTAACTAAAAAATACTTCAAATTTATCAATTTTTTTTAAATTTATCTTAACTTTGCTTTTATGAACAATATTTTGTTTGACTTTTTCTTATTCTCTTATTTTTGTTTTTTTTGTTTTTCTTTGTTGTATTTTTAGTTTTTCCATTTTTCTTTCCCATTTTATCTTCAACAACTATAATTAGCAGTTTCAAATATCATTATATAATAGTTTAATTACGCGACTCCTTTGCTCTCGACATTTTTGTTTCGAATGATTTCTTTTTATAGTTTTTTTATATTATCTTACAAACTATAAACAACTTATCCATAATCTATTCACAATAATCAACCCAAAATTGTTGACTCGTCAAGTTACAATTACAAAAGAAAATTCACTCTTCGAAGGTCCAGTCTTTTTTCCACACCTCCAGATTATCGACAAAATTCACAAAATCTTTGAAACTGACATCTTTCATTTCCAGTGTTTTTAAGCAGACAAATTCGCACAGCCACGCAATCTCTTGACTTTCTTCAAACCGCAGTTTTTGAATATCCAAATCGCCAATTCGACACCTATCAAGCGCGTCCGCGTCTTTCAACATCGCCGACACAAAATAGTCTTCATCTTCTTTCTTTGGTGTTCCGCACGAGTGTTTCGTCACTGCGATTTCAATATATCCCAACTCCTTCTGACTTATCTCGTACCTTTTGAATCGCGGAAGAAAGATCGGCATTTTCGTCTTGACTGCTTCCGCGCCGTGTGACTTACAAACCCCATCCTTATATCTCGCCATGTCGTGGATGGTACTTCCGCACATCGCAAGTATTCCTTCTCTCGTGTGTCCACTTAAATGTCCTATAAGTAACGAGTTAATGATGACGCGATAGGTGTGGACGACTCCGTGGATGATACTTGGGTGATAGAAGTCTGATGGGAGTGTGTCGAAGTCGTTCATGACGATGCCGTACTTCGAGCACAGTTCACTCACAGTAAATCCGACTTTCTGTATCTTCAGAGTGATGAGTGGGGGGATCTGGTGTGTTCTATTTTCTTGCAACAAGTGAATGAACTTCTCTTTGTTACTTAACAGCGTCCACAGTGCAACAAGACTTTCATATGTGTATATCGGGCATGGATTTTTGGTCTTAATTGCAGCCAATTTCCCGCCTTTTTGTATCTCCGAGTTTTGGATGTAACGCCGTGCAAAGTTAAGTGCATAGAGTGGATCATATCCACTGTTTTCTACGGCTTGTTGGGATAACTTGAAAGACTCACTTTGCACATCTCCATCAAATTGTTTTGGAAGAAATGTATTTGAAATGACATAAGAAAGAGGACGTGTCGACAATGTTGAGTCAACCCATTCAAGTGACTCTTCTATTGTTGAGTGATGGAGTTCAATATATGTTGGTGTATACACAGGTGGGCGAAGAGTAAATACCAATGTTTCAGTAATACAGTTGATTGTGTGAGGTGCGAGTGTTCGTGCAAGGACAACACCAATTTCCGAAGACATTTGATTTTTCCGTTCATTTTTTTTATATTTCCAGCAATAGAAAAGAGGAGACCACTTTTTGTCTCCTCTTCATTTGAGTTTTCCGCACTTTTTACTGAGAAATTCGAGTCTTATTTTGTTATTATTAAATTATTTAAACTTTTTTTCCTCTTTTTATACTAACAAAACTCATCAGAACCGTTAAATTATCAATTGTGTTACTATAATTTATTAGTAATTTATTAGTTAATTATAACTAAGAGGATGCTGACTCATCTGATATTGTATTTATATATATATTCATTCACTTTTTATCACCTCAATACTAACTTGTAACACAAAGACTCAACTAACACTAAATTGTAACACACTAATTGGTCTTATCATTCTTAAGGTACACACTCGAACACTCTTACTTTCATTTAAACCCATTCCAAAACACATTTCCATATCGCTCGCTAAGTTCGCGTTTATACACATCCCATCCCCACGCTTCTAAAGCTTTCCCATTGGGTTCAAGTTGACTTGTCTCGACGTCGTCTGTCATCCGACACATCAACATTTTCTTCTCAAAGTCGTCACTCTTCACAACTACTGTTGAGATCCTTTTGAGGTATTCATCGATCTTGAATATCTTGGATTCCTCAATGTAATTTTCAAGTTCGTGGTCGCTCCACTCTTTCACAGATTGTGGCAACTTCAGCTGCTTCGAGTTGATCTCTGTGATTTGATGTATTTCCTTTTCTTCTTTCAGTAGTGCAAATAACATGTTGTAATTCTTGTTATGCAGAAGTCGATGAATAATGCGGCCCAACATCCTTAACACACGCCACGATGTCGACGACAGAACATCTGGACTGCTCGAGAGAATCAACTTTTGGACGACAATTTCAGACTCGTGCGTTGATATCTCCGTTACAAAGAGTGATGCGTTATAAAGAGCGCCACACACAGCGTCCGATACAGCTGGGGGGTTTGGTGGAAGCAACAATGGGAGTAAAACATTGAAGAAGCACGGAGGTACAAATTCCTTTTGTGTAGTTATAATGAGTGCCTGCAAGACGGGTAACACGCACAAGTAATTGTTTGTGTTACCAAGTGCCAAGTTGTCGAGGAGGATCTGCACTTTAGGTGGTGAAATGTCAATTAAAATGAAGAACAAGGGAATACTCAACACACTCAGTGGTATTTGCAAATAGCTTTCAAAGACCTCTCCAATGTTTTTCGATCTCATCACTTCGCAAAAGCCTTCCAAGTTCCTTTCATTTCGGAGAGCAAGTGTTAAAAACACTGTAGAGAACTCGCTGTGTCTCAAAAAGTAAATGAATGCCTGCGAGAGGTCACTTGCACTCAGTTTGATATCAACTTGGTCTTTCCCATATAAAGGAGATGACATCGCGACTAATAAAAGGTGTTGTGTGCTTTGATCTGGTGGGTATATCTTATAGAACAATTTACTCACAAGACTAGTAATAGTCTCACTCGAGCAATGTCTCATACAAAGCGGCAACAACACTTCCAACATGAAAATTTCATTAGAAACACTTTGAGTAAAATTGTCGATGAGGTATTTGGTCACATTGAAAATTGGTGAAACGTCTTGAGTAGCAGACTCAAAGAGTTTGATGCGGTCGTTGTCGGTGAACTCGATTGTTAAAGAAGAAATGACGTCTTTCAAATTAATGTTCTTCTCTGTCGCAAAAGTCTCAATAATGTCATTCACACTTTTCGACGTCCCATTCCCCATCTATTGCCTCCTTTTTATTCAGTTCTATTACTTTCTTTCTTGTTAATCTAGTTCTTTTTTACTATAAATGAATTATAAATAAAACTAGAAAAAGAAGACTTTGTAGTAGTTATGTTATGCCTTATCTACTTCACCCGCATAGTAGACGTAGTTAGAGAAACCACACATATTGTCTGCTGCGCTGATTCTGAAGTACCCATTTTCTCCCCAAGTTTTGCCATATGAGTTCTTTGCAATGAAATACTGAATGCCCTCCTCATCAACACCATATCCAATGACATGAACGGTATGTGTGGGGTTATCTGTCTTGCATCGGTCTTTATAAATCCCTTTGGTGTACAATTGGAAGTTTGCCCTTGAAGCATCAAAAGCGACTACAGTGCCTTTGTAGGAATAGATCAAGTCTCGATGACACGAGTCTTCACCAGCACAATTCTTATAATGGTAACTGTCCAACTCCGCGACTCGCGGAGTCGACTTACAGTAATCGTCTTTCGTAGTATATGGGAATGAACTCTCTGACCCAATGCCTTTGCTTTTGATATAGTCAAAAGCAGAATTCAAAGGAGCCCCGTCACAGCCACTTGCGCCATATTTATATGCACAGGAAATGATCTCCGCGGGAGACAGATAGTAATTTGCTCGATTCAAGTCCGAGTACTTATACAACATCTTCGACTCTATTAAACTGGCAGTGGCAAACGCATAACAAGACCCACAATTTCCTTGGTCCCGGGGATCAGTCACACAATTCTTCTCATTAACACTCCTCATGTCAAATGAATTTGGAGAAGAAGACACACTTTTAACTGCTGAAGAAGGTTGCGTTGGTGGTGGAACAGAATGAAGGAGTGTTTTGTACTCTTCGTTTGTCATTGAGGCAAATGGACCTTCGACAGAAAGACGATACTCTTTGGTGTTGTCATTGGCAATTACATAATTGAGGTTGTCGACAAATATCGCCCGACGTCGGAGAATCTCTGCGGTTGTAAAATGTTTGTTGTGTTTCTTGACCCACTCTTCAAACGTGAAAGAGTGCGATAAACACACCAGGACAAATAGAAATAGCATTGACTGGATATCACAGTTAGAACATTTTAATACTAATATATACTATAATTTAATTAGTATTTTTAATTAATTATATCTAAAGTATTTTTACTTGATTTCTCTTGATTTATGACGTTCGACTTTTTAAGAAAAGTGGTCAATTATTTCAGTCATTTTTCATGGCAATATAATGGAATTTAGTCTTAAATAGTTAATTATTTATTTTTTTTTATTGTTATTATTCTTATTATTATCATGACGTAACAAATTAATTATTTATTTTTAATTAAAGATCTTTAATTAAAAATAATTTTTTTTATTGTTTTATTGTTTAAACCTACGGGAAATGATACTAACAAAACAAAAAAAAAAGAACAGATGACAAGGTATAGATTTGTTTTAATTATATTTATTAGTTTAATGGAAAAAAAAATATTATAAAAATATAATCATTTTTTGAGTTTTTAGTTTTATTATAGTTCTATCAAGATTGTTAATTGTTTTTTAGTTGTTTTTATTATTTTATAATTATTATTTTTTCTTTATTAGAAACTTAGATAAATTAATAAATAAACTTAATTATTATATAATTAAATTGACCTAATAAAGAAAAACAATTTAATAATTGTAATAAATACTTTTAATAAATTATATATTAATATAATAACCATAAATTAAAAAAATACAATTTAACAATTTCAATTAATAAAAATAGTAATATATTTTATTATATTAAAACTAAACAATCTCCATTTTTTTAATTACAAATACAAAATATTCATGGAATTCCCGATATTTTACAATATAAAACGGCAAAAAAAGACAAATCACAAAACAATATCATTAAAGTATTAAAAAGACAGTAAAAAATCACATGAACAATCCCAGTCAATTGCTTGTCACAAATTGATTTGGACGGAACGAAATAAAAAAATACAATTACAACAAATAGTATGCGTTGGGTGTGCTCAGAAGAAAGAGACTTCCTTCACGTGTGGGACGTATGTGGAGTTGTCTATTGGGAAGTCATCGAAGACAAAGTCGTCGAGGGTTTCAATGTACTCGTCGATGACGCTTTCTATTCTCGAGAGTGATCTGCTTCCTTCTTTGAAGTAAATAGGAGTCTCGTTTATTCGTTGTTTGATGTACTTAAAGTCCTCTTGTTGGTTTGCGAGTAGTGTGAAGAGTGATGGTTGAGTTGTTGTCATTGAATGACTGACTTGAGTTCGCCTTCATTTAATAGTTGCTTCAAATTTTTCTCGCTTCCGAAGTTTTCGTTCCGACTCGGTTTTGAGGGGTCGTAATTTTTGCAATCTATTGTTTTCATTCCCCGATTTTGCAGAAAATTTTCCGCTGTATCCTTTTTGTTGGAAATTTGAGGAAATGAACTTTCACTTTTATTATGCTTTGGTTGTAAAATAAGTTTAAACTATATTATTACTTTTGTTTTCACATTTATTGAAAAAAAAATATGTATTTGAATAAATGGTTTAAAAAACAATTATTTATAGTTTTGTTAACAAAATATGAAGACTGAATTCTAGTTTTATAATCAGTTTAAGTGGAACTAAGGTACAAAGCTGACAGAAACTAAAGCCCAAAAATTAATTTTGTTACATCGTTATAACATTGGCATTTTTATCATGTTTTTACCGCTTATTCTTATTCAGATGTATAGAACTGACAAGAAAAATGAAATCGCCAATTATTATCCAAAATATTTTGTAGCCATTTTATAGTCCTTCAATAAAACGTCAAAATAATACCTCTCCTAAATTTACTGGAAATCTGCCCCAAAAGTAAGTGATGCCACTAAATAATCTTGCTATTGATTTTCTTTTGTCTTCTTTTTGGTACGTAATAAAGGCAAATTTACAATTTAAATTTCTATGTATATGAAATATTATATGTGTAATACTTAAAACTATTTATTTTAATTTGTGTTTCTTTATTGGTGACATGTGGAGTAATCTGCTAAACCATTTTTAATAATACTTTTTCTATAGTTTATGTCGTTTTTATAACGACTTTCTTCATCATGAAAAATACCCCCTTTATTAACAAATGTTGGGTAAATATAGCCCCTGATTACTAAACTATATTTATAATATTTGAACTTTTAAAGTATTATAATACTTCATGAAGAGTTTTAAATACCAGTTAGAACATTTTGGATCTGCGGTTTTGTTAACTTAATGTCTTGCATTTTTTACGTAACATAACGGGATGCTTGCTTGCTAACAATATTCATTGGCATTGACAAATAACCAACTCCTCTTTTACTCAGTAAAACAATTTAAAAAGCCCTATGAACCCCCTAATATAAAAGGAATTAACCCAAAAACTTGGAAAAATCTTGGGCTTTTTTTTACAAATTTTTTCGAAATATTGAGAAAAGGTGCACTCAGTTTGTTTTAGAAATGATTTGATTGAAAACATTTCTGCTGAATCCCATGCCAACTCGGGAAGTCTTTTTAATGTTTTTTGAAAATTGTTTTGCACAGTGGTTTCTTCATATAATTAAATTATAGTTAATATACTATTCAATTGAAACAATAACAAAATAAAGTTCTCCAAACAAAATGTTATTTTAACACTCAATTTCCAAATTTGTTCTATTAATTGTTTGTGCTTCGAAAGTGTTGACGACTTGAGTTTCTCCTTCGACATATTCGAGTAACATTGGCTTAAACTTCAAAGTCGACTTTTTGATACAAAGTGCGGCATTCACGTAGAGGATGTTATTAATCTTTTGATACCCATAATCCCCATGTGAATGTCCAAAGACATGACACTTAACACACTTCGTTTCTGCTATTCCTTTCTTGAGTATTTTTGATCCCAAGTGTTCAACGTCTGTCGCGACAACTGAGTAAGGTGGCTCGTGTGTAACAACTAAGTCGACTCCTTGTATCATTTCTACAAGTTGCTTTTCACTTAATGTCCTATCTATCGCATAACACCCACCAAAGATTTCAATACCAAAAAGAGTCACCCTCTCGTTCAATAATAAGTGCGCGTGAGTACAATGATCCGTAAACCAACTTCTCGCCTCTGGAAATTGTGCCACATATTTGTTCTCGTGATTGCCAAAGACCACAACACGCTCTTTAGACGGCGTTTCTTCAAGCCACTTCGCAAACGACTCCACCGTTTCCTTTTTCCCTCCAGACGAGAAGTCTCCACAACATATTAGAAGATCGCACTCGGGTATTATAACCTTCTTATGACGCAGGTGTGTGTCTGATATCACGCATACTCTCACCTTATTTCTCTCCATCAATTTATTGAACGACATTTGCTTTATATCTTATTATAGAGCACTTTTGAGTTTTGTCTTTTTCGGTGGAATTAGTTAAATTAATAACATTTAATATAATAATTATATATTAAATTATAATATAAGATATAAAATAATACTATATTATATATAACTTAATAATATATTATATATAAATAATATAATATATTGCATATAACTAAAAACAATGAGAGTATTATTAATCAAGTCGCACTAACACAACATTCAATCGACTCCCATTCGAAAAGTCGACAACAGTGTTGTTCTGCTTATTCTTCCATTGATACACATCATCAAGTGAAATCGATGAAAATGCTTTGTATTCATCTGCTTTGACCGGGTGCGTTTCGTAATACTCAAAAAAGATGAGTGGCCTTTGTTCGGGGACTACAGTTATATCAAAGGTGTCTGAAAAGACCGGGTTCACCGTTTTCTCAACAGAAGTTTTAAACATCTGACTCCCACATTGGGCTACTACATACCGCCCCGAACATAAACGGATGTCCGCAGGATTGATCGCCATTTTTGATCCTTTCTCAAAACTCCCAAGCCCAAATTTGACTTTAATTCGCATCACTTCTGAAGTTTCTTATTCTAGTTCTTTAGCTTAGTTTTTTTATAGTTTTTTTATAGTTGTCGATCAAGAACAAGTTACCCGATCGTTTAAGTCATGCAACACCTTTTTTTTTATTTTTTTTATTAAATAAATTTAAATCATTAAAACAAATTAGATGTTGTAATTACAATAATTAAAATAAATAGTAACAAGCACTTAAAACCCGATAATAATTATCGGGTCAACAACATCATTTTAGTCCAAATATTAATTCATAATTTTGTTATTTGTATTAATAAAAATGCTCCTTCGTCGCATCCACCTTTTTAATTTTTTCATTTTATTAAAAAAACAATCAACTTTTATTATTTTTAAATTATAATTATAATAACAGTTTTCACTTTAAATATCAGGTGATAAAATATGTTTCCAATAGTAAATAATAAGATAGAGATACTCATCATAATGAATAAAAATTATATGTATTTATAAAGTTGTATACATGACACACGAATTAAATATTTAACACTTTTTTGTTGTTCTGGTGTTTACTCACACAACTTTATTACTGGTCAATATTAAAAATTGATTATTATTTAAGTTATTATTATCTTCATATACATGTTACAATCTATCGCCGACATGTTTATCCATTTTTTAAATATCCTTTTTTATAAAATGCTTGTCACTTACATTACATATACACATCAACTTATTTTAAACATTCATTCTAATTTACATAATGTGTGTTTTTTGTACAAAATCATTTATCATATATTGTTTGACTTGTTAAACCAAACACAATCCGTTTGTATTATAGACTCGGTATCTCAGTCTGCACGCAGAAATAACATTCAACAACTTCTTTGTATCTTTGGTGTTGTCTTTCTTAAAATTTTTCTTAAAAACAATTGATTGTTCTACAATTGTTTTTGTTTATTATCGATTTGATATACCTATCTAACACTTTTTATTAATTATTTATCAAGACCTCCATTATTTTCAACTGTTAATGTTTTTTATGTTTTTATCACACCTTATCGAAATATGATATATATGTTAAACGTATAACACATTAAAGTATATAAAAGTTTTTCATTATAATACCATTACTTCGAATACATTTTTATTTCTTAGGGCATACTAATGGATGGATGTCTATCCACTGGATAAGCGTCCATCCAGTGGATACACGCTTTTTTGCTGGATACAAATAATTTTTAGTAAAATAAAGTCAATTTTGTCATTAAAAAAAGCATTCATTTCCAAATAATAATAATTCTTTTTAAAAAAATATTATCACCAAATGGTGTAATCTGCCACATAACAACAACATTTTTTTTTCATTTGATATGTTAATAATTATACTTTTATAAACATTATTTTTTTAATTTAACAATTTTTTAATTTACACACTATTTTATAAACAATAACGTTAATTTTTTACTTGAATGAATACATTGATTTCAATAAAATTTGTTCGTTATTATCTGCT